GGCAGCAGCCGCAGCATTGAGTCCAAGCGGTTATGTGTCGCCTCCGGCGGCAAAAAGTCTAACAAAAGTGAGTTTTTTGAAATCAAAATGACGATGGGAAATTGCTTACGTAATCACCTATTTACATCTAATTTAATGTCAAAATCCTGCCCCAAATGGTAATTGGTCAACGAGAAAAAGTTTGTAAGGGCTGGCAAAAGCCACACGCGCCACCATGCACAATGATGATGGAGCCCGTCATGAAGACGGCTTGCTGGAAGTCTCTGTCAGTGCCACGGCTAACACGGACAAAAAAACATAAACTGACCTTATGGCCTGGCGTCACATAAGCACGCGCCGCTCTAGCATGTGAGGCATTGGCTGCTAGCACACGCTTGAAGCCCAGCAAACAGCAGAATTTGTAGACGCAAGCGAGGAGCTGCAGGAAAACAATGAGAACTCAACACATGAAGGAGAAAAAGAAAGACATACTATGTCAGTGCTGTTGAGTCAACTGTTTAAAGTGTGCGCGGAAATGAGGGGTCAAGTAGACAGAGTGTAGTTGTGTGGGTGGTTAGACAAGGGTGCGCCAAGTTGCGAGCAGGGCGCTGCGCTACCAGACACAGGAAGAAGCCGAGAGTCTACTTGTTGGTGGCCGCGTTTGAGTCCGTTGGCCGCCAGCACTGCACTGAGGTCAAAAGCAAAAATGTCAATTAGACGCATGAAGAAAAGGCGTGTTTGGGAGCTCACCGTGTGAAGTGAAGTGAACACAATGCTGTTGGCCATGGTCGAAGACAAGCAATTAAAGCCACTGGAACAACAAATGAGAACAGGGAAGAGTGCGCGTAAGAGAAGACATACCTGTGGGCAACGTGCGAGGTGTCGAGCACGGGATGGTAGTGGAGTTGGACAGAGAGAAATAGGAAGGTCACGAAGAGTGACCGCGGAGTTGCCGGTGATGACTTACGGAAACTCCGACGTCGGCTGGTGATATGTGACGAGTGGCGAGGGATGCCGGTAGTCATTGGAAATGATTTGAGCGTCGGCGGAGGATTAGGCGAGCGGCGGATGTGCGGAGAATGGAGCGAGCCGACAGCGGGAATGGCATAGAGCCCAGGGTCTAGGCGCGCTTAGGCAGAAGACATGTAAACCTGTGGGACCCAGGATTCAAACGAATCTTGGCTTAGGTGGTTGCCGATAGACAGTTTGACCATCGTCATTTTGTCCGTTTAACACACTTTTGTGTAGTTTTGGTTTGAAATCTAACATAGTCCACAGATGCTTGTGTTTCCACAAACATCGCTTTCCCCTTCTTTGATCCACCATTTTGTGGCTTGCGGGACGCGTCGCGACGTGTTGCTGATTCAGCTCTCCATCCTGACCGATAAGGCAATTTATTATGTTCTGAGTTTTGCCCTCATAACTTGCGTGATCAAGTACAGACAGGCGTGGGAAATAATGTTCAACACCACTGTATGTTATCCAGAGCTTCATCGCACTTATTTCTGCGCATGAGTGGACGTGATACACTATAAGATACATTCTACTGATAACAGAACAGCAGTACATCGCAAGCGCCGATAGACTTGCAAATGGTTAAGTGACATGTCACATGTCACCCCAGGCCTCTCCCGGGCCAATATTTGTCCCTCTGGTGTCTCCTACTGTGCGTTATTGCTCATATCCTCAAATCCACTATTTCACTTTCCGACCCTTAGGCGCGGCGGAGCTGGCCAGATCTCCCTATCAGCGTCAGCCGACAGGGATGATCCAGCGTGGGAGGTGTTTCATCGCAGCTCCGCCGCGCTCGATGCACCTTTATTCTGAAAACTTGCTTTCTGTACTTGTGTGGATACAAGCATAGACTTGGGAAGTTTGAGCCAGGAAAAGTGCAGGACACACAGATACTACAGTCTTCCTCCAGTCCCAACTGCTTGATTCCATCTCACACGCCCTCGGCACTCAATATCCGAAATCTTCAAATCAAGTATCTTAGGCGAATGTCAACTCCGCTGATCTCTTCAGCGCTCCGCTTCTCAACATGCCGTTACAGTGGGTATAAAAGCCTGGGACTTGTCTAGGCAAGTCCCATCGCCCTTTCCCTCCTTCTCTCACCACCTCTCTTCAATGTCGACATGCTCGCCGTCGTTCGCGTCTTGAACTTTCTCTTGTTGCCATCAACATACTGACAATTTCTATCTAGCCCACGCCCGACGTCGTCGTAGTCATCTTGCATTCGACACCACCAGCAGCCTCCAACAACGAGTTGGACGTTGGACTCAGTGTTGGATTGGGGTCGTTGACTGACTTGAGTTGCTTCCCAGGGTAACTGCCAGAGTCGTGATTTGCGGACTTGATGTTGGACGTGGTGGTGAGCAAGACTTGCGCAGCGCGAGTGAACCAGCTTGGCTTATTGACGCAGAGCTTTGGCGAAATCAGATTACGGAGTTGAGTCGGTTCGGGTTGTCGGAGGGAGATATGGTCGACTATAGTCACTTGCTGGTGAGTTTGGCTGTTAGCAACGTTGAATCTGCTCACTGACCTTCATTAAAGCTGTCTCTACGCCGCTCGGATTGCTCACAGACTTGATGTTGACGCGATATGTGATGCGGGCCACAGACGACATGTCGGTCTTTGCGTTGTGGACCTGGTTTGGGGCAACGCCGGGCCGCATTCGTGAGCCCGCTTGGCTTTTCACGCACTAACGGGAATACCGCAGTACCTTGACATGGTTTGGGTTGGAGCGCTGAAACGGGCGAGCTGATCCAAGACTATATTTGGTGAGTTTGCTGTTCAACGTTGAGAGTAACGTCAAACCCTCTTGTTAGTGCTGAAGAGAAACGGGCCGGCGTCGTCGTCTTGAGTTCGATCGATGCAAGTTGATGAATCGGAGGGAGGTGGTGACAGACTGAGGGCGGTTTGGATTGGACCGGAGGGAGAGCAAGCGATTCCGGCTATTTTTGTGAGTCTGCTGTCGACGGCTTTGGCGCAGCAACTGACCTAGCTTGACAGATGGTCCGTACTCTGCCTCTAACGTTGAGAGTTAGCCGGGTTGGATTAACTGCAGGCCAAGGTCGTGACATGCTTGATTTGGCTGGCCTGTTCGATAGCGTCATTGCTTGCCTCCGAGATGGCGGGTTGTCGGTTGCTCTTGGTCTGTCGTTCAAATCGACAACGACTGGGTTGCCGTTGTTGAGGCCGCTTGCACAAGCTCGGCGCGCTCGTTGTTGCTGTCGGCCACCAGCCTAGTGCGGAACGGAAAGTGAGTGTATCAAAATGTCCCGAGTCTGCCGACAACTCACCCGGACTCGTTAGAATCGCTGTCGTTGTTGGTCGTCGACCGTTGCTGGGTACAGTTTCTTGATGTTGGGTGGGTTTGCCGTCTAGAACGTTGAAAGCGATGCTGAATCTTTTTTTCAGTCGTTGATGCATTAGCAAGAAGGATGAGGTGATTGGCCGGACGGATGCGTTGAGCGGCAAGTTGTGGTTGATTGTGTAACTTGCTACCAGCACGGAAAGTCGGCCCGAAAAGACAGCGACGGTGGGCCGCCAATAACTTGCGCGGCCTTGTCTGCGCGGTTTGCTGGCGCATTCGTTGGTTGCGGGGCATGTAAGGCTAAGTCGATGGTAGAAAGCTTGCGCATCGCAGAAATGGCGGCCCGGCGTCTGTCGTTGAGAAACTTAAGTAGAGCAGGCTCTAGGAGGCGGTGGTGGTTACGGTGCAGCAGCGGACGTGGTTGTTCTTGACAAGCGTGAGTGTGGCTGTGGATTAGCCAGCGGCCCGCCGGAAGTCGAACACTTGTGGCATCTTACTCGTCGTTCAAAGGTGCGCTATGTTCTTCATTGACTTGCCTTACTTACAACGACTTCTAGTGCTTGGCTTCGACACTTGCGCTGTCCGCGCAACCTTGTGCTCCAGCCCGGCTCGCATCTGGCTACTCGGATGACTGCCCATACGCACCGTAAGGTGCGTTGCTGGTGTTCTTCATTGATTTCGAATTACAATACTTAGCTTCATTGGTGCGTGCTGACGTTGTTATTTTGTGTTGCGCTAACTGGGTTGTTAGCTACTTGTGGAGATTTTAGCGCAGAACGCGCACCTCATCACTCGTCGTTTTCAATGGTGCATCATTTGTGTTTATGTTCATCTATACACTTGGTGAGTTTTGTCTAATGCCAAAGCTGCTCACTGACCTTCCAGTTTTCTTCCTTTCAGCATGCCCGCGTTCTCCACAGTCCGCGAAAGACGATTACGCGCACGAGTGTATGGATCAGCTCAAGTCTGCTTGAGATTGAGTGAGTGTGCCGCCCAAAACTGGAGAGAGCGAGTACTAACGCAGCAGAACGGCGGGTTGGCGGACAAGAGGCGGCAAACGCGAATGAGCTCGCAAGTAGAGGCCCTTTGACACAAAACAGTAAGTAAGTCAGTATCAAAAACTCGTTTCACGCGCTGACCTTCAAGTTTTGCAGCGAGTACGGACGTGAATACTAGCTTATTGTTGGAAGTACCCGTTGGCCGCGGCCCTGCAGGGCAAGTCTGCGTTGTAGTCGCGCTCCTGGGGTGTTCTTCGCAAAGCTCAAGCTTCACGGTGAATCGGCTGGTTGCAACGAATGGGAGAAGAGCTTGCAAAATCTGTTGGCCCAAACTCTGCCTTCAATCAAGTAAGTGGATTCAACAGACATAGATAAAGTTTACCTGTTCAGTTTAGCATAATATTGCTGCCCGCGGTTACTTTTAGCTCCGGCCAGCGCAATCCTACAATGTGGGTGGTCTCAGAGGGCGAATCGGACTGTCGCACCTAATGCCATCTCTGACTCTGACCCGAGTTGGTTATGTAGTCGTTAAGTTGCCTTGCTAAGTGCCAAGCCAGCCAGCCGTTGGCGGATGAGATGGTAACAGGATTTTGGAAGGGGGAGTGCGGCGGAGCGAGGACACGCGCGATCGCGCTGCGCAGCAACATGTGTTGCCTGCGCGTCGTGACCGTGTCACCAACCTTCTCTCTGTGCCGCACCACCACATCATGATGCTCAACCTAGTCCTTCCTTTGCTATACCTATTCTCGCCGATGGTGTTGGGTTCACCCATTGGTGATTTGTTCTCCGTTATCGATAACTCAGACTCGCCGTCAGACTCGCCGCCCGATTCGCCTACAGACTCGCCGCCGACCTCGCCAACATCCTCTAAACTCGTGGTTGCACACTACATGGTGGGAAATACCAATAGATACCGAGTAGATGACTGGGAGACCCGTACGAACATTGATTTCAAACAATGTTGGCCTTATCGTTACAGACATTCAACGTGCCGACAACACTGGATTTGACGCCTTTGCGCTCAACATTGGCAACGACGCGTGGCAAATTGGTCAGCTGAAACGCGCCTTTGAAGCGGCGGGTCGCCATGAGAACTTCAACCTCTTCATCTCGCTCGATATGAACTCGATACCCTGCAACACCCAAGACGACGCCGGCTTTATGGACGCTATCAGCCAGTTCTTCGACGATCCTCAATATCAACTGTATGACGGCAAGCCTCTTCTATCAACTTTCTCTGGGCAAGACTGCACATTCGGTCATGCAAGTGTCGTCGATGGCTGGAAGTATGCTTTGAGCAGATCTCGGAGGATGATTCATTTCGTGCCGTCGTTTTTTGCGCAAGATGGCGGGTTTCCACATGACCTGGCAGCGATGGACGGAGGGTTCAATGTAGGGGTTTAAAAACTCGTTGTATGGCGGCTTACATTTTTCAGTGGAATTCAGCTTGGCCTGTCGGGCGTTCCAACATCTCGTTCCACTCAGACTCGAATTGGATCAACGATCTTGGCGGTCGCACCTACATGGCCGGTGTTTCTCCTTGGATGTTCGCACACTACTCGTCAGCAACGTTGAACAAGAACATGATCTACTACATGGACGAGTGGATGCTTACGAAACGCTGGGAGCAACTGATAGAACACCGTCAACAAGTCGATATTGTGCAAGCCATCACCTGGAATGACTTTGGCGAATCGCACTACATCGGACCTCTCCTGTCGTCAGAGTCGCAACCCGGTTCAGAAGAGTGGACAACGGGCTACGACCATACACCCTGGCTTGATCTGTTTGCTTTCTATATCAACGCATTCAAAACTGGGACGTACACTATTTTCGCAAGACCGTATATTTCTTTGGGCTCGACTCTTTCCTGCGATGGCTGAAACTCCAGACCCCGTCGGACCACCACATAATCGTGAAATGACGCAAGATGCTGTTTGGGCAGTTTTTCTGCTCACGAAGCGGGGAGACATCCAACTGGAGTGTGGCGATCAGCAGCAGATATGGCGAAATGTACCCAGGGGTATTTCCAAGGTCCAAATTCCTCTGCAGAGCGACTGCCAGGTTAGTTCTCATTTTTCATGGGCTGTGCTAAGACGGTGCTAGGTCAAGGCTTTTGTTGGGAGAGCGGGTGAGACAGATTGGAGCTTAGAGTTTGCGCCACCGGGCTTCAGGTTCAACACGCACCCGACCATGTACAACTTCAATGCGTTTGTCGCGGCGTCACCACCCTAATCGTTTTGTACTGTCGATACCTTTCTGTACCATTATGGGTTTTATGGTTCTTTGGAATGAATGCTTGGTCAATTGAAAACCCGTGATCGTGACGAACTCATGTCGTACACACTACGGGACGGTCGCGTCAATGAACCCTCTGGGTCGAGTTCAAGCGCTTCGTGAGTGGCACCCAGTACTACTAAGCCTCGCTGAATGCCGCTGACCAGATGCATTTGTGGCATTTGCTCTGCCAACATCACCTCCTTGTCCTTGTCCAACCGCCAGATCCACTACGATACCCATTTCAACGATGAGCCTCAAGTAGCGACAAATGAGACCAAGGCTTCCCCGAGTAAACTGTCGAATTTCTTTACCCCTACCCGTTCTGCCGCGCAGCCCAACTCAAGAGATCGTTTCTGGCACTCGGCGCAGCTGCCATCCTCTCCACCAAAGAACTTTGTGCCTGGTATATCTTTCTTGTATCTACCAAGAAATGCAGTCTAACTTGCACAGGGCTTATTCCATTTCTCAAGACTCAACTGAGCAAGTCACATTCCACAGGGTCGACCAGACGAGCCGTTTTATGCCATGAGCGTGCTGTCCTTGTTTTAAGGCAATCGTGGGATGCTAATTGGGGTTGTGGGTGAGTCCAACGACCAATTCTCTACGCCTACCCATCGAAGACTAGATATCGAAACTATTTAATGGCTTGTGCAGCTCTCATGGACCAACAACTCCAACCGATGTATTTCCCGTGCGGTTTGGGTCAGCTTAGCTTGGCTTCTCTGCTGAGTATGCTTTACAGACTACTTGACGATCCAATTCCTCCCAGCATCTTCAACCTGCAACGCATCCTTGAAGAAGCATGGAGTCACGGTTTTGACCCTGAAGGCGCTCGACAGCTGGGTCACCTAGTTGGGACGAAGAAGAAGTTGGGGGTAGCGGACATTCAAGTCGCCTTTACATACCGCAACATACCGTCACGGTTGGTAGAGTTTGACCTGAAAGACAAAGGTGCAGTGGGATGACACTCTAGCCCATAGTTATCTGACCACTCTTTCCTCTAGGCGCCGATGTTTTGATCAACTGGTCTGTGGAATATTTTTCCCAGCCACACGGAATTGTAGACAAGGAGAGTATAAGACGGCCCCAGACCATCAACGACGCGCTGCGTGGGGCAGCAGCCGTCACTACAACCTCTCGAATGCCATTCATTCTCCAACATGATGGTCATTCACGCACGATAGTTGGGTACGAAGTGACCAAGTCCGGCGACATTAATCTTCTGCAATTCGATCCATCACAGTAGGTGTGGTTTGTCTGTTGCAAGCTGTCTATACCGACGGCTGTTAGGATGCTGCCCGACTCGATGCGGGCGGCTGGGATTGCCTTGTGGGAGGACCATAATAAGCCCGCATCCAGCAAACGACCTGCCGCATCTTCCTTCTCCCGGACGCCGCTTAAACGCTCACGAGTCAACGAGAATGAGGTTATCGAAATCAACGACGATGACGACGATGTGCTTGTTCTTCCTAGCCCGAAATCGGTACCCAAGCCTGACATCCGTGGCGAGAAGATATCGCCAGGTGACGTTTTGAAGGTATTCCGACTCCAGCCAAAACGAATACTCAGGTATGGCTCTTCTTCTCGTCTTCCTTCCACTCTCATCGCGAGTCTCCAGGCAGAGGAAATATCAAGTCCTCTATTTTCCGCTCACATCCCCGTTGACCGAAGTAGAGAGACGGGCACAAGCAGCTAATGGATACGGGGAGAAGATTTCATAGCAGTATTTTACGCTGTTGACATAATCACATCACCGCCTTTGTCTATCGTGTCTCCCAGAGGAGCCAAATCAAGTCCTGCCACAGCAAACCGTAATGCTCTTTCCCATGCCTCTTCAACCTTATATCCGCCTGCTCTCATTATGCCTTCGCGATCCTGCCTGACAGCCTCGCTGACTGGGTCAACATAAACTGGTTGGAGAAGATAGCGGTCTTGATACGCGTAATAGTCGTCTTGGAATGGAACATGTGGGACGTCTTTGGCCGCCACAGTTGCTGTCGCTGCCACCCGAGCCCGCATAAGAGCTCCTTGTGTCGGGCCGCCTTTCTTGCCTGCCTCTCTTTCGGCACGTGCCTTTCGCGTTTCACGTATGACCTTGGACGCATTCTTCCCGTCAGCGCGTTCCAACCTGTCTATGATTTCTCGTTTGCCAGATTCACGAGCATGGCGCTCCTCCTCCTCTTCTCGTCTCAATTCTTCCGCGCGTAGTTCTCTCTCTTTGCGTTCGTTTTCTTCCGTTTGCTGAAGAGTGAGAGCATATTGAGCCTCTTTTCGCGCGTTTTCGCGGATGATGGCAGCATTGGCTTCTCGATTCTTCGCAATACGAGCTTCTGTGCCAACCACGTCAATGTCGTTGATGAGATTGAATGCTGGCAGAAAGGTTAGAGAGCGAAATGGGCATGAGACAATAACGCACTTATATCCTCAACCTCTTCGAGGTAATCATTGAACTCGCGCAGACTAGGAAAGTCTTCAAGATGTTTATTGAATCTATGCACCTCAGTCAGCTTAGTATCAAGACAATGGAAACACGCACTCTTTCGCGATCCGGCGGCGAATGGCAATCTCCTTTTCTACTCCCAGGTCTTCAAAGGTTTGTGGCGTGAAGGCGAGCTTGCGGAGAACTTTGTTACATATTGGGCACGGTGCGGGGCCGAGGGTAAACAAACGGTCGATGCAAGACTCACACCTACTTTATGAATTAGTAGGCAGTGATAAATAAAAGTTGAACGCACATCTTGTGGTAGCAGGAGCTAACCAAGAGGCGTAGCTTCTTCTCCAAGTACTTGTCCGACTTGCATACTGGACACTGGTCATCCTCTGACTAACATTCTGCATGAAAAAGGGTAAGGGCTGAAAACAGGTCTGATTACAGAGTACTCGGTGATTCGACCTGAAGGATCTTTAACTCCACCGCCATATATGGTCGTGGAAGTGCTGCTGAGCTGTGGGGTGGATGATGATCGAGAATGTCCACCAGCGACGACCTTTCGGACCGTCTTGCCCTGCAGAAAATTCATTCGATTCGCCGCCATGTTGGTCGGGTTTAAGCGTGTACAGTATGTCACGCCTCGTCACATCGCCATATTTAGAGCAAGTCGGTTGAACGAATAAAATAAATGACGGTTGTGGTTACCACGACGGGCAGGAGTCTGACATGAACAATGAGAGATGAACGTGTTTTGAATGATATTTTCTTGTTGAAGGCATGTCTTCCGAACAATCTCTTGACCGGTGCTGCGGTCAAGTTTCGAGGGCTTCGAGCGCCGAAAACATGTGATGTCCATATGCAGATACGGCTTTTTGTGATGACAAGTTTTTTTTTACAACCCAAGCTTCAGTGGGTGTTGCTCCTTAACTGGTTGCGTGGCGTTAGAAAAGTGACATTTTTTCAAACGGTTGGAATTTAAAAGGCGCATGTAGCCGTTGTCGCAGGTTGTCGCCGATAAATTGCTCGGTGACAAGGTCACACGTGACGTACCTCAGTTTACCAGCAACGTCCATCTCCGTCTGCATAGCGCAGGTCCGCAGGTCGCTCCCAATCGCCTTCGCTTGCTTCCAATTCGGCGGACATCTGGCAGTGCATCACATTCGCCTCTTTTCCACCTCCGTCTTACAACGGCCGCCTACATACACTATCATCTACACCTCCCATATAATCCCCCGCCACAACTAGAAACTTGCCTAGACGATGTCTTCGCCCCCTTTAATCTCTCCCAGACCATCGTTACCGGCCCTAGACTCAGCCTATCGCCGCTCCCAATCCCAAATCATTGTCCCCGACGCTCCAATGACACCCCCCATGTCTCCGGGACAGAGTGAATCCGGCGAAGAAGCCATCGTTATCGACGCAGTCCCTCGCTATAGCGGTCCCGATATTCACTTTGACCAAGCACGCGCCATGGAGGTTGAACCAATCACGGTTGCGCCCCAGCCTCAACATCCACTCAGACTGCTTCAAGATGAGCAGGTCCACTTACAAAGAAGTGGTCTTCGTCTCACCGATTTCGAAGTACGTGGAACTCTCGGTATGCCTTTTACCTCGATTCTTCTTTCACTATCTCATCTACCCGAGGCACTGGCACTTTCGCTCGTGTTTTGCTTGTTCGCCACCGTGGAGCAGCTACTCCGGGCTCCCAGAATTACTTTGCCATGAAAGTTCTGCGCAAGGCCGAGATTGTTCGTCTCCGCCAAGTCGAGCACGTTAATGCGGAGCGCTACATTCTTTCTCGGGTCCAGCATCCCTTTGTGGTAGACCTCTTCGCCACCTTCCAGGATAGTCTCAACGTCTACATGTTGATGTCTTATGTCCCTGGCGGAGAACTGTTTACCCATTTGCGGCGTGCTCAGCGCTTCACGCCTGACGTGACACGGTTCTATCTCGCCACCATCATTCTTGCCCTCAAATATTTACACTCCTTTAACATCATTTACCGTGACCTCAAGCCGGAGAATCTTCTCCTCGACTCTCGGGGCTACCTTCGGCTTACCGACTTTGGTTTTGCCAAAATCGTGGACGATCGGACTTGGACTCTTTGCGGGACCCCCGAATACCTCGCGCCTGAGATAATTCAGTCTGATGGCCACGGCAAGGCCGCTGACTGGTGGGCGTGCGGTGTTTTGTGCTACGAGATGCTTGTCGGCTATCCGCCGTTCTTCGACGAGTCTCCTTATGGCATCTACGAAAAGATTCTCAAGGGCCAAATCATCTGGCCTAAAAGTATGGATCCGCTCTCCAGGTCACTGATCAAAGCCTTCCTTAACCCCGACCGCACCAAGCGACTGGGAAATATGAATGGGGGACCCCAGGACATTCTGGATCACCCTTGGTTCAGAGGTGTGGACTGGGATGCTCTGGAGCGTCGGGAAATCAATGTTCGTTGCAACTGGACCATCTCGATGATTGCTAACTTCTTTCCAGGCTCCCATTGTCCCCCATACTTCTTCCATCGACGACACACGCCATTTCCTGCATCTCCCGTTACCGCGAGCAGAGGAAATGCCTGGACTTATGCGCGAAGAGCTGCAGCCCCCAGTCCATGAAAGATTCGATCCCATCGCCTACCATTTCGTCGAATTTTGACCGTCAGTTGAACGACGCGTCACGCCAAAAAAAATAACAACTGGCCCCACTCTCCTTCGATTTTTTTTTTGCTCTCTCCTCATCTATATCTATATCGTCTTGCGCGGATTGCGCATCTATAGCACTATCAGCCCGCAACTCTGTCTCTAATTGGTCCACGTGACTCTGCCCTTGGAGTTGTATCGCAGTCTTCTTCGTTCGCCGTGTATATCAGCACACTCGTTTGGACTCGCCGCGTTCTATGTAGCTTTGGTCGTTAATCGACGCTCTGTGTATTTCGTATCTAGCACTCATATAGCTTTCTTGGTATTTTTTGTGTGTGTGAAAGGAAAAACGAGTTTTTAGACGCCAAACCTACCTCTTTTAGGACGTAATCAGGTGTCCTTGTGTGAGTCATTGTGTGACCTGAATCCCGTGAAATCCGCGTGATGTGACGCATATTTGGTTCATTAGCACCGCCACTAGCTCTTCGCGTCGTTTTCTCCTCTCCCCAGTTCCATCATGGCGACATCGCTCGTCGTCACCACAAACTCCTTCGTCATAAGCCAGTACGTATCACCACTTACCTCGCTACATTTACTCAATCCAATCTAGACTTCCTCAGGTGTCGTTTCACCAATACGAAGGTAAGCATTCTCCTCTCCTCCTGTTGCATTCGACGTAGAATTACAGTCTGTAAGTATACCCTTGGCATTATCCCTACCAGTCTCAAATCCTCTTCCAGCATTCTCCCCGGATATTCCCGTCGCCAGTAAACGGGAATCGGCCATCAACAAACTGCAAGTATTGTACCCGAACATTTTCCACCCTCGCGGCGTTTTCAATGGCAAGGAGCACCTCTACATGCCCTTTGCGCTTCAGCTCCCCTCTGGACGCGGCGCAGTATGTTAATCGCGACCATCATCATCATCACCTCATCCTCACCTATAGTTTGATGTTTATTTGGGCGAAAAGTCCCCGCCTCCGCCTCCTGGAGGACGAGGCTCCTATCGTGTTACTATTTCGAGGACAGGCGCGGAAGCCATCAGTCCGGGGTACGCATAATTTTAAGCTCATCGATCGGCATCTCATCAGGCGTTCGCGTAGTCAAATTCCGGCATTGGTTGCGTCTGGTCCCACATTTGACCGTGACAAGCTCGCGACCGCGACGACCGTGCTGCAGCTCCTCATAAGGCAGTCGATTCATGAGTCAGTGCACCCTCCTTGTCTCAGTCACAGTTTTTTCACCCCCAGTCAGGAATAATCCAACTCACACCAAACGCGCCTTCTTTGGCTCAGAGGGGAAGAAAGTTTTAGCAAAGGATGGAATCGAGCTATGGAGAGGCTTTTTCCAGTGCGTGGCCTTCCAAGTACCACCTCTCTTACTGATTGGATCCGATAGTTCTGTCCGAGCGTTGTTGGTCTCGACTAGCAAGGGGATGATGGGACAAATGGTCGTTACCGTCAACACGACGATGACCGCGATGTAAGTTTAGACCAACATCTCTGTCTACTTTGCTGACCCCCCTCAAGGTTGTACACCGGTCCAGGGTCAATCCTTGACTTGGCTATGACTATTTTCGATGCTCGAAACGTGCGCGAGCTATCCGACAAACGTCTTTTCCATAAACTCAAGGCGCACTTCCTACGACGACGCATAACAACTCGGAGAATGGGCCGTGATCAGCAAACGAGATTCGTCTACGAAATAATTCCTGGTCCTGTCGGCTCATACAGCTTCACGAAAGATGGTCGCACTATCGAGCTCGCTGTGCGTTTGTTGTTATTGTCCGGTGTCTTATTTCTCATCCGTTAATGCAGGAATACTACTTTTTGACCTACAATATCACCTTGCAGTATCCCAACAGCTTTGGGGTCCAGGTCTCCGGTGAAAACGCGCCTTTCATCGTGATCCTCCCCGCCGAGCTCTGCTTTTTGATACCTGGACAGCTCTACAAGCGACGCATACCCGTCACAGCTTCTGCAGAAGCGGTCAGGTTTGCGACGCAGAGCTCTGATGCTCGTTTGCGCGCGATCAAAGGGAGAGATATGTCGGGCGCCCAGTCACCGGTATGTTCACTTGAGAGTTTTATATGCCATGTTTGAAACAGTCTAGATCTTGAGTTACAACCAGTCGCAGTACGTAGTCCAGGCGGGCATGCGCATCGACATGCAGCCCAAGACTATAGCAGCAAAACAACTTCCGCACCCCAAAATGATATTTGGCCGGGGAAGTTCTTTGGTATACCTCCTCTAAGTCATATTTTTCGTGACGTTGACCTGGTATCTAGTCTCCGAGGGATGGATCGTGGAATGTCTTGGGCAAACAGTTCGAGTCTCCCGCTCGAATGGATAATTGGGCTGTTGTGAATCTATTGAAGGAGGACATTATCCGGGTTGTTCGTGCACTGATGGAGGCTTGCCAACAAACTGGTAGGGTCTCAATGCTTAACACGTCATTCGTTTCTAATCAGCAACCCAGGAATGCGTACAGAGTCTGGTTCCTATTAACTTTTCCACGTTGATCTTTGGGATAGAAATTACCGCGAAACCTCTTATTTCCACGGGCAATCCTCAGAACGTGGAACCAGTCAGTGGAAAGTGGTGCAATTTTTCTCGCTGCTAAATGAAATGAAGGCGCTTGACGAGGTCTTTTCCCGGCTCCGAGGAAACGTCGACTTGATTGTGGTTATTCTGCCCTCGAGTGCTGATTCGGTCAAGCACCAAATCAAGTATTGGGGCAACATAAGGGTTTGTGTGTTTTTGTGTGTTTGCCTCTCTCTGATTTCTCATAGTATGGTATCCCGACGCAATGTCTCCGTCAAGGAAAGGTCAAAGCCGACTCGCAATACCTTAATAATGTTGCCATTAAGTATGGCTACCCATATGGTTGTTGTCTTTCGCTCACGTCTTCTAGAATAAACGCGCGACTTGGCGGACGATACGCTCTTCCTGAAGCAGACGTGCTCAAGGTGTTGCAATCCAACAACAGTATTGCACCGATGATGGTCATTGGCGCCGATGTTTCGCATCCAGCGCCTGGCGCTCACCAACCATCATTTGCCGGGCTCGTCTACTCAACCGACAGAGAAGCTACTCGGTACTCTGCGCTCACTGCTGTCCAGGCTCCACGCGTAGAAGAGATTCAAGACCTCAAAGCGATGATGAAGGCAGCGATTTTAAATTTTGGAGCCAACCAAAATCCGCCCCGGAGCATTCTGTTCCTGAGGGATGGTGTCAGCGAAGGTGAAATGGACCATGTGTCCCGAACTGAAATCCGTGCGATTCATGGTGAGGACATGTTGTCCACTTCTCTAGCTCGTCTAAGCTTGTGTCAGACGCTTGCGCCGAAGTCTGGGCCGAAAAGGGAGCCACCGGTCCCCTGCCTAGGATCACCTTCATTGTGGTTGTCAAACGGCATCATCAGCGCTTTTTCCCGAATCAACAGCAGTATGATTCCCTAGCATTCTAATTCCAACGTTGCTCATAGCTGGTGGCCAGGGATGCCGACAAGAAGGGCAATACGAGAGCTGGTTTGTGTGTCGAAGAGTTCAGAAGTCCCCTTGGCCTCGATTTCTTCCTTCAATCGCATGCCGCGATTCAGGGCAGTATGTGGCATTTTCTCCAAGCCTAGATTCTGTGACCGACTTTTGTTCAGCTCCCCGCCCCGCGCATTATACGGTATTGCGTGATGATATCTTTGGAAGCAACGTGGCAAAGTAGGACGTTCGGCCTGCTCACCTAACTTTCAACTTACTACCTGATCCAGCATCCAAACTGTTTGTTTCGAGCTTTGCCATGTGTATGCCAAAGCCACACGGAGTGTCTCCACCCCTGCACCTGTCTACTGTGAGTCTCTTCATGGTAGAACTGTGACCACAATTGACGTCCTTTGTAGATGCGGACGTATGTCGCTCTCGAAACCTCCGAAGAAATTATTAACAAACTGTTTTAGCTTCTCTGTTCGCAAGCCAAGTACCGCTTCCCGCCTGGCTTCGACTTTGACGCCGAGTCTACGAGCAGCGGCTCGAGCTTTGACCTTAATCTATGGAAATCGCGGTTTGGTGACGTTAGTAGACGAGAAGTCCGCCCGCACGTGTCCTTTAGTCGGACCCTGTGGTTCTTGTGATCGTGAGAATGTAACTAGTGTGTAGTGTAGTTGTACTACTTGTAGCATTTGCAGAGTGTTTTTTTTGGTTTACAAGAGAAGTCATACAAATTTCTACATGTCCTCGTCGTCTGATATATGAATCTCGTCAGCATTTGTAGCAGCGGCAACAGCACCGTTGGCTTCTCCGTCTGGTTTTGGCAGCGCGGTCTGTTTGGCGGCAACAAAAGCCATTCCACCACTGGCCTTTTCCGTCGCGTCCATGGCATCCATCGTTTCTGTCTCCTGCTCCTGCGCTGCCTTTGCCCCTTGCTTTGCGGCAATAGTTTGGGCTGCAAGATAGCTCGCCTCGGTATTGAACTGGGCCTGGACACTCCGCTTTATGCGCAGCATCTCCCTGAACGTGTCCTCCGACCCCGTCTCGATTTCGAACGTGTTCCACTCGGCCCAGAACTGTGGGAACACACGGGGGTCGCAGAACTGCGACGCGTGACCGTAGATGGCACGTGCACGGTCGATTTCGCCGAGTTTGCGCTCCAGGGCCGCAAAGCGCACGCACATCTCTGCTGTCTGTCGGTTCGGTAGGACTTCGATGGCGCGTTCGTAGATCGGCCGAGTAGCGGGGAGACCAAAGTTTTCTGTGGCTTTGGCAATGTATATGGTGTACATCTAGAGAGGCGGGTTAACAATTCGGGTCTACAAAAGGAAGACAAAACAACGCACTTCAAACTTGTCTTCATCGGCCACAAGTTGGGTCGCACGCTCGAGAATGGATATGGCGCGCTTTGCCAGCCCGAATTCTTCCTCCATCTTCGAGTATAGCAGGAAGATCGGCTTGCATGACTTGGGTGGACATTTTTCAAGCGCCTGCTCAAATAAGTCACGTGCGCGTTCCAACTTGGAACCACCCTGCATAGCTTCAGTATCAATTGGGGGAGGACTAGGGTCAGCACGTACAAAGCGTTTGATGAATTTGGACAGGTAGATGTTCCAAATCTCGAATGATATAGGGAAAGTAAAGAGTTCGACACCACGCTCGTAAACTTTGAAGCTTTCTTCAAAGTATTTGTTTTCTTCAAGGAAAGCAGCGTAGTTGACAATGATCTGGGCATTGGCGATCCTGAGCTCGAGGATCTTGTCGTAGATGGTCTTGGTTGTCTCCACGGTGCCTATTGATTCTTCCAAATCGACGTAGAATGACCATAATTTGAGCGATTTGAACAGTCGTGCTTGGGCAGTTAAAGACTGCTAAGGGGTCAGAAAACGTACAAAAAGACACAAGAAAACTTACGTGGTCGTGATAGTTGACTTTATGGTTCTTCGGAACCACGGTCGCTCGCTGCATAACACGGATAGCATCGTCGTAGTTTCTGTGATGCAGGTTATCAAAGCATGGAAACGGAGCGAAAGGCGACATACTCGTTGCGAATCTCCATCTCTGACCACTCGCACCATACCTCCGCAAGGTCCTCGACGGCTTTGAAGTTGACTTTGGTCGCTTTTTCGAGGATCTTTCTGGCGCTGTCGAGGTCGGCCTCTGCTTGACCCGTGGTACCACCCTCCTCGTAGAATTTGGCAAAGTTCACGTATAGCCGGTGTAAGTTTGCGGTCGCTCGCCGGGGGTTAATTGTATCCAGCGCTTTAGTATATGTTTCGGCCACCTAACAAAAGTTGGCACTTGGTGAGCTTCAATTGAAAATTGGACGCACCTTGTCGTCATCTTCACCCCACAACGCGACCCGCTTCTCCCATTCCTGAACATCGTTGGGATTTCTCCTTATGAGAACATCGTTAACAAGGAACGGCCTCCGATCCATCAGCTCCTCAAACTCGACCATCCGCGTGTCCAGCTCCTTCTGCGTCTCCTCAGCATCCTCATCGTCTTCCTCGTCTTCCAGACTCTGCATCATTGCGTTGATAAGTGATTCGCCGAACTCGGCATACGAGTCGAAAATTTGGGTGAAATCCCGAATAGTCAACACCGTTGCGATCCCTTGCTCGAAAACGGCTTTTGCGCGATCGAACTCGCCGCGTTTTATCCAGTATGTCGCCATGCCAGTCCATAAGCGTCCGGCCTGGTCTTTATATATCGCAAGACCGTCTTTGTGAATAATGCGCTCCACGTTAAGCTTGCGCGGGCTCCTGGGGTCCTCATCCTCGTCATAGGGCCTGGGAGCTTTCTCTGTTTCTGCAACAACGGGTGCGCCTGCAAATCGAACAACCTTCCCAGAGTCTTGTGGAGTTTCTTGCGTCGCAGCTGATTCAGCATCTTTTTTGGCGGTCTCTGTGTTGTCGGCAATGGTTTCTTCTACATCTAAGCCCACTTCATCCGCGAATTTCTCTATCACATCGAGCCAATCACAGAGAAGCTGGTATGGGCTTTTCCCTTCAGGACTTGTGTATTCCCCATGGGCCGCTTTTCGTGCTAATGAAAGCAGATATTTGGCAGCTTCCAGCGGTCGAGGCTCAGAGTTCGGGGGAGCAAGAAGAATAGCCGTGAAGCGCTCTGTGATGCTTGGATCAACAGCGAGGTAACGTCGATAAACGGCGACAGTGGTAGGTCCTCCCTTCGCCTCTGCCCAAAGCAAATATCGACACCAGATTCGAGCATGTAGCGAAGGAGGGAGAGTTCGCAGTGCACGATCATATGTATGTCGAGCATGGGTGTTTGATAGAATGGGAGGACAGAGGCGATGGGAGAAAATAGAGAGATACATAAGCCATAGGCGGGGCAGCTAAATAAACGTGTTAAGCCCAGCAACAGCACAACGAAGAGTTTGAACATACCCTTGGCAGCCACATTAACGCGCGTTCAAAGACTGCAACCAGCGATTTCCACTCTTCCCAGCCCAATATTGGGTCCAGACCACCTTCCCACTCCTCAAGATCTTCTATTTCGTCTTCCAACGCGTCCTTCATCGCAGGGAACTTTTTCTTGCCGCCAGCGCGCTTTTTTACCACGAGACGCCCACAAACAAAGGACATCCGCATCGTCAGGTATGATTTCCAGAGCTTGAAAGAGTTCGAGAACTGGGTTAATGCGGCTTCGTATATATATACGAGTCGTTGGAATGATATTTGGGACAATGGAGTTGCCAGAGGGCCCATGAGTGCTGCTACCTCGGTGGGTAGGTCTGGGGAGCCTTCTTCTCGATGTTGAGTGTTGTAGGCGTCCCGCATTGCGTGTATTGCTGTCCACCAAGCACGAAAAGAGGACATATTTCGCATGAGGTCTTCTTCGCGCTGGACATCGTTGGTGGTGATGAGGTCGGAGTGGGTGACGGGGTTGGGAGTCGGAGTGCTGAGACTCAGCTGCCCAATGAGCGACTCGAGGGTTTGCTGGCCAGCCATTTTTGTGGTTGAAAGCAAGTTCAGTCGCGCCTCCGATCACCCGTGACTCGGAGACTTGTTCACACTCCAAGCACGCAACTCTAACGCGTTGCTTTCTCTACGACCATGGTCTGCAATCCCTCATTGCCCTCTGAGGATTACCCATACCTCCATAGCACGGCGTTAAGCGTGTTAAACAAACTCCAGAAGCCCTTGCGGCTAAGAAAGTCAAGGAGCAGGCCAAGATAACCGAGTATCTCGCTCTTTCGGACGACGTCCTTGCCAAGGTCCGCTCTACTGCCTCATATCAGCAATATTTTGGCATGAATTCTATCAGAAAGCAGCTAAAGATTGGTCTCGCGATGCTTTGGAGTCAACAACACGAATTCTCCAGATTAATCCGGAGTTTTATACGGTGTGGAACTATCGCAGAAACATTCTCCTTCGCGGAATATTTCCTGAAAGGTGAGTGTTGCACAGACTGAGTTATTGGCCTGAGTCTCGCTCAGTTCACCTTCTGCAATCAACGACTTGCTAACCGAAGACCTTAACATGACGACGGCAGCTCTGAGGCTTCATCCCAAAGTCTACTGGATATGGAATCACCGCAGATGGTGCCTCGAAAATGTACCAAACGGACCAGGCACCGATGAGGAAGGGGACATTGATGGCTGGAGGAAGACTAACTGGGACAGAGAGATGTTTGTGGTGGACAAGATGCTTGATGCGGACTCACGGAATTGTGCGTTTTTCCACAACTGGGGCGCGCAATGTAGGATTAATCTGACCTTAGTCCATGCGTGGAGTTATCGCCGATACGTGCTTGCCGGCATGCCTGTTAGACGACCAGAAACCACCGAATTGGCCTATACCACCCGGAAGATCGAAGCCAATTTCTCCAACTTCAGCGCATGGCACCAGCGCACCAAACTCTTGACTTCACTCTGGGCAAGCGGAAGGCTGGACTACGCCAAATCGAAAGAAGATGGCAAGTTGACCACCTTCATCTGATTCCTGCTTTATCTTTTGCAGAGTTTGAACTAGTGCGGAATGCAATGTTCACCGATCCGAATGACCAAAGCGTGTGGATTTATCATAGATGGCTTATGGGAGAAGGTATTAACCTGACCTGTCTTACCTTTTGAAGCTTAATGCACTCTCAGGCGATGACCACACCGTACTGGAGAGGGAGATTGGGGTCATTCAAGAGCTTCTCGATGAACAACCTGACAGTAAATGTGCGACTATTTTTGTTTTTTGACTTGGCTTCGACTGACATCGTGGTCTAGGGTGCATGGAATCACAAGTGTACTACAAGCGGATCCTGCTTCGCAAGCATGCGACGACTATCGATGTTGACAGAGTACGGGAAGAGTGCAAGCATCTGCTGGGAGAACTGCGGAAACTCGATCCGGCTCGAAAAGAGCGATATGCAGAGATAGGTAAGTCTAGATGCTTCCCCCCCAACTGCCGCTGACCAGTTTCAGACAAATTGCTCTCAAGCTCGGTCTAAGATCTTTCCTTTGAGCATGTTCACAGTAGTATATTCATAACGCCAACACAACAACTATCATACAGTTCGTTCTTTGGGGGCCATGAGCGCGATTAGCACTTGCACTCGCCAGGCTTGCACTGGCAGCTGTTGGATAGGTTAGATGGTGAGGGGAAAGGGAGAGCGATGACGCACGTGGAACCGCATCCACAGCTAGAGCTGCCGCAGTTGTTCTGGGAGACGGGGGTCTGAGTGGTCTGAGGGAGAGCGGTAAGCAGAAGAGCAACATCGGGAACGAAGACGAACAGCAATCATTGTAGTGAGGAGTTTCGATTGGGTTGGAGCGGATGATGATGAAAGTGGTGGTGCTGAGGAAAGGGAGCAGACGAACCACCCCTTTTATACAGGATCGCGTGTGGCAGTGATACGGTCACGCGTCTAATCTCCAAAAAATCGCGCACTCTCCAAAAAATAGCTCATGCTGATCCATAAAGTAACTCAGGGCACTGGCGGCTCCGCAGATTGGCAATCACCTTTCTAGGCTGTAAAACCACCCGCTTTCATTCCATAAAGCAACCGCCGAGTCAATTGATTTTTTGGACTGAGTTACTTACGCCTTCATCTGGCCACAACGAAGGCTACATGGGACATTACTTCCAGTTCTGCCCTGTTTCTGCATCGAAAGCAACGCGTTCGGCCAGAGTTTGCTAGAAGAATCTGAGCAGATAATGGCTAGAGAGTGATGTGACATTTGTGACATCTTGAGACGCCGTCAACACACACGAGCCTCGAGGCAGACACGAGGCTGCAGCGAGATTGGAAGGTTACCTTTTCCCCTTTGCACCAACCACCCTCGCAGCCTCTTTGTACGCCATGGACCGTGCCGATCTCTTCTCTCGTGGCTCGACGCCTCCCATTGCTTCCCAGCAACCTCCACAGCCATTTGTTGGTCCTCCTCCCCATGAGTCCTCCAACAGTCACATCGACTCGCTTTTTCACCAGCTTAATGCCTCTGCTTCATCTACCGACCAACAGTCTGAGGCGTATTCCGGTCCCGCGACGCCCATTACTTCCAACGATGAGCAAACTCCACAAGCGCCTGCTTCTATCTCCAGCTCCAATGCAGATAGACAAAGTGCCCTTCTATCACTCCTTGGTGGGGCTCCAGCGACGACAAGAGCTCCTCCAGCAAACCCACAACAAGTCCCAACACCTCCATCCGCGTCAACGAGATCAGGTGCATCGCCAACTCATAATGAGACGCAGGGGAAAATCCTACTCGAGCAGTTAATGTCTGGGTGAGTGGGTCAATTCGATTTTCCGTCCAATGGATATTCTTTTTCTCTTTTTCGCTGCTTTGTTGTTACCTCGTGTTTTTTTTTGCGGCGCCTAATATGCGTTTTTTTTTCTTTCTTTTAGGAACCCTCCAGTGACGTCCTATGCTGATCCACAACGAGGCGCACCGACAACCGGAGCCGCACCTTCTCCACCGTATGCGCAGGGTCAGACCAACTATCGATCGTACCCGCATGACGCGTCTCCCGATTACCAACAGCGCGCTCAAGCACCTGAGCAGCCTCTTCCCCTTCCTCCTGCTCCAGTCCAACCAGCCCAGCAACAATTGCCTCCTTCGCCTCCGAAATCCATGTTCTCGTTTGTTTCTCCATTTGACGCCCTTTCTGGGTCTGTCAAAAAGAAACCGGTCCCCGCGAGTGTGTCAACAAGTGGTGCTGAAGAATCGAGCAGTTGGACGAACCTTTCGGATCCCAAGCGACAGTCTGTGGACAATCTGTTGGAGCATCTGACGCGCGGGACAGCGTCACAAATTTCGGGTCCTCCAGCTTACGAAGCTTACCTTGGAGGAAGCGATTTCGGCTCGTCTGCAACGGAGTCTTCACGTGCTCCCGTCCCAATCATCCCGCAAAAGCCAGTTCCGAATCGCACGGCTTCACCACGAGGCTCTCCGCCAAAGGCACATGCTCAACGTGCTCCCGTTGGCCGCGCGGCTGATTCGCCTTCCGGTCCGCAAGCGACAGTCCAGCAGGCCGGAAACGGGAGTCGAAGAGAGAAGGAAAGCTCGCCAGGACCGCGTGGTGGTTACAGGAAAGAAATGAGGCAGGCAAAGGGCAATAAAAACGCCAACCAAAGCCCTAGGTTTGTGGATGCTGTCTTTCTCCATTATGCATTACTTAGCTCCCTGGTACAGTCCTCAACCTCAAAATATTATATTCGACGTTTCTCAACCGCTGGACGAAATCCAAGCTTCTCGCGACTTTGTCAAACCGACAGCTATCGCGCTGGTGAAGCAGGAACCTATTTTCGTGTCTGGTACAACCATTGGCGCTACTCATTGGGTGGCATATGCCATGACTAGAGGTACCGGAGTAGCAACACACATATTCTTTTTTTTTCTAACTTGAAACTCAGGTCGTGTTCGTGTCATTTCGCGATCCAGCGGTGACCGTACCTTGCTTCAACTTCCTGCTGGTACCTTCCCCAGCACATCTAGTGTAACCGACATGGCCGTGTATGGCAATCGCTTGGCTGGAGTCACTACTGACGGAGGTTTCGTTGTTTGGGAACTTCCAGAGCTCATCACTGACGATGTTCCGTGCGTGTTTTTATCTATTACCAACGGACATAGCTCATATGTCACTCAGTGGCCAAATTCTACTTTGTGTGCCTCCATTAGGCGTTGATTCGTCTCTCGATCCCTTACACTCTGTGAAATGGCACCCGAAGGAGCCTGATACTCTTGCTGTTGCCTCTCAAAGCAAGCTTTACCTGATTGATTTGGGCAACATCCACTCGTTCCGTGGGAGTCCCATTCCTCAGGCTGAGTTGCCCCATATCGCGCAGTCTTTCAACATTCCTGCTGTGAGTCACTCCTGCGGGCCTAGTATAACTACTGAAGTGCTATTACGCAGCCCCTCGTCGCCTTTGACTTCGACATTATGCACTATGCCCTTGCGACCATTTCAGAGGACTCGACTTTGATTATCTGGAATATCCACGACAGACTCCCTTACACTACCCACAAGATCCGCGGGGAGGACATTCCTTCATCCATCACCTACGTCGACAACGGTATCGTTGTTGGGCGGAAGAACGGGACTATCCTTCAATTGCTTTCAATTACGACTAAAAACGTTCTTTCCACGATCAAGTTCGTGAATGGCAATACGGAAGACCCCGATATGTTCGGCCATGTCAGTTATGACTCTCGTATATCGACTCTTTGGGTGGCGAATTGTCGTCGGGAGAGCATGATTGCACTAAAGCTCCATCTCGAGTCGTCTATGGGTCCTGGAGACGATGCTTTCCGTGGCTACATTGACCAAGTTGTGGAGTTCCCGGGGCCCAAATCGACAATTCATTTTGTTATCCTTACTGGCGATGCTGATCCGCACGGAGATGAGGCGCATGCCGCTTGTGTCGCTGCCAAGGTGCCCGTGGGAGAACTTGCTCTGGTCGCCTTCTCCGTCCATTCGAGCGGGGTAGACCAGATTCTGATTCGCAAGGAGTGGTTCGATCAAGCATTGACGTCGGCCACTTCCAAGTACCCGAATATGTACCCTCTACCTCCTGTTATCCCTCAACCCCCACTCGAGCCCAAACCGCGCCCGGCGGTCCAGCCTTCGCTGCCTCCTGCGGTTCCCGTCAACCCCCCGCCACGCATTAGGACCCCATCTGACGATGGTGAAGGGGAAGCTCCACAAGAGAACCGAGGTCAAGAAGGCAAGGGTCGAGGCGGTCGAGGCAAGAACGTCAACTGGAAAGACAAGGACGAGAAGAATGCGAAGAATGCAGATTCGGCAGCTCTAAACAGCGACGTCAACCAGGCTCTTAATCGTGAAATCCGCAAGATGGAGGACAGCCTCCACACACGTATTGGGCGCTTGATCGGTAAAGAGATGGATAAGCAGAGTCAGTGGTGTTGTTTCGTTCAGGGAAATGAAATTGATCATTTATTGTTTTCAGACCAGCGTCTAGAAGAGGCACGCGCCCATGACCAATCGGAGGACTTTGCGCGTCAAGAGAAGATCCTCAAGCTTATTTCCACAGAGTTAACGCGCAATACGACACGTGTTGTGGAGATGGCTGTGAAGAGTGAGGTGCAGACGTCTGTGTTGCCTGCCCTTGAGGCGATGACCAAGAACGAGGTCAAGACGGCGCTAAACGAACGCGTTAGTTCTGGGTTTGTTGATATCGTCAATCAAGTAAGTTGCCACACGATGCGTTCTCACGATTACGTGCATGTTGACATCGTTCCACAGAGTCTGCCTCTGGAAATTGAGAAGCTTCTCCTTCGCCCTGATATTTCTGCCCACTTTGCCCACATGTTGTCGTCGAACTTGACCCCACTGATCGATCGTCATGTCAAGGAGACGGTTAATAAGGCTCTCATTCCAGCCTTCTCGCAACAGACGACCGCGATGCACCAAGAGCTGTTGAGGGAGCTCCGCACTGATATTCATGGGATCAAGACAGAGCTCACTTCGTGGCAGAGCGAGGCTTTCCGGAGTCAAGAGGTGAGCGATTGACAAGGGTTTTCGTTTTCTTTTACTGATTCGTGCAGGCTTCGATTCGAGAATTGGAGCATACCATTCGTGGTCTGTCAGAGCAAGTCAAATTCCTGACCATGAACGCTGGTGCGATGCATCAATACCAGCCACCGCCGCAGCCTGGGGTCCATAACTCTCCTGGACCCAGTGTTCAGCATGCCCAGCCTCCCCATTTGCGGTCGCAGAATATTCCCCCTGGCCCTCAGCCACAAAACTATGGGCCACACTTCCCCCAACAGCAACAGCCTCAACCAGTGATGCATGCTGGATGGTACGGGCCGCCAATCGCCGCGCCACAGGCCTCCCATCCAGCAACGTTGCCACAACCTCCGCCACAGCCGACTCAACAAGAAAGGTCGCCACCCATCAAAGCTGAGCAATGGGACGATATTTATTTGGGCGTGTTGCACACTCAGGACCCAACGAAGCTCCGCGAGCTACTCTCACACACGAATCCAGAACTAATTATGCCCTTGAACGGGCCGACACTCGTCTCGCAGGCGGTGATCCTCACACTCGTTGCGCGCTTGTCTGCTGTCCTGTCTGAAACAGCCACCGGTGATGAGTCGTTTAAAAACACGCTCTGGTGGCTCCAACGAACTGCAGCGCTGCTTCGTCCAGAGGACAAGTTGATAACCGATTTTATTCCGCGGGTGTTGCCTGGTGTGCAGACCTCCCTCATCGCGACCAAGCAGCGGCTGCCGCTTGTCCAAGGGGGACCCCCGACGCTGGAGATTGCACGAAGTGTCACGGATGTTCAGGAGATTTTACGACGCAAAATGGGTGCCTAACTAATGAAAACTTACTTTCTTGGATTTGATGAGCTGCTAACGACGACTTGCTATACATACTGAAAAACCGCTGTTGTACCTACTGTTTTGTTTCAACGATGCTCTACTCTACTCGCGCAAAGTGGGATGATCATGCCTTGATTAGGTAAGATTCCGGAAATTGTGATGGGGCCGAAACGGCTTGCGCGAAAAAAGTGGGATGGTGCCATACTAGGTAAAGTTCCGGCGCAGAAGTTTTTGATGGGCCCGAAACCAGGCTTACGCTGCGCGGCCAGCACTGCCAACGACTCTTTCATACTCTACGACCTACTACTAGCTTACCATGTCCGCGAATAAGGGCTGGTTCAACCTCGAGTCCGCAGGGTCGGGCATCCCGGAGACGCAATTCTTCGAGGGCGACTCGGCGTTCAAGTTTCTTGGGCTGTCTCGCACGACAAGATTGTACGGCTTTGTCGGATGGTGTGTGTTTTATTCAAAGAGAGGGAGTTGGAGCCGAAATTTGCTAGTCTGGCGCTGGGATTTCTCCTGAGCATCCTAGGCAGCATCGTGCTTTTCCTTGGGCAAATAACGCTCTTCGCTTGTGAGTAAACCCTTTGCTGCACGTCTCTCACACCGGCTGACCGCCTTTCCTCCAGTCTTGTATGGCCTGGGCACAGTCATATCGCTCGCGGGGACGGGTTTCCTCATCGGCTTCTTCACGCAGCTAAAACTCGTGCGTGGCGGTGTCTCCGAGCTGCGGTAAGCTGACCTCCGTTAGATGTTCAAACCCGTGCGTGTTGTGGCCACCATCGTGATGCTGGCCTCGATCGGCATGGTGTTTGTCGGCGCATTCGTATTGGGCAACGAAATTTTATGCATCAGTGCGTTTTTTCGATTCCAGTCTTTTCCGAGACTAATGGACCTCAGTCCTCGTCATCATCCAGTTCCTGGCGTATACTTGGTACAGCTTGTCCTACGTCCCTTACGCACGGACGGCCGTCAAGCGCATGGTCGGCTTTGGCTAAAAAATCGAGTACTACGGAACCCTTTTACTCCTTTCTCTCGGCTGAAGCTTGCTTATATATTTCCTCTTTGCACGACCGTGTATCACGATGCACCGAAAAAATAAAACCCTACAATCGCGATACCACTTTACCCACGAAAGTTGTTCTTCGCTGTCCTGAGGGCATCCATCAGCGCCGAATCAGTTGTTTCTGCCTCAGCGCCGAGCGAGCGTCTAGATGGCACATTCAGTTCTAGACTTTGGGTTTATGAGCTGACTGACCGTATTTCCTCGCTCGCAAGTCTCATGAACGGATTCCACTTCTTCTCGTCTCCGATCGTCGTGAGTCCAGTGGTGATTGCATTCCCACGGACGAGGTCCTCGAGTCGGTCCAGTTCGGCATTCTTGGCCTCGACTGACCTTGCGAAAGCGACGTTGCTGCCGGTGTATTCGTGGCCGACATAGGTGATGGTCTCGTCGGGGAGTGTGCCAAGATAAGTCAGCGCTGAATGCATTTCTGGGGCGGTGCCCTCAAAGAAGCGCCCACAGCCGGCGATGAAGAGTGTGTCGCCGGTGAAGACGCCGCCTGGATGGGACGGGTCGGATGGGTCGGTCACGTGGAAGCATATCGAGTCCTGGGTGTGGCAGGGCGTCGCAAGACATTTGACGCGGATATTCTGGCCCAGCGTGAACTCGTCTTTGTCCTTGACGATCTTGGTGGCTGCGGGGCTCTTTTCGGAGCCGGCGTAGATAACGGCGTCTGGGTAAGTCGATGCGAATACCTATTTATTTGGAGTGAATGAATGAACTGCATAGGGTTTAAAACGCGCACCTTGTTGCCGCCCGAGTGATCTTGGTGGTGGTGGGTTGTGATAGCGGCGACGATGCTGACGCCCAAATTGTCTGCAGCCTCTGTGACTGTGGGGACATCGAATGGATCTACAGCAGCGGCGGTCTTTGTCGCTATGTCGACGAGAAGGTAGGCATAGTTGTCCTGGCGCACCGGGACCGGGATAATCTGCATTGCTCTTCTTGCGAGTGACGAACGGAGGCAAGATCTCAGCATTGACTGATGGCCGGTCACGCCATACGAATTGAATTGGCTGCCACGGCGATCGGCATCTGGTCAATCCTGTCAATCCTCGACTGGCTGCAGTATGGACCGTGTGCTCGTCAAACCGTTCATAAGGGCCAGGGCGGTAATCGACGAATCTGTTTCCTTTCCCCCTTTTTCTTCCTTTCCCTTCTGCCCGTGCTGGACACAACGTTGATGCTCAGTTATGCCCCCGCTCTCGGAAAGACAGCTGCTCGGCGGAATCGCGCATCTCGCGGTGCGTGTGCTTGCTAATCGGTTGAGTGCTGGTTACTGAAAAAGTTTACAGTCGGATGCTGGTAAAGTTATTGGCGCGTTAGTTGGCGGGCCAGATGGGCAGAAACCCCCGGGTCCTCCCACTCCAGGTCAAGGACCTCCGAAACCTGGCTCACCTCCTGGTCCCCCGCCTGATAAGCCTCCACCCCCGCCAGCTCAACCACCAAAACCCGACCCCCCGCCACCAAAGCCCGATCCGCCCGCAACTGCTGCATCAGCAGCCCCGACGGTTAATGGGGACGGTGACGATGGTGACAGGAATGGTAATAGTAATCACCACCAAGGGAAAGGGGGCAAGCACAACGGCAACGACAGCAATAAGGACAACAATCCCTCGCCGACTAGTACAACACAAACCCCGCCATCTACACAATCGCAGCCCCAGCCTGTTGAGGGCGGCGAACCAGAACGAGCACCCGCTCCTCAAAGTTCATCTTCAGCGATGAATAGTATACCCAGCTTGAACTCAAGTGTTCCCCCCGCCTCCATAAGCACCAGCAATGACCCAGATTTTGGCATCCCGACCCCCCCGATAGTATTCCCCAGTCCCACCGCATCACCGCTTCCCGCTTCAGTCTCCCCGGTCGCCGCGGCATCCCGTCAGTCTACTAACGCTGGCGCAATCGCTGGTGGGGTATTAGGCGCACTAATACTCATCGCACTCGTTGTCGCTGGCTCTATCATGTTCATTCGCCGTCGCAGAAACAGGACTGCACCTTCTGCAGAGTTCCTCACCGTCCACCCACCAGAGACGCCCTTCAGGCGATTGGATTCATTCCAGGCGTCAGAGATGCGCGCCTATGATGATTCGCGTTTGGCAACGAGGGACTATTATTAATACCTAGATAGCAAGTCTTGTTTGCAGCGGGTGTAATCACAGATGCTGTCTGAGCATTTCCAGTTGTCTTTGTTATTCTTGAAAGCAATCTTCCGGCCGGCCTTCAGTCAAAGTAAAATTAATAGCAAGGCAGTAAATCTCCACAGTTGTACCCTTCTACACGAGATCCCAAATCCGAAATCCAGCCAGCTAGTTGGCCAATATGGCCTGTACAACATTTGCTACCCGCAGTTGTCGCAAGTCAGTGTAGGTCTACCGGTGCTAATCAGCTATCTGCACAACAATAGCAACGCCTGGCGTACCTGTCCACACCCCACAAAGATAATCGGCTGTCCAGTCACGTAGGTCATCGACAACGCCGCGCCAACCTTGTCGTCCACCGTGTCCCACTTGGTCACGAGCATCCCGTCGATTCCGCGTCCCTTGCCTGCCCCCGAGGCAGACGAAAAGTCGCGCAAGGCCCGGTCGAACTTGGTCAGTTGGTCCACAGCCTCATTCCCCACAAGCGCCTCGCCCACAAAGATGATCTTGTCAGGCGTGTTGACCGCCACCAGCTACAATATTATCAGTTGCGTCGTCCGGGTATCAGAGAACGGCCATCGTACCTTGGCAAGAGCCCGCATTAACGGCTATCCGCACAAAGTCAGACATGAATGACAGAGATAACAAATGATTCCCCACCTCGTTGTCCTGCATCCGCCCCGCAGTGTCGATGAGCACCACGTCAAAGTCATTGTCTTTGGCTTTCAAGTAAAATCAGAAACTGAGAGTCAACTCGAACGGAAGACAGACCATATGAGATGGCTTCACGCGCGATGCCAGCAGCATCTTTCCCGTAACCACGTTCAAACAACTCCACCCGCCCTTTGCTGTCTGTTGCCCCGTTGACGCCAAGCATACCCAAGTTGCGAACATGCACTCGCAATTGTTCTACGGCGCCACTCCTGAATAGATATGAGAATCACCCAACGGAATTGTTAATCAGATAACCCACCGGAAGGTATCACACGCCGCGATGAGGACGCGGAATCCGTTCTGGATGAGCCAGAAACAGACCTTGGACAGGTTCGTGCTCTTCCCGACCCCATTGACGCCAACAAACGTTATGCTGTAAGGCATCCGTTGCTGCGTCGATGTGAGTGGAGACGAGAGCTTCGTCCTGATGGAAAGCAGGAGGTCTGTCGATGTTTTAGGCGTTAGGATACGCGTCAGGGAAGTCGACAGCGCTAGTCTAACAGCCGCATTGGTCGCTGAAAGCTGTTAGCACAAAAAGACACTCTCACGAATAAACATACTCTGAAATCCGCCGACTTTCTTACCCACAAGACTCTCTCCAACGCCCTCGCAGACTTTGTCCGCAATTTCCTTCGCTACATTTTTCTTCATCAGATGTTGCTTCATCCCATCAAGCACCGGCTTGAGATCCTGCTCCGTAAGCACTTTGGAGCCCGTTAAGCGGGAGAAAAGCGATCCCAATGCACCAAGGGAGCTAGCAGATGCACCACTTTTTGTGACATCAGCTGACTTTAACGCGTCGGCAATCGCATTGTCGTCGTCATCTTTGGAGAACTCCCAGTCCTTGACCTCATATGTACCATCCTTGCTGCGCGTGCCAAGTGACGTAGAGTCAACAAGCGCATCAAGGTCTTGTGAAGTGCCCATTGCGTCAGCGGGAGAGTCCATACTGAAGTCCAGCGACGCCATGTCATCTTCTGTTGGCGCCTGGTCCCCCCATTTCCGCTGGGCCTTGGCGACTTTGGATTTTCGTTTCGTGGGGGCGGATTCGGAGCTATTTGGGGAATGAGATGATAAGTATTTTTCGTGGAGCGATACTTACTCAGAGTTGGGAACGCTATCCCGACCGCTGCCCGAATCCATTCGCGAGGGACCCCGCCCCCCGCGTTTACCGCCTCGCCCTCGAAGTCGATTTTTGAGTGCCTGTACATTCCGCGCAATTTGTTGTTCATCCAAAGGCGTATCAGAAGCTTGAGTTGGTTCTGCAACAGTTTTGAGCAGCGGACACGGTGGGATTAATGATAACCAACGTGTCTCCGAGTCTTCCGACGGAGGACTATTCGATTCTTCAGCTGGAGCGCGGACAACTGGCCGCAGTCGTGACTTTCGGTCCTATTACGAGTTGAACAACAACAATTCCCGAGCTGCATAAGAACTCACCTGCGCTGCCTTGTCTTCTAGATTCCGCAACAGTTTATCGAATATTTTGTCCCAGCCCTCGAAGGCATCCGCAAAGTTGAGAGCGCTGGCTGTTTGCACGACAGTCGCCTTTCCGCTGTTCAAAGCATGTAGAGACGCAACAAAGGTCGCGAGGAATGGCTGGAACATCTTGACGAAGAGAGTCTTGAGTGCAGCGAGTAGGTCATCGACATAGGTCAGTTGGAGGATGCGCTGGTACGCGACCTGATGTTAGACATCTTTTCAGCGTTTGCGCGGCTAAGAGAACGTGGCTCAACACGCACGACGAATATAAGCTCGAGGTCGTTTACGAATGTCCATTTGACAGCATATCCGTCCTTCTCATACTTCTCTTCAGCCGTCCGACCTTCTATCAGCGCCTCTCGGACCAGCGAGTTGACGGGTGAGGCTGACGATGAGGCAAGTTGCGAGGCGTCTGGTGTGAAAGCTCGTGACCACAACACAATACCACCTGCTAGCCAATGAGTACAAGTAAACGAGAGCAGAGAAACTCGCCTTTATGGGATATTGAGAGGTAATCAAGCATTTCAAGCAAGTGATCGCAAGAAGCAAGTTGATGAATTGAGTAATCTCAATTGGGCAACACGAAGCTTGGGACATGTACACTATTTTCTCAAACCCCGCGCCATACTCTCCAGCCTACTACCCCTATTCCACCAAGCACGAACCCAACACCACCCGCAACGATAGCAAATATAAGTGTCGTTCGTCCGTCAGGTTGATGTTCCCATCGCTTTACTAACTCTGTGTCGGTGTTCCAAGCATCGATTTCGTCTGGCTTTGCGTCCTCCTCCTCATCTGGATTGCCTTGCTCGTCTACGTCCGGGCCACGTTGTTGTCGAAACTCGCTGAGAGCCTTATCAGGATTGGTGAGGCTGAGCAATCCTATCTGCGGCACCGGCTCGTAGTAATGGACTGCATAGACGTTGCGTAGAAAAGTATCGCCGAGTAGCCAGTCTGCTGAGTTGACTTTGTCGTTCCCTTGTATCCCTCCAGTGCACCAACCGCCGTCAGCTCCTTCCAGACCATGCAAGGTCAACTGGGTGAATGACATATTCGGCAGCCGGTTGGCCAAGGACTATGGTTACCAGAGCACCTAGAGTACACCGAACCTGATAGCCTGTCTCAGGACTATAGCGTGCGCCTTCTCCTAACAGTCGGTAGAAAGCTTTGACATCAGCGACAGGTCCAAGAATAAGAGTCGTGCCAGAATCTAGGACAGCAATTGGATATGATGCAGAAGGAATGCGGGAGGATGAGATCTCGAAGGGTACGCCATTGAGGGTGAGTCGGAGAATTGAGAGTTTCCAGTAGTCGTATCGTGGGCCTGTGCGAATTACTGGAGAGGTAGCTAAAAGTGAAGGATTCGGCGCAAGTTGTGGGTCAAGTTTGCCAATGGTGAAAGATGCATTTGGATCTGAGGAGCCGGACATGCGAGGGAGGTGAAATGCAAAAAAACGTTGTGCGGGATTGAACGATGACATGAGGTTTTCGAGTAACGTTGCACCAGCGGCGGAGGAAATTGCGGCAGAGGCGGGAAAACAAAGACCCAGAATTCCGGATGTCATTGAAGAGGCGAGTCCTAGCTCGGCAGTTTGGAAAACAGTGGCAAGGGCTTGGTTCTTGATGCGATACGATCCAAACGAGACGGTGTCGTACACAATCTCTCCACGCACTCGACCAGCAAGATAGTTCAGGTTGAAAGGAAGTTGAGCGTCGATGAGAGTGTTTGACGCGTCTGATGAAAAGCAGGTTACTGCCTTACAGTCTGAGTCTTGACAGGATGAATCGCAGACCCAGAAATCGGAAGAGCCTGTGTCAAGAACATATTCGAACAGTTGAGGCGGCTCGCCTATGCCAGCCTTGACGTTGTATGTGCTGAAAATAACAAATAAGGACTGGTGGGTTGTGGAGCGGGGGTGTTGACTGACTATTGCTGACTGTTGAAGACATCGATGCCGCCAACGGCTTGACCAAGGTGAGGGAGTCTGGCAAACGTTCTGGCTGGAACGCGAGATATAGGCAAGCTCAAACCAGACTGCTCGGCGCGAACGGCTAAGGCGGGGAGAAACATGATTCACAGCCGCCGCGTCACGCCGTGACGCGCGTCACTGCCCTCTCCTCGAGCCCACCATGCACACCAGCGAATACGACTTCCTGTTCAAGCTCCTGCTTATTGGCGACTCGGGTGTTGGAAAGGTCGGTCTCTTTTATGCCTCCCCTTTTCTCTCCTGGTTACATGGGACTGTAGTCGTGTCTCCTTCTGCGGTTTGCCGACGACACATATACGGAGAGCTACATCAGTACTATTGGCGTGGACTTCAAGATTAGGACTATTGAACTTGAGGGCAAGACTGTGAAGCTTCAAATCGTGTGTTTACCACCTATTCCTTGGTTTACAGCCACCTCATGTTTTCTCAGTGGGACACCGCTGGTCAGGAACGTTTCCGCACCATCACCTCCTCTTACTACCGCGGTGCACATGGCATCATTGTCGTTTACGATGTCACTGACAACGGTATGCCCTTTTATCCGCTATCATAACCACTCTAAGCACTGGTTTCTAGACACCTTCACCAATGTCAAGCAATGGCTGCAAGAGATTGACCGTTATGCATCAGAGGGTGTCAACAAGCTGCTCGTGGGTAACAAGTCCGACTTGACAGGGAAGAAGGTCGTCGAGTACTCAGTTGCAAAGGTCGATATCCCTCTCGATAAACCCCGTCTTCGTTTGCTGATTCAATCGCTAGGAATTTGCAGACTCGCTCTCTATTCCTTTCCTTGAGACTTCGGCCAAGAACGCCACCAATGTCGAACAAGCATTCTTGACCATGGCGAAGCAAATTAAGGATCGGTGCGTATTTTCTTGCTGAGCTTTACCACACTTTCTCAATCGTCAAAGAATGGGTTCTACATCCACACCTGCTGGTCCCGGAAAGTCAACCACCATCAACCCCAATGGCGGTCGTGACTTGAGTGCGCAACCATCCTCTGGTTGTTGCTAATTGGTCTTGCTCGATTTATGGGCCGCACGTGATCTCCGCCAGAGAGAACGCGTTGCGTGTCTAGCGCCTTGTCGGACCACGCCGGACTGGACTGGATTCTCGTTCTTTTTTCCTCGCTCTCACCTACACTTAGCGTACAGCGCCTCCGTATACACCGCCATCGCGTCTTTTTTACTTGTGAAATGCATTTCCTTTCTTCCCCGCACGTGCTGCACCTCCGTTTAAGCTCAAGCTTACGCTGCACCTTCTCGAAAACTTTCAAGCTTCCCGCAGTCAATTCATTTCCACAGCAATTCAGTTGGTGGAGGATAAAAGACGACTGGGGGGCATTTTCTGCCTCTCCAGCAGACCATAATGCCCCCGCAATCCGTCCGCGTCCTCACCAACTCGTTCGTGATCAAAAGGTTTGTCTCTGACATCCTCGTTGTTTCTCACGCTCACACTTAACAGCCTCCCAAAGCTCTCGTATATCCAGTATGAAGGTGAGTTCGATGTCGTTCTTGCGAGCGTTATCACTGACATGCTTTGTTTAGTTTGTGAGCGGCGTTCCGTTTTTCGTTCCACTGTCCTTTGATTTTGTTTAGCATTCGGTCCTGGGGACATCAAGGCAGCACCCAAACGACAAAGACTTGTCCATAATATGCAAATAGCTTTTCCCGCAATTTTCACGTCCCGGGCTTTATACGACGGTGGGGCACTTCTGTATACTCCGGTCGAACTCACAACAACCGTGGTATGTGTGACTTTTCACATTGTTTGTCCACAAACTTTCTTGTTTCCAGTTTCGGGTTCATGGCTCCAACCAGTCGGCCCCTCCCGACGCGTATGGTTGGTACGAAGTTCGACTCACCCGAACCTCAGGACAAGTTATCAATTCGCAGTGAGTCATTTTCTTTGCCATATATTCCTTCCTCATACTGAGATTTTGCCAAGGTCTTTCACATCCATATTCGCTTCGAGCAAGACAACTTCCGAGTCGGCTTCAGCAGCCAATCTACTCCAATTGATGCTTTGCCAAACCCAAAACCAAGATCAGCCCGGCAACAAAAAGGCGTATTTCTTCGAACAAGGCAAGATGCGCATCCCCAAAATGCCAATAGAGCTTTGGCATGGTTTTCATCAAGCTGTCCGGCCCAGTCCAGGAAGACTCCTCGTCACTGTCGACACGACGGTGGCTGCAATGTACATGAGTGGTTCGCTTATGGATGCAGCTCTAGCTGTGCTTGGGGCAAATGATGTCCGCCGTCTAGGACCAGACAACCAAAAACATCCTGACTTCATCACACTCCAGAAATTTTTCAAGAAGAAGCAAATTTATGTCAAAAATTTAGGGAAACGGGTCAAGACCATATACGCATTAATGCCTGGTCCCGTTGGCCCCTTCGAATTTCAGAGCAAGGGAAATGGACCGATGACCACCATTGCGGTGAGTTTTCAACTCGTATATGCTGAGTAATGGTTCTAATTTCTGCAGGAGCATTATAAGGCGGCGCACAACATCAGACTGCAATACCCCAATACTGTTGGAGTTGTAACGTCCGGAAAGAGTGCTCCGTTCCCAGTCGTTATCCCGATGGAGCTTTGCGAAATAGTACCTGGCCAACCCTACAAGAAAAAGCTTCCGCCAGATGCTGGTGCAACGGTCATCAGTTTCTCCGTTCTCAAGCCGGAAGAACGTCTCGCGAAAATCACTGGCGGCACCCACGGTGTCGCTTCGCCCGTTCAGACGTATGGCACATCCGAGTTTATGGCTGAAGCTGGTATGTTTTTCCTCGGTTTCAATCAATCCGCATGGCCGACCGCGTCATCTAGGTGTTGAGGTCAGCACTGTGCCCATGACAGTCATGGGTTCGCTGCTTGAAGTTCCGCCACTGATTTACAACAACAAAAAACTAGTGGCACGTTCTCTCTATCGTATCACAGTCGAGAATTGCTTATATTCGAATAACCAGAATCCTCGCGATGGCTCTTGGAACGTTCTCGGGTCGCAATTTAACTCACCTGCAAACATCCAGAAATGGGGCCTCGTTAACTTGATTCCTGGCCTCCCGTATCCTCGAGTTCAGTCCATCATGAAGCAGCTTGCCGATTGCTGCGAGAATCTTGGCATGAGTATGTCGTACCCTCTGGACATTTGTGACTACTGACCGCTATATTTTCAGAGGTCACTCCTCCCCCAGACGGCGCCATAGTTCAAGGCAATCCCGGCTCAGTCCGCAGCGTGAGTTTTTGCTCAAGTTTTTGTTCTTCCGAGGCTAACGACATATTAGTCGCTTGAAAATGTTTGTCGCGTTCTGGACAAACCTGATATAATTCTAGTCCTGTTGCCCGCAAATGCAGAAGATCTCCGAGCTGAGGTCAAACACACCGGTGACATCGTTCTTGGTGTCCGAACACAGTGTTTGCGCCAGTCTAAATTACCTCAAGAGGGTCCCCGTGCTTCTCAATACTATAACAACGTGGCGCTCAAGTAAGTACAGCCTTTGTTCCGCGTTCAATTCATTTGATCTCACAACGCTGTAAAGGGTCAACGCGCGAATGGGAGGCCGGAACGCTCTGGTCAAATCTGCCGCCCTTCTAGAAGTTTCGCAAGCGCCTTTCATGATATTCGGCGCCGATGTTGCGCATCCTGGACCCGGGCAAGCCCGCCCGTCGGTTGTCAGCCTTGTGTGGTCCATGGATCAGTATGGTGCAACCTATTCGTCAACCACGCGTCTTCAGCCGCCTCGCACGGAGATCATTGTCGACCTCAAGGCCATGTTCAAGCAGGCCATCGTCATGTTCGGTAACAAGTTTAGAAGAACCCCTGCTCGTGTCTTTTTCTTTAGAGATGGCGTCTCGGAGGGCGAGTTTACCACTGTCAGCACAGAAGAAATAGTTGCTATCAAGGGTAAACCACATCATCTGCCTTTGCTGAAAAAATCCTTGGACTCATTTATTCCAGCTGCGATTGACGAAGTTTGGACCGAGCGTAAAGTTCCTGCGGTCAAGCCCACGCTCACCTTCCTGGTTGTTGGTAAACGCCACCATGTGTCGTTTTTCCCGTCTCCTCAAGACCGGTTTGTCGAAATTGCTTGTGTTGTCTTGTTCTAACTTGCTTCGCTATCTTAGTGCGGTCGGCGATAGGACAGGAAATTGCCGCGCCGGTCTTGCTGTCGACAACGACCTCCGCAACCCTCAGTTCAAGGACTTCTACTTGCAGTCTCACGCGGCGATTAAAGGCAGTAAGTAATCGGATAATGCTGCTGTTTTAATTTCCGCCAATTCGCACGTAGCGTCGCGCTCCGCTCACTATACGATCCTATTGGACGAGAACTTCAACGAAAACCTCACCAAGTAGAGTCCATTCTACTCTCAGTTTATTCACTAACGTATTTTCAGGTTGCAAGAGCTTTCATTCGCTCTGTGCCATATCTATGCGAAGGCCACTCGATCAGTCTCCATCCCAGCGCCAGTCTATTGTACGTGTAACCATTCGCTCCCTGCGATTTGATTCCTTACTCGCTCGTTGCAGATGCAGATGTGGGTTCCTTCTGCCCCCCGATCTTGTTTGGTTACCTAATCGTATTATAGCTGGCGTGTGCCCGCGGTAAGTTCCACATCCAGCCCGGTTCGGATGTCGAAATCGATGGGTCCACAACAACCGGTGGTTCAAACAAGGAGTTGGATTTGGACAAGTGGCAGAAAGTTTTCAAAGACGTCCACCCGAACATGCTTATGAACATGCCTTTCTTGTAGTGAAATGTAACAGAGTACTCGAAAGAACTTGAAAGAAGTGGTGGTGGGCCCTGTCGAAAGTCTTGTGAGGACGGAGCCATGGGCCGCGGCTATACCTGTGCAAATCTTCCGTCGACTTCCGATGTTCCTAGTTGTTAACATTGAGAGCGGCAAATTCGAAACATATGGCTGCCATATGGAGACCAAGGCCCAAACACATTTCCGATTCGACGGTGGATCAACGGGCACCTTTTGAGTCTTGAGACTGGTCATTTGTTGAGCGGAATCATATTGGCCGACGTTGATGACAACTGTTTGCGGTATGTACGTGTTGCCTAAGTACTGCGGTTTTGTTCCCTCGGAGCGGGTTTCACAGATTTCGAGTAACCGATCGCCTGAAAAAGTGTCGGGCTATTTCGGGGGAATTCAGAGTGAGAGGATATCACGCCGATGCGGAGGATATGCCCTTGGCGCCCGGTATCGACACACGCCATTGTGACGACTGGGCGCCTTGTTGAGCGATGATGGGGGGTAGGACTCCACAGGGATGCGGTTTAAATGACGAAGGCTACAAGCACGGGCGTCTCAGTGTGGTTTGGTGATCTTCGCAGCCACCTGATTGACTTGGGAGGGAAGGGTGGGTGGGGCGGAGACCGATACCAAGAAGGAATTCTGAGACGGATACGACACGGGGGATCGAAGCGATACGAGCTAGGGCAACTGTGTGAGACAACGGCCAATACGGCAAGCGAGCCTTGAAGGGTTTCCAAGAAAAATATCAAAGATCGGCTACGACAGGGCTATTGCAGGAGACATCTGAAGGTTGCGTGTGTAGAAATTCACGGGAACTTGGTCGCTGAGAACGAATAGGGAAGATGCGGCTGATGAGAGGGGTGGAGAATGTGCTCATCGGCCCCAAAAAGGGAGTTTTCTGTGTCAATGGTTCCTGTCATGGTTTGAATCAGGCTCAACTGGGGAGATAAGAGCGATTCTGGCTTCACAGACAAGCAGTGAAAGGGCAGTTAACGGGCAGGCGTAACCGGGTGGAGAACGCGCAGTTTAACAGCAGGAGCATTGACGGCAGAAGTTTCCGCTCAATTTGGACGCGGGGTGACAACACACATGTCACGGATGTCATCGCGGCTTGGCTACTTAAATCGCTAACATGAAGTCCGCAATCGCTTCCCAACGGTACCCCACCCACACTATCCCTCATGTCAGCTCTCCAACTCTTACTCGAAGACGCTCAGTGCTGGCCACCCCATCTTGAACCCTGGCACTCTCTCTTGACTCCATATCCCGCTTTCTTCTTCGACCGTATGTCCAGTCCCTGCCTTGCACTGTGAGCTACAGTCTTAGATTTTTTTTCCAGAACCACCTTCCCCGACCGAAACGGTCTCGTCTTCTTCTAGCTCGTGGTCACCTCCCCCGACCCATGTCGTGTGCAATGCACCACTAGTCGCTCCCATTCCGCTGCCGTACCACAGCCCCAAATTCCTCCAATTTGACTTGTTACCCGACATTGATGAAGACCTTTCCCATCCTCCCTACACGACTCGCAGTCGCACTGCTGCCCTGAAACGGAAACGGGCTGAAGACGAGACGATCAATTCTCGTCAGTTTCAGAAGCGGCGCATGAGTGCTCCCCAACCAGCAACAGCCTCTACTGGGCGTCGCGGCCGGGCTAATTTGCCCCGTCGATAATCCGATTGTGGGAGGAAACGAATGGCTTCCTAATTCGGAGGCTGTCGACAGCTTCTCGTGCAGTTCGCGTGTGCTCCACACGCTCGATATATTTCCGCGCCAGCGATTCAGCAAGGCGGTCGGGTCTCCTGATCTATTTGGATGGTGGCTTGGGGTTTGGTTCCTGCCCAAATAAACCCTCTTAGGCGGACAGTTGTATTACTACACTACATGTCATCTCACCTGCAGATGTCAATCCATTCTAATTCTTCCTAGTCGGCGATTCCATGGCTCGCTTCTTCTTGTGAGACTACACTTGGGCCATCTTCGGGTACCTGACATTCCGGCCTGTTTCACCCAGGTCATGGCATCACCAGACTGGAATGCTTTTCTTCTTCTCAATTTCTGGCTCCCGTTTTCCGTGTTGTCCGTAGTGCGCAGCTTGGCCGGACGGGTTTGAATCTCGAAACACCGGCGCCGCCCGCGAAACGGCCTACCGATTCCCGTGTTAACTTGATTTTTCTGTGTGCTTCATCTCGGCCTTTACTGATGTAGGACTGGCTTCTCCAATGCAAACCGCGCCGCATTTCGCAACTCCCTGACTGCCAAGATAGCTATCCGATTCAGTCTTGTGTTACTTGTCCTGAGTCCCTCGCTCACGCTGTGATTCTGGCATATCTTGTTCGCAACCAAGCACTCCCGTGTCGAATATGAGTCCTCTTGTCAGTCTATTCATTCACCTGCCAACAAGTAAACAGACCCAAGAAAAGCGTCGAGATCTCCCTCCTCTCTGCCGACCAATAATTGCCTTGCGATGCACACAGGCCTTGACTGGCAGGACCACCCAGGTGGTGACCCCTTATCGCATTACCCCAGGAACCACGTTGGCGCTAATATGATCAACACGGGCCGCGGAACCCGCTCGACGCGATCACATGATAAATGCATGACTTAATTTGAATTCGGGTAAGGTATAATTAATAAACAAATTCGTACTACTTCTCCTCATGATACATGGAAAAATTCATCAGAAACGGAGACCCTTGCCACACTTGATCGGGCCCTTGGGGTTCTCCTCAAGAGCGTTGTACACCAAGGACCAGACAGAGTCGTCCCAGGCGAGGCCACCGTGACCGACAGGGTCGTCAGGGCAGAAGTCCTGGGAAACATTAAAACAGGAAGATAACAAGTAAAAGACATTAAATGTACCTGAACGAAGATGTTGTTCACGCCGGTCTCGTTGACGATGCTCGTTTTGGGAGCGACGAGGGTGTCGGAGCGGGACATGATGATGGTGGTCTTCGCGCCAGCTGGGGCGATGCCTGAGCCAGGCTTGCCGTTATATTTCTGGCTGGCCGCGGCGAGTTCCTGTGGTAACAGGCATCAGACCTCGGATTTTGGTAGCCGGCAACTTCACAAACCTTGAACACAGCGCCACCGGTGGCCATATCGTCGCATGCTGGGCAGCCAAGGAAATCCAAAACACCCTTTGCGATGTCGCGCGAGAATTGGCCGTCTTTGTAGAACAGGTTGGTCAGGCCAAAGTATTGCGCGCCGTGCATAGCCGGGCCGAGCGCGACGATGCGCTCAACTTTGCTGGCGAGTTGCGGGCTCTTCAATGGGGCATAAAGGGACATAACACCACCCTCTGAATGGCCAACAAGGTCGATCTTGCTTGCGCCGGTCTTGGCGAGCACCGAGAGGATGTCTGCGGTGAGGTCTTTGACCGAGCTTTGCATGGAAGTCAGGCCACCGATCCACGGCATGAGTGTGTGAGCGCCGTATGTGGACGTGTAGGTGCAGTACCCCTTCTTTTTCATGTCGTCCTGATAACAGTTTTTAGATGTTAAGCTAATTGGTAGGGAAAAGACCAAACGCACCTGGAGAAGATTGAGGTCGATGCCGGGGTTGGCTGACAACGCATGGATAAGAAACACCGGGTTCGGGTGGACCTTCGATCGGCAGGCGAAGTCGTTAGGGGGGTTTCCTGTGAGCCTCAGCTCAACAATAGCATCCCAGATCTGGTTGCGCGCCTCCAAGACGCTTTTCGGAATCAGGCCAGCAGAGGCAGAGTAGACGAAGAAAGGAAGAAGGACAAGGTTTTGCAGACGCATCGTTGTCAGAAGTTGTGGAAAAGGTGTAATAAGTTGCCGATGCGCGAAGAGGAGAAAAAAAGAAGAAGCAAGCTAGCTGCAAAAGTGGGGTGGGTGAGAAGAAAGAAAAAGATGCAGGGAACAGCGTTTGTGGGGGTTTTTATCTGTAAAACTGATCTGCGGCTTCGTTTCATGGCATGCGGTTCTAGACAGCGGCACAAAACATGATGGCCTTTTCAGGAGGCTCGTGCTCGTGTGGTGGATTCATCGGGAAAGTCGAGGAAACGCGGGCGAGGTGGGTCTCTGTGGTCATTATTGGCGCGTTCATTGATGAGTCGCCAGGCCTGCAAGTGCGTAGCTGAAAGAGAAGATATATGACTTGAATAGAGCAAACCAAATTTGACGCTTTCTCCGGATCAGCGTTGACTGTAAATCCTAGCTCATCATCACGGACTGATTTTGACTGGTCTTGGCTTCAGTTCCATTTTGTTATGTATCGGTCCGCCCACAGTACGTCGTATCGCACAAGTTGCAATTAGGAAATAAGGATACAGCTCGTCTTCTGGTTTGCCTACCAGCCACGCTCAGCCAGCCGTCCACCCTTGAGTTTGTCATCGCTGAAATGATGATGTCAGCAATACCCGTTGCTAAGGAGATAGTTATTTGTAGGGGGGAGACGTACATGTTGAGTCCGACCATTGGCTCGCCCAAATTTTCTGAAACCTGGACATAGTGGTGAGCTTCGGGAGTCTACCTTCACAACATAACGCAGACCTCGGCGAGTATTTTAGGATTGTTATAGTGGGTAACGGCTTGGACGATAGCTCGAGCGCGTTTGGCTGGGTCTCCTGACTGAAACCACGTTTGAAAAAGATAACTCTGTTATCACATGGCCCGTACTTTGAAGATGCCCGATCCAACGAAGACTGCAGTTGTCGTTCAATTTGACGGCTTGTGTGTGGCAAGTGCCAGCTACGCACCTCCATCGCAGCCAAGCTGCATCATCATTGCAGCATCAGCTTAATCCAGTCAGAGAGAGGTTTTGGAAGGGAGAAGATATGCAAACCAGGTGTCGCCACTCCTCCAGCGGCAAAGCTGACAACAGGCAGACGTTTCAGTCGAGCCGTCTCCTTGAGCAAGTGGAAAGGCGCTGCCATATGTGTTCAAAAGCATTTCCCATCGCGGTAGGAGGACTGACCTTGAATTTCTTTGGCATACACATAGAGCTCTTCTTCGGTCATAACGCTTGCTTTGCGAATTTCGGCGTTCACAGCGCGCGAGTGTCTGACTGCTTCAACTACGTTACCAGTTCCAGCTTCGCCTTTTGTACGGATGAAAGCAGCGCCTTCAGCGACGCGTCGGAGTGCTTCTCCAAGATTTCTCGCGCCACAGACAAACGGAATTTTGAAGTTGTGTTTGTTGATGTGCATCTCCTCGTCAGCCGGGGTGAGCACCTCTGATTCGTCGATGTAGTCCACCCCGATGGATTGCAGTATTTGTGCCTCAACAAAGTGGCCGATGCGAACCTATGAATGGTTGTGGGGGTGTTCCCTCGATAATCAGATCATACCTTGGCCATAACAGGTATCGTAACAGCAGCACAGATCTCCTTGATCAGAGCGGGATCACTCTGGAATTTTCTTGTTGAGTTCATTTATCGGATGGTTTGGAGAGAAAAATACCATTCTCGCGACGCCTCCTTCGACACGAATATCAGCCGGTACGCGTTCAAGAGCCATGACTGCACAAGCTCCTGCTTCCTCAGCGATGCGGGCCTTTGTTGGGTGATATCGGCGTGAGAGGAAGGTGATCTAGACGCTCAGACGGGGCATACCTGCTGAGCATTAACGACATCCATGATCACACCTCCTTTGAGCATTTGAGCGAGGCCCGATTTCACCTAACCCAAGTATGTAAGCCAAAAGAGACAAAAAACTTGTTGATAAAACTCACCCCAAACGTTCCTATCGAGCTATTGCCGCCACCTTCCCGGGTGGCCCGTGGTGGAGCCGTACTAGTCCCATTGGCGGCTGCTGGGGTCGGCGCTGTCGTGGTAGTCGAACTTGGTGTGGCCATTGAAATTGAGTCACCGAATGAGAAGTGTAACGCGTGACGTCGGGACTCGGAAGGACAAGCGGAAGGACGACTTAAAATACCGTTGTTCAGCCGAAAAATCGGGTGTATACTCATCTTCGGAGGACATATGGCGGGTACATGAATAGCGAGCTTGAACATCTCAGCGTCTCCATTTTCCTCACAGCCGGCAACTGTTGGCCCATACAGAACTGCAGAAGTATGGAATTGTGAAGCTAAGGTCACTACCAGTCGCCATCCGGGTCAGCCTATTCAGCGAATCTGGTCGTTGCATCACGCACCGCTCTATCCTACATCCACTCTTTCTCACAAGCGACTGGGAAAATTGTCATGGTTCTTCGCAGGTTATAACGTTGGTTTCCTTCTAGTCGGCCACGATAATGCGTTTGAATAGCACCCAACTACAAGTTTGACCAGGACGAGGAAAAAGAGTGGCGCTATATATGAGCCCCTTGGGCCTCGGTTTCCCATTCGACTTTGACTCCGAGTTTGAAAGTTGTCATGGACGAGATTTCGGTAGAGGACAAGTCCCCGCGGGAGAAAGAGGTATTGGTTGCAACCTGTTGCAACTCAAGTTGAGGTTTTGATGCGCGCCAGACGCGTGACGTCATCACTACCTACCTTTGCTCCTCCCGACCATGTCGTTCATGAAAACCAAGACTCCCGAGACGGTTCTGGAGAATTTCATTGCTGTTGCGTACAGTCGGATTCTTGGATGACTCACGACTGAAGCCCAACAGCAAGCACCGTCAGCTCGATACACATTCGACAGCGAGCGGGGTGCCCCACAGTCGGAGCTGTGTCGCGAGAAGGACAACAAGCGGGAATGCATAACAGTATGACACTGCTTCCTACAACGTTCACGATCTAATACTGCGGGACTAGATTCAGATGCAGTCGAAAAGGCTATTTGAGGCAATGCAGGTAAGTACTTCCAAGTTCTTGCACTCTAAGTTCACTTTTGGAACAGAATCTTGGATTTTTCTGTGCCCTGCCTATGGAACCTGACAGGACACATATGGAATGTACGCGGATCCCCAAGTAATAAATAGTCTCGAACAACTCTTTCAATGCTGCGATCCTTTGGTTGGCGGCAAAGGGATGCCAGGGAGCGGAGGGAGCGGGACTGGGACATGGTTATGGACTGAATTGAATCGTCGCAAGAAGCTTACGAGGCGCTGGCCCACAGAGGAGTGCTGTGATAGCATTGAGTCTCGCTTCTTGACTGGATGCTGGGCTGTCGATGATCCTCTGTAGTTTCTTGACTTCATTAGTGTTGAGTTCGTCTCGGCCATAATCAGACGAGGATTCATCTAAAAATTCTGTCGTTGAGGTGCATGCTACCTCACAAAACACCGACTGACCTGAATATGAGGACCGTTGCGATTTCTCCTCGATGGGGGTGTGGGCAGACGTTACAGAGTTGGTCTCTTTCCTCTCCTTCATCTCGTGTTTGCTTTGCTCGCCGAAACGGTCGGTGATCTCACCACGAGTGCCTGTTCCAGGTGTTGGCCGCCAATAAATTAGATCGTGAACTTTGCTTGTGGCTTCCATAATGTCCACTGTTCGTTGGGAAAGATGATCTATTCCATAGCAAGTTCTATGTTCAGCGAATTTGTCGTGTGCGTTGATCACGAAGAAGAAAACGTTCAGGTGTTCTGTAGGACGGCGGTGGGCCGCAGGCCGGAAAGGCGTGAATGGAAATGTTTCCTTGTCGAATGTCTGGAGAAGCACTGAGCGGGAGTCGTAGTCGAAGAAGAGATGGCCGGAAGGGAGTGGTGCACGAGTGGAGAAAGGGAGTCCCTCGTCGAAAGCGAAATATTTAGGATGCAGCACAACGAGCTCAAGCTCCGGATTCAAGAGTATGTTCGAGACACCCTGTTCCCATTGTCAATTATTTCGCCGTAATGATGAGCAGACTTGCGCTAAAGAGACATGGTCTCGGAGCGTCGGACCCAAAACTATCGACAGTCTCCTGGTATTCCCTATTCTTCGCTTCCAAGTGCGATTGCAGGAAATTCAAGGTTTCAAGACTGGGAGCAAGGGCGATTATACCATATACGTCGAACAAGGGGTCAACCATAGGATTCACTATCATAGCCGTAAAGATAGACACGAAGAAAAAGAGAGAGCGCACATGGGATTACATTGGAGGGGTGGTCAAGGCTATCGAAATGTGGCGCGACATCGGGCGGCAGCATGCCACGACTTTTGAGGACTGCGATCTGCGATTCATTCAGCCATGACCAGGTAGTTAAAAGGAAGAATGCCTACTACAGCAGCGTCTTGGTCACCAGGGCTGAGTAGGTAGACTTTTCGTAGTGCCAGAGTTCTAGTATTGAGCAAGAGACACTGAAAGTCTCGTTCTCGCATCCATGCAGTCTGTGCCGCTTCCACGCTGGTTGGCAATCGTGAAGATAAAGGCATTTCAGAGGGCTCAAGCATATTCGTCGTGGGTGATTAGGGGTAGGTGACGCGTGACATCACTCGCGAAATTCATCCCCAGGAATTAGATTTTTCGTCAGTCGGACGGTGCCGTGTATTAATCTAATCCAGTGTTAAGAGAAACCAGATTGATGCTAAGTAGGCGGTAGACGAGAAGGAGCTTCTTTTGGCTCTCTCATGCGTTCTTTGTCGGTGGGTTCGAGATCAACAGTTCATCTCCACAAATGGACTAACCGAGATATGAACTGGACCCACAAATCCCTGGAAACAAGTTCACTTTACGACACTTTCTGGGGTTGGTGATGGTCCTCCAGCCACTTTCTGACGTCCTTCTTATGAAGCATTCCCTGAACATGTTCGCTGCTCTTGGCACGATAGAGTCGCATAACATGCCCTGCAACGCTCCATACGTCCTCCCACGGGGCATCGAAAAGATCCCACCAGCCGTCTGGCAGCGAGATTTGGAGAAAACGCGTGGTAAGAAGTATTGCAGCGCTGACTATAGTGGGGACCGGGTAGAGTGCGTAGACAGGCGTTTGAAGGGCATCGTTGAGGTATCCCCATGCACGCGTAGAGGCTTTGTCATCGTCGGTAAGGCCGAGGACGCGAAGGTAGTTGATGAGTGTGCCGTAGGGGAGAACTACATGCACGTTGAACCCAAGTCGTTTGAGAACTTGCATTTCTGCGACGACGATCGCATCTTTGAGTTCGTAGAATGTGGTCCCAAAGTAGGACATTGGGTTGTATCGAAATTGGGTTGGATTTGTTGGAAAAGAACGTTGAAGTAGGAGGTCATACACGTTGATCAGGTCGCGTATTCTCAAAGTGCATTCCTCAAGTTTGGAAGCAAGGTATAGTGACCCCATGCCAATCTCCCCGATTCCAAACTGCTTCATCGAGGAGACATACCAAAAACGTTGGAAAAGGATCTGTGCAGTAGCGACAGCGACCTGTTTCCTTCCAAACGTCAATCCGAATGTGGAATGACACGCGGTTTTGCTCACTGTTTTAGCAGAATGCCGGCCTCGTGGATAAGTTTGCAGCCATACGCACGCAGGTCGTCTTCGAGCTGCTGTGGAATCCCGTCCTCACGTGAAGGCGTCCGTTCAATTTGTGTCAGGGTCGCAAGAGGGTACATTGTGCGTGACATGTCACACAACATGGCCTCTTCACTTCCACCGCGACCTGCTTCACCACCGCCATCGCCGCGAAGAGGACCAAGAGGCGGACGTTTATTAGACCGAATTGGGCCAGTTGGAGCGGTGGCAACACGTGTATCTGATTCGTATGTCCCACCACACGACTTTGATCGACGAAGAGACCGAAGAGATCCTCCACCGCGGAGAGACCGAGAGCGCGACAATGGGTGGCCAAGAAGAAGATCACCTGACCCACCACGCAGAGGTGGAGACTCGTTTATTCCTGATAGAGACAGAAATCGGTACTATGACAGACGACCGCCTTCGCCTCTACCTCGAGGTGTGTTCTATTTTATGTCCCTTATAAATAATCTCACTTGACTCAGGTAGATATCCCCGTCAAATGTCTCCCTCTCCTCGACGGAGGATTGGCTCGCCACCACCACGTGATAGACGCCCACGAACTCGCAGTCGTACTCGCAGTCCACCACCCTCAGCAAAACGGCTAAGGTTAGGTTCGCATGCAATTGGTGGGCCAATGAGATCTCCTTCCCCTCGACGAAGACCGCCACCAACACCTCGAAGTCGAAGTCCCCGCCTGCCTGCACACTCGAGACCGAGTCCAGCAAATGGGACGCCAGAGCCAGGCATGATCGTCGAAGACTCCCCGCAGCCCGTCAAGAAAGAACCCGAGCCAGAAGTCAAATCTGAGCCAGTAGAACCAATCAAAATGGAAATCGAATCCACTGTAGTCATGAAATCGGAACCAGAGCCTGTGAAGATGGAAGAGGATATCAAAGAGCCTGTTGTAATACGACAACCACCCACTCAACCTCGAGCACATACATCAGCCAATGATGCCCTTATTCCTACGGGCCCGAAATCCAATTCGCCCGCCCGACCACCCCCTTCTATTCCAACAGGCCCAAGAAACACATCACCACAAAGGATCCCTACTGGTCCGAGAGCGAATTCCCCACCGCGTATTCCAACTGGCCCTCGCTTGTCTTCTCCCCCTCGTGCTCCGAATTCATCTGTTACTATACCTTCTGGCCCAAGAGGCCGCAATCGTTCACCGCCCAGAGGACCACGAGGTGATCGGTTTGGTGTGCGCGGTCGTGGTGGTCGGCGAGGTGGAATGCCTGCCTCTGGAACTCTGTCAAACGCAACTCCGTTGGGCCCTGGTGGAGCTTCGAAATATCAACAACAGCCCTCCACACCTGCTACGCCTATTATTGAGTCACTACCCGCACCTGAGAAGAAGGAGAATGAAGTTGAAATCGTTGTTTCTACCCCCGTTGTCGAGCCTCCAAAGCCCAGCATCCCACTTCCGCCAATACCAGTTTGGGACGTGAAGATGCATCCAGAACGGGCCGAGGTGCGTCTTATCTTATCGGCTTATCTGTCCATGATCTCACCTGACATTTCAGCTGCATAAAATGTTGGAAACAAACAAAGCCCATCGCGCCAATCTGCAGGCACAGTACCTTAACCCCGAGAAGAACCCACAGCGTGCCGTAAATGAACTAGACCTTGCGACAATCGATTGGCGAGCAGCAGAGGGACGCACAGCAAGAATGCACGTTCAGGTTGAGTTGGCGAGAGCAGGCAAGTTTGGAGTTGACTATGAAATGAGGGAAGAAACCTTAGTTGTATGAATGCTTTGTACCCAACTTCAACTCTTCAGATATGTGACATACAGCCCCTTACTTCGACAACGACAACGTTGGTAGTAGCTACGAAGAACAAGGCACCCCACTTGAACGACTCGACTGGATTGCTCAAGAACGGTTGACTCCATTAACTCAAAATCCTTCTGGTTAGAGTGCGACGGTCAACGCACTAGTTCTCCTTCTCCTTTATACTGTCTGAAAGTACAACGTTGATATTAGATCAGTCACCTCTTGCTGTCTGGACCCACAGCATGTCACGTGGCCTCTTTCAGACTCTTTCTTCTCTGAGCTCTTGCCCCTAATCCTTGTCATGTCCAACGCCAATGAGCGAGGACAAGTTGTCCTCCATTGCCAGTTGACACCCCCTAGAATTCCCTTCCTCGACCTTTATCCGCCTTTAAGGGCATCCGGCTCGATTCCTGGGACGGCGCGTACTAGTCCAGGATATTCTTCCTCCGCTCTCGCGTTGCATTGGATGAGGGATCGTGACTTCCAATGTCTTGTGCTGAAACTTCGCTCTGTTTCTCTCCAAGCTGCTCATGTTGTGAATGCAAGTCGCAAGAGTAAACACCATGCACGCAATGTGGTAAAATTCCGCTGCTATGATCGCCACACATAATATCACCATTGCAGGAAAATGCTCTCAGGAAAGCCGGAGCCATCCCATTGCCTATTGCAAAGAATTTTGACCTTCAACATGCGTCCAATATAATGCCCTGTAATTTTTCATAAGTTCCGAGTCTGGCTCAGTCACTGATCTGTTTCCCTTACAGTAAGTGGACTGGTCCATTCCTCCCTTGACCTGTACGGCATCATTGCTCTCGCTCCAAGCCTTACCTCGTTGAACTTTTTGAAAACGCTTCTGACATTGAAGAATGAGGAATATCAACGTGCGGTAGATGTGACTGGATCGAATGCTACGAAACCTCCGCTCTTCGACGTATGTTAACATCTAGTGTTTTTTGTGCTCAAGTTGACGGGTGGTAGAATTCGGATGAACTATTGAATCCGGAACTCGAGCTCGTTGTGCTGCACCCCACCTATTTCGCTTTCGGCGACGGCATCCCTTATTTCGAGGAATCTGCTGGTGGTCATCTGATTTTCGACCGCGACACTCAGTCGGTGCTTATCAAAACAGATGATGGGCAAACATTTCCTTATCGCCCTTTCCGCCCCCACTCCAAGCGTTTGAAGTTTGAACAACTCAATGTCTTCTTTTTCGTCATCAACGCTCATGGAAAATTTTCTGCGCACCAAAAATCTTATGGGTCCGACGGTTTTTCTCAGCGAACTCGTGCCATTATAGAGGCTACAAAGGAGGTGTACGAACAGCTTTTCTTTCGGCCCAAACCCACCCCAGGTAGCAGGGGCGAGTCGGAAGACCAAGCCGCTGCTGAGATATGGGAGGTGCAGAAGAGGTTGAAGCAAGAAAGGATAGATGCTGCTCCTACCCGCTCCAGTGATCGTCAACGTGCCAGGACAATAGTTGCTTCAGGTATGATTTTGTGTTATATGGGACTGGACGTTGACCAACAAAGATCGTCACGGGGAAATCACAGAGGAAGGCATTCACTTAGAGGAGTATGATCAGTCATCTTCAGGTATGGTTATTGTTCGCACATTGAAAAAAATATGTTTTTGGCTAAGAATTATTAGATGATGATGACTTGTCCGAGCCGGGGGACCTCAGTAATGACGAAGTTGAAAAGCTTCAAGCTATAATCGATGACCCAACCTCAAAACAAGAAGATCGGCTTGCAGCCATCACAATGCTCCTTCATGGACCAGAACCACGTAAATCTCTTTGTACAATCCTACTTCTGGTAACCCTGTCCCAGTTCCACTTCCTGTGCTTCCGGGTGTGTCTGTACCTCCTTCTGCTACAGGGTTGGACCACATTAAACAAATCTATGGATGACTTTCTAAACGTGCGCCTTATCTTATCGGCTTATCTGTGTTCTCACCTGAGCTACATAAAATGCTGGAAACAAACAAAGCCTAACAGTACCTTGACCTGTAGTGTACAGTAAATGAGCTCGATGTAGCGACAATCGACTGGTGAGCAGAGCAGCATTGGCAGGAATGCATTTTCAGTTCGAGTTAGCGAGAGCAGGCGAGTTTGGAGCTGACATGAATGCTTTTGTACTTAATCTTTTGTAATTCGAAGTCCCGTGACATACTCTAACCCGAACCACAAGAACGATGTTCTGCACTGCCAGTAGCAACTCAGGATACTCCATGCAGCAGTCGGCCAACAGTGGGCGCCAACCGTGGGCAACTTGGCTCCATGAGCATATAGTTTGGCACTATTAATATTTATGTCATTGCACTTCCTCAGAGTGCCCATAATGTCTGAGCGTGCCCCACGCCGCTCGACCGACGAGGGTGAGACATACCCGTTATTCGCTTGATTCTCGAATTTTCAACTTTCTCCAGAGGCAGCCCCATTACTGCGAGATGACGATGACGACGTAGGCAGCACCCAAGAAGAAGAAGAGCCTACCCTACTCGAGCGACTGAACTCAATCGCTCAAGAACCGTTGACTCCATTAACTCAAATCCTTCTCGTTGTCGCACTCGTTCTCCTACTACTTAGCGCCGTGAGTCTCATACTGCTAGAAAGTGCAACGCTAATGTGTGCCATTAGGTCTTTATCGGCCTTTTTGCCGGAGAATATACCAAGCTCAAACAGCGTGAACGAGAAGACGGACCAAGACCAACGGTCACCGTTACCCAAACGGCGATAGTGACTACGACCGCGAAGCCTCCTGGCCCAACCGGCAGTCCAGCCGAGGTATGTCGCGGTGCTTCCCTGACTTCACTGTTCATTAACTTGTGTTGTAGGAAGTCTGTATCACTCCCGAATGCATCAAGCTTTCGGCTAGCATTTTATCATCTCTCGATGTCTCCAAGGACCCCTGCGAGAACTTTTTCGAATTCGCCAGTGAGTGAAAGTCGTCGGCAATGGCCATTGTACTCAAACTATATCACAGACGGAGGTTGGATTGCTTCGCACCCATTGCCAGCCGACAAGGGCTCTTTCGGTCAATTCGAAGCTCTCTCCATCGACAACAAACGTGTGGTGCAACATTTCCTCGAAACACCCTCTGCAACCTCATCGTTCACTACTTCGGCGGACGAACAACTGCTTCACAAACTTCGCAGTTTCTACAACTCATGTCTGAACGAGAACAGGCTGGATGAGATTGGAAACGAACCATTGCTTCAGTTTGTGAAGACTGTCAAGAAGTTGTTCAGACGCGAAGGTTTTGAGATTTCTGAAATTAGCTCTGAGAATGACCTTAGCGGGCTTACACCTGCTTTAGTCTTCCTTCACTCTCGAGGTGCGGAACTCGGCTTGAATTCCACCCTGGACCTCTTATATCTATTCACCAGGCGTTCATGCACTCTTCACGTTCAAGATCAAAGGAGATGCTGGATTCGACTCAAATTTAATGGTGCCGTGGCTTGACCAAGCTCCTCTCGGTCTTCGGGCAAAAGAATATTATCAAGAGCCGGAGATTGTCAGAATTTATCATGACGTTCTTGAACGGCTGTTCGCCACACTATTAAAGGAGGATAAGAAGACAACCCTACTGGCAGAAAATCAGGTGTGTCTAGTCCAGGATTTGGATCTCTCCACTAAGGCGCTGTTATCTACAAGTGGAATATAGACCATGAGACAGACAAGAACGCGCAAATCAATGAGGCACGGCGCATCGCAGCAAGTGTTGTCATGTTCGAAACCAAGCTCGCCAATGTTACCCTTGACAAGTCGGGATTCCCGTTCTTTTTTCTTCCCTTGGCTTACCTGCATAAAGCGGCGCCTACCAACATCCGTTCCTCACATACAACCGCCTTCCCTTCGAGAACCTCACAGAATTGTTTCCTCAAGTCGACTTTTCCCAGTATTTTGCAGCGTTAACACCGCGTCGCTTTCCTGAGGATATTATTGTTACCTCTCCTGCCTATGTTGTCGCTCTCTCTAAGCTGCTACACTCTTCATCCCCGGCAACGGTCGAGGCGTATCTCGTGGCTCGTGCTGCACTCGCCCTTTCGCCCAATTTGGGAATGGCAACGGAGCCATGGGCTGCCCAACGAGCGTTGGAAGAAGCGCTCACTGGAATAAAGAAAGGTACCATCGGCAACCGCAAAGAATATTGTGTCGACAAGGTCGAAGCCACTCTTGGCTTTGCAGCCGGACGCTACTTTGTGAATGCTACTTTTGGAAGTGATCCCGAATTCCAGGAGAAGAGCCGGGAAATCATCAAGAGTGAGTATTGTCCCGTGATTTGCTATGTGGCTCTTATTCGAGGCTACAGACATTATCAGTGTGTTCAAAGCGTCGCTGCCCAATATATCCTGGTTGGACGAAAAGTCTGCTGGTGCTGCAGCTCGCAAGGCCGCTGTCATTCGCCCTATAGTAGGCTATCCAGACTACCCAGACGTTCGAGAGCCATCCTCGCTCTTGCAATACTACAGCACGATGGAAGTTAATGAAGATACCTATTTTGACAACCTTCTCAGCGCCGCGTCCGTTTTGCCGCTCCCTTGTCCCATTCTCTTACAGTATTGTAGTGCGAGCGACGTGTCTAGGACGTGGCTTAAAGTGGGCCAGCGACGGAATCCTGGAGAATGGACATTTCCGGTGTACCCGTCCACAGTCGACGCGTATTTTGACGCCCGGGCCAACGAGATTGTCTTTCCTGCGGGGATCTTGCAGCCACCCTTCCTCTCGACACAGTGGTATAGGAGCTGTCGGCGAGCATGCTCTTCTATTGACTTCTCTTTCAGGCCTTCGTATCTATCGTATGGCGCATTCGGTTCAGTAGCTGGTCATGAATTGACGGTGTGCTGATTTCTTTCCACTGGAAACATATGTTGGAGTATATTTGCAGCACGCTTTCGACTCTGCGGGACGACTTTACAATCAGCATGGAATGCTTGAAAACTGGTGGACTCCGGAGAGCAACGCGGCGTTCCAGATCAGGCAAAAATGTATTGAAGCGCAGTTTTCCAGTGCGTATTATATTCCGCAGAGAGAGTGTTCCGATCACGGTGCAGATTATACCGTCGACGATGGCCAAGGAGGTGCCATCCACCTCAACGTATGTTTCTCGTTTTTTTTTTTCTGAATGACGGTTTAACACTTTCTTTCCAGGGCGAATTGTACATTTTGTTTCTCCCCGTTCTCCGATGTGTGGCTCACACGCATTTTTGAGCTCTTCCGGAGAGAATATCGGGGATTCCGGGCTGATTCATGCCTATCGCGCTTGGAAAGCCCGGTTCAATGAGTCGCAAAATGCCGGGACTGAGTACCTGTTGCCTGGGCTGAACTATACTCGGTCAGTGGCGACGATTTGGAAGTGAGGAACTCGGTTCAATATGGCCAATAGTGAGCAGCTGTTCTTCATCGCGTTTGCAAGAATCTGGGGGGAGAACGTCAAGACTGCTACGCTTGTCCAGCGCGTTCGGTAGGTGTTGGTAGTCTTTAAGGGTGAGTTGGTATAATTGTCGTTCAGAACGGACCCACACTCGCCAAGGAACTTGCGTGTCGAAGGCACACTGTCGGTCGGTTTTCACATTTTTATTGGTCGAATTTACAATTTCAAGCTTTTTTACAGAATATTCCAGAATTTGCGGAGGCCTTTCAGTGTCCCAACGGGTCAAAACTGAATCCTCCAGATGAGCAAAGATGCGTATTCTGGTCGTAAATGATTCGGACTACAGAACACCTTTGGTGCTTGGTACATCGCTACTCCCAGTTTGTTCGATGGCTTGTCTAATGGCCAATGCAAGTGCCTTAAACGCTGATTCTGAGCGATGGTGGTCGTTTTCGCCGCGCAGGACGTCGACATGGAGCGTAACGCCAGCTGCAATGGCGAAGGAGTAGAAAATGTGTGGGATCATTTCAGTTGAGAGGTCTCCGATTTTCTCCCGTTTGAGGCCGAGGTCGGTGACGCAGTAAGGCCTGGAGCAGATGTCGATGACCGCTCTGGAAAGCGCCTGGTTAAGATTTTAACTGAGTTGGAGTATCTGTGGAGAGACAACAAGAAATGACCTCGTCTAGGGGAGCAAACCCCGTTCCGTATCGTCTTATGCCACGGACTTCACCCAGAGCCTCTTTGAATGCTGTGCCCAGTGCAATCGCGCTGTCCTGTGAAGACCCGTAGGTTTTATTGGTTTGGACTCGGTATGTTTGGGGAGAAGGGACATATCAGCAGTGTGGTGGTCGTCAATCCAAAGATCGCCTTGGCATTTCATGGTGAGCGACATGCCGCCATGTTTTGCCAGAGCAGTGTACATCTGGAATAGAAATGCATAAGGTGGAGACTGGGGTATTAGATAAGGCTTGCATGGTCCAGAAACCCGATTCCTGTGGAGACCTCGATGACCTGTTTGACGCCGGGGCCAGGGGCGCAGTCGAGGTCAAGAAAAACCTCAATCTTGGTCTCGTTTGTGTTGCGGGAAATGGTCGCTTGTCGAGGCATTGGTGGTGGGTGAGAAATGAGATCAAAACAGGTCACGACACCGAAAATGTCTTGTGCCGGGCTTTTTCGGCAGCGGGTCGGAGGGCGGGTATCTTCTGCTGCTGCTCCCTGGCGCGCGTATCGCTCACCGCAATGTCGACGGACATTCTTCAGCCTGTTTCGCAAGTCGCCGGCAAAGAAAGAAGAGCCCGTCCCTCTGTTGACGCAGGACAACCTTTTCCACCCGTTTTCCAAGTCGCCGTTCCCGATGTTGCAGTCGCGCGCCAACGTAATCAAGGGGCTCGCACCCTGCCCAGTCTGTACCGAATCACATGAGCTCGGCCATCCGCAGGCGGAACCAGAGCCACGAAACGTCGAGTTCGAATGTCCCGATTGTGGGTGGCCGACACATTGCTCGGAGGAGCATTGGAAGGAGGACAAGGAGCACGACAAGTACTGCAAACGGCTGAGGGAGGCAAACGAGGACGAACATGATCTGAGGAGTGGCCGGAGAATGGTCGAGTTTGAGCTCCCTGGTGCGCGACACGCGTTAAGTTTCCTATGTTTTTGTTCGCTCATTCCTCGCTAGGCCCCCAAGGCTACGAAGAGGCAATATCGTTTTCTAATTGGGACACGTTTTGGTATACTCGTGGTTTCATGTCCATGGACACGGAACGGTCGAGAAGACATGCGAGCAAGCTGCTCAGTTATCCAATTACTATCGGCGGCGCGTTACACCAATTCAGCCCATTGATGCTCAGCAACCAACGGTTGACACCAGAAGGGAGTCGCTCCATGGCTGGTAAGTTCTAGTCTACATCGTATTTTGAATCACATCCAAAAAAAAATCAGCCATCAGGTCGACTTTGCATCCACCAACTGGCACTCCCGAAACATCCGAAGCCCAAGTTGGAAAGCCACAAGTGCGCATATTTATTCTGGGGGCCCGTGCAGAGTCGTCGCTGCCTGTCCACGTTTGGGAACAACTATGTTTGCTCTTCCCTGCTGCCCAGCTACACATTTTCTTCATTGGACCGCAAGTTTCTTTGCCCAAAGACGAAGTTTCCAAACAGCCACAGCCTGAAGCCCAGCCAACAACGACAACAGCGAGCCCTGCTTCAGATGCCTCCGTTCCGGCCAAAGTCTCCCCAATCACCGAGCTCCAAAACCGGAAAGAGTACCTGCCAAATGTGTTCAAGCCACCTGCGCCAGTCGCTATCGACCGCGAGAAATACACCCGCAACGCGATCAGCCGCTACGGCGTCCCCTCGTACACCACACCCTACACCAAGGAGCTCACGGTCACGGGACTTCGCACAGACAACTACATCGATGTGCATCACCACTTCGCGGACACGCTCGACCCCTACAGCGACGCGTTCTTCTTCTTCTCGCCCGGCTTCGGATTCCCCTCCGAGCACTCCTTCGCAGAGGACGGCGTGACACCCCTTCTCCAAATCGCGTCACAGACCGAGTGGGGCCCCGTCCTGCCCGCGCTGCTCGAGAGCAAATGCCCGATATTCGTCACGGGATTCTCGCCCGCCGATGTCGAGCGCGATGTCCGGTCACTGAGCGAGGCGCCAGAGGTAGCAGGCAGGTTCGAATGGGTCGTCACACCTGGCCCAAATCCGTTTGGGAGTGAGAAGTGGGAGATTGCTGATTTTGACCCCCGCGTGATGATCAAGGCCAACTGGGGAATCTGGGCGATCAGAGGAAGGAGTAAGGATATTCAAGAGCGGAGTGCGTTTGAAGGGCTGTTACCGTGGGGGAGGTAAGGCATTTAAAAAGTACTAGACGAATATAATCTGCAGACCAAACCTACTGCTGTACAAACGGCCGCGGCAAACCGCAAATTTTACAAGGAAAAAATAGTTCTAAGGCACCGAGTACAGAATAAGTTACGACCAGAACAAACAGCGTTGTTCATCTGGAGGGTTAAGCTTCGAGCCCTTTGGACACTTGAAAGCAGCAGCAAACTCCGGTATATTCTGAGGGAGATAAATTGGAGCACCTCGGGTGGTAAAACAACATACCGATAACGTGCCCTCCACACGGAAAATATTGGGGGAATGTGGGTCCGTCCTAGCCACAAATCAGCACTGGCTCCTCATTTCTATTAGACAACTCACCTGACGCGTTGCACCAGGGCAGCAGTCTTCATGTTATTCCCCCAGATCCTTCCAAACGCGAGGAAGAACAGTTGCTCCCTGTAAACACAGTTAACCAACTAACCCTCTTAACCATCGACTTACCGGGTATAGTTTAGTCCAGGCAACAGATACTCGTTACCAGCCTTCTTCGACTCGTCGAACTGCGCCTTCCATGCCCGATATGCTTGAATTAGCCCCGAGTCACCGATATTCTCGCCAGATGTTCTAGAAAAAAACATTATATCAGGGCAGTTTGACGATAGAGAGAATGTACAAATTGCCCTAGAAGAGGTTAGACAATGCGAGGTATTGTAGACAAGTGCGTACGTTTACGTGGATTACGCCCCCTTTGCCGTCGTCCACGGTGTAGTCTGCAGAACAGTGATCAGGACACGGCCAACGCCCTAGCGCAAAAAAACTTGCTGGAATATTGGGTTTCGATGCACTCTTGCTTAACCTGGAACCCCGCATTGCTCTCCGGGGTCCACCAGTTCTCCAACTTCCCATCTTGATTATACAGCCGTCCCGCAGAATCAAAAGCGTGCTGGAAATGCAGTCTGACAGGGGTCGATGAAGTTGGGGGGAAATTAGCATACCGTAAGCTCGTGGGCTGCTACCTGACCAAATGCGCCATAGGATAGGTACAATGGCCTGACAGACAGGTCAATTCAGTGCCGCTTTCATTATTACCCTCATACCAGTCATGCGAGAAGAACGGTGGCTGGAGAATACCAGCAGGGAAGACGATTTCGTTCGATGGTGGGTTGAAATAGGCGTTGACCATGGACGGCCACATGAGCCATTCGTCTTCGTTCCGCCTTTGACCCACTTTTAGCCACATCTTGAACATGTCGCTACCTCTGCAGACTCGGGTCAGTCTCAGTAAGATTGTGACTATGCTTGAACATACGCGGCGTTGAGAATATTGTCGAAGTAGGTATCTTGGTCAATCTTCACAGTACTGTAGTACCTTAGGATTGACGACGGATCCCTGGTATTTGGCGAGATGGGGTAGCCAACTTTGATGCGTATAGCATCTGCCTTGCCCGCGGCTGCGTCGGCCGACTCCTTGTCCAGCCAGGGCACATTAGGAAGCGACGCCTTGAAAGCCTTAACGATATCTATAGCAGTTCATTTAGAGTGAAGAAACACCAGAAGCACATTAGCTCACCTTCGATGATCTTGGTGCCCTTCTCCCTCGAGTCTCCGCCGAAGGTGGCATTCACAAAGTACCGGCCAGCCGCAAAGCCAAGAGTCGATTCTACTTTGCCAACACAATATTCCGCACGGTCGCCAACAGCACCCTTTTTGATTCCGGTGAGGGTCTCCAACAGCGACCGCTGCGCTGCCCATGCCTCCGTTGACATACCCAGATTCGGCGAGAGGGCAAGCGCCGCACGAGCGACCAGATAAGCCTCAATCGTGTCATTGGAGGTAGAGCTTAACAGCTCCGAGACAGCGACTGGATAGGCGGGGTAGGTAACGATAATGTTCTCGGGGAAGGTACGTGGCGCAAATGTCGCAAAGTAGTCAGGGAAGCTGACTTGCGGAAGCGACTCGGTGAGGTTCTGCAATGGAACTCGGTTATATGTGAAGAACGGATCTTGATACGCGTCCCTGTGGCAAATAAATAAAACACGAGATATAACTGATAAAAAAAGTCCACTAACGCATCGAGGGTGACGTTTGCGAGCTTGGTCTCAAATGCAACAACATCTTCTGCGAGTTGACGCGCCTTTTCAGTGTTGTTGGTCTTGTCCTTGTCAGGCTCGTCATCAGGGTCCCACGGAGGCCAAGGCCATGAAGGCTTATAATAGTGAGCAACAAATGATATGTTTGCAAACAACGCACCCAAGCATCATTCTCCACCAAAGTCGGGGTGGGGGGTTTGTCTTCTTCATCCAAAAGCGTCTTGAAGAGTCGTTCGATGACGTTCTGATATATTGAGACGATATCGGGCTCGGCATAGTAATCCTTCGCTGGTAGACCCAAAGATGCTTGATCAAACCATGGTACCATGAAGTTGGGGTCAATGCCAGCGTCTCCTTCAATTTCGAAGGAGAAAAGCGCAGGAACACCTAGCAGGGTATGAGCATCTGACCGAGGAAAATTCATGGAGCGGACCTCGGGAGTGAAGAAAGGCTAAAGCGGGTGTAAGCCCGCTGAGGTCATCCTCAGAGCTAGTTTCAGAAATCTCAAAACCTTCGCCTCTGAACAACTTCTTGACAGTCTTTACAAATCGAAGCAATGGTTCAGTTCCAATCTCATCCAGCCTGTTCTCGTTCAGACATGAGTTGTAGAAACTGCGAAGTTTATGAAGCAGTTGCTCGTCCGCCGAAGTGGTGAACGATGAGGTTGCAGAGGGTGTTTCAAGGAAATGTTGCACCACACGTTTGTTGTCGATGGAGAGAGCTTCAAATTGACCGAAAGAGCCCTTGTCGGCTGGCAATGGGTGCGAAGCAATCCAACCTCCGTCTGTGATATAGTTTGAGTACAATGGCCATTGCCGACGACTTTCACTCACTGGCGAATTCGAAAAAGTTCTCGCAGGGGTCCTTGGAGACATCGAGAGATGATAAAATGCTAGCCGAAAGCTTGATGCATTCGGGAGTGATACAGACTTCCTACAACACAAGTTAATGAACAGTGAAGTCAGGGAAGCACCGCGACATACCTCGGCTGGACTGCCGGTTGGGCCAGGAGGCTTCGCGGTCGTAGTCACTATCGCCGTTTGGGTAACGGTGACCGTTGGTCTTGGTCCGTCTTCTCGTTCACGCTGTTTGAGCTTGGTATATTCTCCGGCAAAAAGGCCGATAAAGACCTAATGGCACACATTAGCGTTGCACTTTCTAGCAGTATGAGACTCACGGCGCTAAGTAGTAGGAGAACGAGTGCGACAACGAGAAGGATTTGAGTTAATGGAGTCAACGGTTCTTGAGCGATTGAGTTCAGTCGCTCGAGTAGGGTAGGCTCTTCTTCTTCTTGGGTGCTGCCTACGTCGTCATCGTCATCTCGCAGTAATGGGGCTGCCTCTGGCGAAAGTTGAAAATTCGGGAATCAAGCGAATAACGGGTATGTCTCACCCTCGTCGGTCGAGCGGCGTGGGGCACGCTCAGACATTGCGGTCAACTTAACGTGTGCACGCCCTTAAATAGAGCCTCGAGGAGAAGGCGAGCTGAGTATAAGCTGACAATGTTGAGTGTCACCAAAAGCAATGTTGTTACATCATTCGAGAGACCAACGAAGTAAGAAAAGTAAGTGTACAGATTTGGCGGAATAATATTTCCAGCTTTTGTGTGAATGCTACAATAAATACCGAAACTAGACTAGTCGGTAAGGTAGGTAGGTATGAATATAGACAGTGTAGATACAGGAAAAGGTATAAGAAAGTACAAACCAAGGTCTTGTTTAAGCTAGTTCGAGGAGAACGAGTTCGTCTGGGGTTGGAAGAGGCAGAGGAATAGCTGCGGGAGATAAAGTAATGGGAGAGATCGGGCTCGGGGATGCCAGGATATGACGACTGAATGGATTGCGTGTGTGCGTGCGGGAAATGGGAGAGGCTAGAATATTTTAGTTGAGCAAGCCGACATATGGAGCAGAGAAAAGGCGACTAACAAAGCACACTCGAAGTGAACCAACGAACGGGGAGTGTGTTGGTGTCCGCTTCATCCTCGTTATCGGGAGTGTGCATATTACGACTGGGTTGTGTGGAACGCGACGCTTCAAGTTCCTCCATAATCAAGTCATTCTTCAGGAAACCACGTCCCTTGAACGAGTAAGAGCGTTCATGCTGGAAAGTTGGAAGTGACACAGCACCCGCACGGCGAGTGAATAGCACAGGAGATGTGGGTGGGAAGAAAGATGGACGGAGTATGGACAGGAATTCTTCCAACGCTTCAGAAGGGAGAGGCGAACTATAGAATGTGACAGATGAGATGAGTTGCAAGACACCGCCAACCAACGACATACCGGGGAGAAGACCGCTGTGAGGGTGCGATTTCTTCTAACCCACTAATTTCGACGGTCTCGTCGCTAACTTTGGCACGTTCAACGTGGTCTGGCCCACTCAGGATGCGGTTTCGAGTAGTCAGAAGATTGGATAGGCGAACTGGACGGGGAGCAACGAGAACGGGATTGTCGAGCATGTTACAGGCGGCTAACAACGTTGAGTGTCGAAGGAGATGAAGGTAAGAGAAGAAGTGATTGACGGTTGGTCACAGTGACAATCGGCAGGTCGGAACCACTTCCGACGCCTCCAATATCGTCGTTTGCATGGCTCATATCGCGCAACTTCGGACCTCCTTTACGGAAAGTGAATTCTGGCCTGATATCGTCAATCATGCTTCCAAGTCATCGAACTTTCCCTCGAACGATCCCTTGCTCTATTTCAGCTCCCTCTCTTCATGAACCACCATTGACGTCTCCTAATGCCCACCGACGCAACCCCCCTGCTCGAGTCCCAACAGCAGCGCGTTCAAGTCCCTCTCCCAACCGCCCAGCTCTTTGCCCTCTGGGTTTCACGTCTCACAGATCCAATTTCTTATACGCAGGTTGGCATCTTTCCTGCCCTTCTAAACCTCTCTAAACTCAACACAGATCTTCCCTTATATCAACCAGTTCCTCCTAGTGTTGCATGTTACTGAAGATATTTCGAAAGTCGGTTTCTATTCTGGCCTGGTGGTTAGTTGTCTCCTTCCTCCCTGCTGCTGTCAAGGCCAACAAATATCAGGAATCCACCTTCGCGGTCACTCAGACTTTGAGCACGTATTCTTGGGCCCGCCTGTCAGATGTCGTTGGACGCCGGCCAATCATTCTGTTTGGCGCTAGTGGGCTGGCTGTAGTCACCATCTTGTTGGGCTTTTGCACGTCCCTCACACAGATCATAATTGTCCGGGCCGTCGGTATGGGCTACTCACATTTGCCACCTTCACATCCAACTCAATTGTGTTTAGCCGGTTTCTTGGCAGGAAATCTAGCTGTTTTCCACGCGATTCTCGCCGAAATGTGTGTCAGTTGATTCACCTGAGAGAGACATCCATTGACGCTACGATAGAACGCATGAATCGAATCAAGCAGTGGCATATCCTATCTACTCCTCCAGCTGGCCGCTTGGTGCAGTAATCGGTCCGCTCATAGGTGGATCGTTGAGCAATCTTGGCACTAAATACCCGAATATTTGGGGCTACGATTTCGTGCTGGCCCACCCTTATTTCATGCCGAATTTCGTGTGTACCGTTCTGGTTCTCTTGGGACTGTCTCTCGCATATGTGTTCTTAGAAGAGGTGCAGTTTTTTGTCAACAGTTGAACTTTGCCCGGCTGACCCTTGGACAGACGCTCCCCAAGCAAACGTCCCGGCAGTTTTAATCGGGCCGAAATCGTTCAATCCACGCCGTACGGAGTCAGAAATCTGCTAGCCAACCCCAAAATGCGCGCAGTCACAGCTTCTTCATTTATGCTAGGTACCGTAATCTTGGCCGTCTACTTTCCCTGCTCATTTGACCTCCAAAGCCTTCGTTGGGGCGGCTTTCGATGTGGTCTTCGTGCTATTCTGCTACACTCCGATCCAGCAGGGTGGTTTATCATTTTCGGTACCGTCGATTCATCTACAACAACTATCGGATTAGAGGCTCATCATTTCTTCGTAGGTCGACAAGATCGGTCTAGCGCTTGCACTAAGCGGATGCATCCTCGTCGTTTTCCAGCTAATCTTCATGCCGATGCTGCTGCGCCGAATCAAAGCCGCCAATCTCTACAATTACTGCATTCGAATGTGGCCCCTTACATTCCTACTGATGCCGTCCCTCAACTTGATACTGCGACGAGGCTATAATCCAGAAATCGACGACCCCGCCACAAACATCCTCCTTTGGCTTTCGATGACTTTCTTGCTTGTCTGCTCTCGTATAGCAGCTCTGGCCTACGGGTGTGTGGCAAGTTGTTTTTTTGTCAATTACTCAGTGTACTTCAGGACCCAAATGATCTTGGTCAAAGATATTGCGCCCACGACAGCTCTTGGGGAAGCTAACGGACTAGTGCAAGTCGCAATGGGGGCTGCTCGCTGTTTCAGTCCCGCATTTATTAGGTCTGTTTCATATGGATCTTCCCGGTTGGACCGACCAACTAACCTTTCGTTAGTTCGATCTTCGCCCTCTCGATAGACAACAACGTCTTAGGCGGCTATCCTATTTGGGTGGCGGTTATGCTGGTTGTTTGTCTTGGCAGCTGCTACTTGTCTGAGCAGCTGATTGAAATGAAGGGGGCGGACAAAGAAAGCTGAACATTCGCTCCACATAGCACATTTGCATATTTCAATCTATGGCCTCCATGGGGACTCTGCTTGCCCTCCAACACCCGCTGTAAGAAATACGGCACTCCCGTTCTCGTGGATATAGAAGCAATCCTCCAATCTGACGCCGACCTAGCAGAAATGCGAGTCAGAATCGGCCGATACACTACCATATGTCGCGCTAAAACCCACCTTTCCAACGACGTAGTAGCCGGGCTCGTCGCTAAAGGAGTGTCCAGTTTCCAGGACAGTGAGACTACCTCCATTAAGATATGGGTCTTCATGGACCTCTAATCCGATCCCTAGCGAGAGCAATAAGGAATCACCGGTAGGAAGAAGACGGGAGACAAACCATGGCCTAGACGGTGTGTGAAGTACTTGGTATTATTCAACGACTTCCGTGCAGCACTATCAACCTCTTTGGCGACGACCCCTGCGCGCGCAGTTTGGATTGCTGATGTTTGTGCGTCCCTCACACTGTACCATATAGCTAAATGATCCGCCGGAATTTCGGATCCTGAAATCGCGACCGTCTGGCTAGATATGAGCACACACTTTAGCACGACAAACAACACTGACCCGCGTAACGTCGCTGGAGTAGCCATGCAGGTTTGCCGTGCAATCAAAGAGCGCGAAATCATTCCTCCCTAGTGTCTTGTCTGTGCCTGCGCCATGGGGAAGAGCGGCATTCTCTGAAGTTCAACAACTCGAAAGTCACTTGCCCATACTAATCGATGATGAGAGCGGTACTCACCTCCAAATAGCGTTAAACATCCTCCACTCCTCAGTCCAGCGGCTGCTAATGCCTCCCGCATCATTGCGCTGGCTGCAGATTCACGAATTCCAAAATATAGTTTCTCTCGAACAGCTCGGATAGAGAGCACCGTAGCCTGATGTCGATTGAGGTAGGGCAGAAAACGACAAAAAACTACAAGAGTCTTACCTCGTTGGCACATTTGAGAAGTTCAATCTCGGAGGGAGATTTGCGCTCCCGAATGCGTTGGATCTCGTATGGTGCAGAGGCAACAGGATCCGGATGAGCTTTTCTGAGGCCGTCAACGATGAATGTCCTCATATGGCCGTCGACAAACACGGCTCCAACAGAGTTTGGTAGAGCCGAGAGAGCATGGTCATATGGATTGGCATCTTCAGCCCACTCATAAAAATTGACAGCTGAATTTGGGAATGAAAAATGAAGCTTTGTCGAATAACTCGGCTTACCATTTGACGCAATGGGCAATAGCTTTGCGCGATCAATCTCGAAGGCAGGAGTCAGAATCGATATTTTGGCTTGAATATCGTCTCCAGATTGTTCGGGGGTGATAATGAGGAGCAAGGGACGCTCGCTGAGATACCAGTTGGCGTTTGAGATGCTGACGGACTTGTTCTATACTCCAGCTGCCACTGTGCATTACGACTCACTCACTTGGCGTAATATTCAGCACTTGCACCAGGTTCAGTTATGTATGCTGCGGCCTTCAAATCGACCAGGGTTCGGGCAAGTGTCGTTTGGCGCGCCTGGGAAACTTTTAGTCACAATGCTCGTCAATCTTGGGGCGCTGACTTGGAATTCTTCAAGAGATATCGAGGAGAGATGCCCACAGTGAGAAATGATAGCCTTGGGGGCCGAGAAGGAGTGGCGGAAGGATCCTAATGAGTACCATAGCATACATGCGAAAAGGACAATTGGCACGGTCGTCTGCGATAAGGTGAGTTTGTGGATGGCTGGGAAGTTTACTCACCATATAAGAGCGTCGCTGAAGCGTATATCGAGGGCTTGGGGGCGCATCTTTGGACGGGTACATTGAAGTGGGACTGCAACCATAGATAGACGCGTCAACTTGAACTTTGGTCGGCGCTGGTCGGCGTGATCGGACCGCTGTGGCGCTTTTGCTTTGAACCACCATGACAGAAGAGATTGACACAGATTCGCTCGTTGCCATCGTTCGCGCCATGTCTTCTTCGAGCCTGCCAGAGGAACAAGTTTTGGATGCCCTAGCCATTTGTAATGGAGACCCCACTGCCGCTGCTCAGCATCTTACCAAGAAACGGAAACGCGCCGGTTTGGATGGCTGGTTGAAGCCGGGAACGGTGACCACCTCCCAAAAGCGCAAAGCTGAGCTACCTGTTCCTCCAATCGCGTCCACCTTGCGTCATTCCTCCCGACCTCCATCTTCCAAGTCTAGCGCCAGCCCCAAGCCCGCCGTTGACCTGATGTCTGTTCTTCAACAAGCACCGGAAATGCACAAAAGCGTGCTAAAACTCCCTCCTTTACTTTTATCCAGCCCGGCAATGGTGGCAAAACATATTCCTTGTGTTACTCTGCATCCTTCGGTCTTGCCGCAAGAACTTGCTTGTCGCCTGTTTTATACGATGATTGACCATGCTCGTGATCATAATTGGAGCCGTAACAAATGGTGGTTATTCGATAGGGTGGTCGAGTCACCCCATCGAACTAATTTCTTTGCGAGAAGGACGAATGGGCTGGACGACAATCATCAGTGGCAAGAGGCAGCACAATACTGGCAAGTTTCCGATCCTGTTCAATCCCTACACTACTTGAATTCGTCAGGTACAACGGACGAAAAACGGATCCACCGCCCAGATTCCCTACAGAAATGGAGGAGGCCTGCTGTGTTATAGAGCGTGTTGTCAATGACGAGCTTCGAAAGCGGCCTCGGTTCCCCCTTGAATGGGCGGGCAGCTCAAAGGACGATCCAGGTTGGAGAGCAAATGTTGCTGCATCTAATTGTTACGATGGAGGAAAAGAAGGAGTTGGTTTTCATACTGACCAGCTGACATATCTCGGTCCTTACACCACCATAGGTACATCCTTTCAGTTTGTCTGCTTACACTTTCGCTGACATTCAAAAGCATCTCTTAGTCTTGGTTTGTCTCTAAATCAGAACACAATTCCAGACGTTACACTCAGGCAGGAACCTCCCGACGATTTCGACTGAGAGAAATCATTCCAAACGCTGAAGCTGAATCGCGACATGCTCGAACGTTTAATATTCCTGTCACCCACAACTCTGTACGTGTCCTTTCTACTCATTCAAAATCCTTGTCTCAATACGGACTCAGTTGACCATAATGCACGCTAGCTGCCAGGAAAAATTCAAACATTGTGTCCCTCAAGAGAATGCCATTGACGCCTTCCGACCACCACTTCCACGCTTTCCGGGCGGCCCAGTTGAACCTTCTAATATTCGTATCAACATCACCTTCCGATTTTATCGACCAGATTTCCGACCCGACAGGTATAGTAATAAGGAACTCGATCGAGGTTAACACTGATCTGAGTTCCCAGTATACCCCGTTGTAAATGCGACATTCCGATGATACTTCGACCTGACATGAAGAACCATGTCGATGGTATCACAGACAAGTATTGGTGGGCTTGCTCTGGCGGCGCACAAAACGATGGCAAAACTTGTAGCCTTTGGCAACTGTTTGATATGTCAAAGGAAGGTAGGGGTCCGGTTGTAGCTGATGCCCAAGGCCCTTGAAGCTTTCAAAAGTGGGCCACTAGACGATTGATCAGAAGTCTTCGCCTTTACACTTAAAGTACAACGTCTGAACAATAGGATTTCATTCGTGTTCATGGTTAGATTGTGTGTGTGGCCACGAACTTGCGATTTGCTTACATCACCGCGGTGACCTGTAACCGGATCAGACGATCCTCATGACCGATTTTTGCACAGTGATTTTCACGCTCAACTTCCAACTTGAACGTCGCCTCCTTCCACATCATGGCCAAATTCCTTGCTCAGGACGCGTTGCTGCCGCTGCCGGCTCAGCTCCCATATGACAAACAGTCAGTCCCAGTAGCTGGCACTAAACGCCCTGGACAATCTGGTATGCTGTTGTGTCGCGCGGTACTACCGGCTAATCATCGTTTTTTGGCCAGCTCACTATGTCAATGGTGCGCTCACCGCCTCTTTCTCGGCTTCTCTTACGCACGCTTAGGCATGTGGGGCCTGCTTGACCCCACAAAGTACAGCATCAAAGTGCTTCCTGACGTTTTCGAAAGCGGTCTGTCTAAGGGAAAGGACCGAGCGTTCCTCGGTTATCGTCCTGTTGTCTCCAAGGAACCCCTCAAGTTCGGCCCCTACCAATGGCACACATATGGCCAGGTCGACACTCGCCGCAGACACATCGGGAGTGCACTCGTCCACCTCTTCAAGAACGGTACTCTTGGCGGTGGTGACCTTGAAACGGTTGGCATTTGGTCACTCAACAGGCCAGGTACGTGCTCGTCTATCCATTCCCGGAGATGGTTAACGCACCATAGAATGGCAAATGGTCGACATTGCGCTTCACAGTTACAAAAAAGTTGGTGTCACTTTGTACGATACCCTGGGAAAGGATTCAGTCCGTAAGCAACAACTTCTCGTCGATTTGTTTTCACATCTGACTCTACGTCTTCAGAATACATGTAACTCTTTTCTGATAGCCCGAAGTACCCGCTTACACTCCTTAGCATCAACCACTCTCATTTGTCAATCGTCTTTGCGACCATTGACCATGTTTCGCATCTACTCAAGCTAGCGAAAGAGACCCCGTGCCTGAAGATGATTGTTAGCCTTGACCCCCTAACCCCAGAAACCAGCCAAGTCTTTTCGGAGTGGGGCCAGACACACAACATCGTGGTCATGGATATCTTCCAACGTGAGTTCACATTCCACCGTGAGTCTTTCGCTTATCCTAGCTAGTCGAGGCATTGGGCAAGGCAAACCTAATTGAACCCATCCGTCCCGCTATCAGCGATGTCGCATTCCTTTGCTATACTTCCGTATGTGAAGGGTTTTGAAGCCTCGCTTTCCATCTAACCTGTACGCAGGGTACTACTAGTACTCCCAAGGGTGAGGTCTTTCTCAAGGTCACTTAGGAAATTAACGCGGATAGGTGTCGTATTAACCCATGGTGAATTTGCGAGCGCTGTGGTGACCAACCTTCTTGGTCTCGAGCTCTCCCCGGAGGGTTCATTGATTTCATATCTCCCTTTGGCCCATATTTACGAGGTATGCTGTGAGGTTTATTGGTTTTCTGATATTGACTGGACTTGAAGCGCAATAACGAAATGGGCTGTATCGCGATCGGCGGGAAGATCGGTTTCTTCACTGGCGACCCATTGCGCTTAATCGAGGACTGTCAAGCTCTCCAGCCCGAGTTTTTCCCTGGTGTTCCTCGAGTTCTCAATCGGGTCTACCAAGCTGCCATGGCCGCTGCCGACGTTCCAGGTCTCAAGGGAGACCTCTTCCGCAAAGCATACGCAGCAAAGATTCAAAAATTCCACGCCACCGGAGATAACACCCATTTCTTCTGGGACAAGATAGTCTTCCGAAAGGTATGCGTGTTCTTCCGCTTGACATTAGGCTAAATCGCGGCTAGCTTCGCAGTGTGATTGGAGGCAAGGTGCGCCTGATTGGAACTGGTTCAGCTCCGATCAGTGGCGATGTTATCGACTTTTTGAATGTTGCGTTCTCTGCCTACGTCAGTGAAGGTGTGTGTATTACCTTTTAGTTGAGTATAGTCACTGATGTTCTTGAAAGGGTAATTTGTTGCATGTCTCCGCATATTTTCTGTTGTCTGACTGTTTCTCCAGTTGGGGTATGACAGAAACCGGTGGATCCGGGACTAAGACTTGGCCTGGTGATTCCACCGCGGCAGGCACTGTTGGCCCACCGCAGTCCGTTTGCCTGCTCAAGCTGGTGGACGTGCCAGCCATGGGATACTCTGCTGAAGACAAACCTAACCCGAGGGGCGAGCTTTGCATGCGTGGCACAAACGTTATGACCACCTACTTCAAAGGTCAGCAGGCCAGACTATATCCCTGCGCTCCTTTTATTGTAGCGTAGATGAAACGAACACCAAGGCTGCGATTGACGAAGAAGGGTGGCTCCACACTGGCGATGTCGCTGAAGTCGACCACTGCGGTCGGTTCAAGATTATCGACCGTGTCAAGGTGTGTGCTCACTTTCCTCCTTTGTCCCCGTCATTGGGTCACTGTGTCGCAGAACATCATGAAACTTGCTCAAGGCGAATATGTGGCTCTTGAAAAGATCGAAAACACCTACAGCGGGGTCCCGCTGATCCAGCAACTCTACGTCCATGGCGACGGGCTGCAGTCTTTCCTGATTGGCGTTGTTGTACCCGATCCCGTCCAACTGGCCAATGTTGTGTCGGGCATATATAAGAAGAAGGTGACAGCAGAAGCAACCGCAGAGCTCAAAGCCGCTTGTGGGGACGAACGTGTGGTGCGACACATTATGACTATCCTGGAAGCCGAAAGCGAGAAGAACAAGCTCAGAGGGTGCGTCTACCAAGTTCAGATAGGTTTTTTTTTGACGTTGCTGACTTGTTTTTTTTTTGTAGATTTGAAAAGATTAAACGCATCCACGTCTCGTTGGATCCGTTCACCATCGAGGATGGTACCCTGACACCCACATTCAAGTTACGTCGGAAAGATGCGTACAACAAATTCAAGACGGAGCTCGATGCGTTGTACGCGCTGGGAGAACCCAAAGGGAAACTTTGAAGGTTAACTTAGCGGGGAATACGAGACGCATAATGTTAAGATTATTGGAATTTAATGGAGATCCACGGATGCGTTTGCTATTTGCACTGCTTACAGAAGAGACAATAAGGGCAAAAAAGTAGAGTACAAGGAAACAAAGTCCTGAAGAAGTTCAAGGTGCTGCAAGAACCATCTGTGATGAATAAGCACGCTGCCTCGACGAGGAATGCTCGTGAACGTACACTCATAAAGGATTCGTAGTTTATTTGAATCCACCCATCGCGGTCGTTATCGGCGCTGCAAAAGGTGTCAATTATTGATTGCGGCGAGATGAGGTAACGCACCGTTGGAAGGCTTCTGTGAGCGTCTTGACCACAACACAGGCACGGACGAAGCGGTCGAAAGTGATACCAGGCGGGGGTCCGTACATGGTTGATGGGGCGGAAGCTAAGACTCATCGGTCGGGTGATAAAGAAAAGCGAAGAACACGCACCATATTTGCGCTCGATTAATGTTAATAGGTTCGGCGAGAGGTTGTAGCCGAAGCTCCTGAGAGCGCTGGCAAGCTCGTTCCCTTCTATTGACCCACTGCCATCTCTGTCGAAGTGGCGGAAGACATTCTGCCAGTCGCTGATGTACTTCCAGAGACCCGAGAACTCTGACGGGGAGTTGAGAACAAAATAAGGCGAGTGTCGCGTGAGACTGACCATTAAAAGAGATAGTTCCACTGCGATCGGTGTCGAAAATACCCATAAGCATCTTGACAGTGTCTAAATCGAATCCTGCTCAATCATAAGCAACTATAGGCCCATCGCAAGGGGACAACAAACTTGTCCAGTTTCCCTATGAAGACGGATGAGTTATCATCGCTTAGATTGCCACTTGAGGGAGCAATACTGACATTGACTAACGCTTGCTGTAGCTCGGAAACAGAGATACTACCACTCCTGTCCGTGTCCACCGCAGAAAAATACTGGAAGAGTTGTGGATCGCCGCCAGGGGGTGGGGCTGGAGTATGTGAATGTCGTGACTGTGAGCCATGATTGGAGTAGATGGGAGCGCCAGCAGGACGAGATTGTTGTGAATATTGGCTCTGTGGCCGCAAAGCATTTGGGTGCTGCTGGTAGTGTGGTTGTTGCTGAGCGTACATGACTGACTGAGAGACAAGAGCTGGCCGGATCGAAAGACCGATTATAAACGTCACGGTTTTGATGGCAGTGTTCACCGCCATCTGGGGCAAGAAGTCTCGTTTGACTCAAAGGCTCCGAAAACAGTCTTGAGATCCCGCTGGGCGCTGCGGCTCCTCATTTGCTATCCATGAAACGAAACACAGCTTGCCAAATATTTCCTAATGCGAACGAATGGATTTGTTCCGGCAATCAGGCGACCGACCCGGTCACGTGCACATATTTCCCCTTGCCATCATGAACGACTACCGCGCTGTTATTTTCGATGTAAGAGTGCAAGCCTTCACGCTGACTATAGATCAGAATATAAACAAAATCCATTAGATTGGGGGAGTCGTAATGCGGAGTCCGTTCATCGCGATAGCTGCCACTGAACGGAGGCTCGGACTACCTGAGAATTATCTCAACACTTCAATGTACTTACTGCATCTGGCAGCTTGCTTTCTTGGTCTGAAACACGACGGACAGCGTAGAGCGTGGACCTAACGGAGCGTGGCAGCGCTTCGAGCGCGGCGAAATCCAACTCCAAGCATTCTATCAACAGTTCAGTCGCGACCTATCGGATACTGCGAATGGGAATCAATGGTATGCTGCTTATTGCAAACGCAAAGGACTTTGTACGTTTTTCGCAATACCAGAGTTGGCTCAGGCACTGACTTAGCTTCGTTTAGCGTGTCCCCCCCTGCCAGAAAAACTGTCTGTCGATGGACGAGAAGTGCTTTACCATCTAGTTGTCTATCCTCGCGCCAACTTTGTGCTACAGTTATTTGGTTCGATGATGCGTGAAGCTGTCACCTTCGACCCACACATGCTCCGAGCGATTCGCAGAATACGAGGTCAGCGATTGCTTAGTCCTCTGGTAAAACATCTCTCAAGCTTTCTCGACAGCGGCAGGCAAGCATAAAATTATTGCTCTCACCAATAATTTTGCGCGTTCCTCGACCGAAGATCCAATTCCCCCGTCAGAATTGGAATTCCTTGGCTGGAATGAGGGAGGAGCGACTCCTGCTGTCCTCCGCGGACTATTCGACGATTTTTGTGACAGCAGCGAGCTTGGTGCACGGTAAGCTTGTGGTTTGCCCCTCATCAAGTCCCTTGAGAAGGCCCGAATCATCAGAAAACCCGAACCGCGGTTCTACAGAATGGCACTTGAGCGCAATGGTCTGCTAGCACACCAAGTCGTGTTTCTGGACGACATCGGGATGTACGTGACCAGCTTCAAACAAGTTTATCGGTTAATACCAGCGTCAGAAATCTCAAAGCCGCGAAACAACTTGGTATGGAGACCATCCGTAAGTCACGTATTGACTAATTGTACATGCTTGAGCTGCGGCAGATGTACCACTGGGGGGTAACTTGAATGCTGCTCGACAACTAGAAGCCAAACTAGGTATCGACCTGACGAGGAATCCGACAGAAGAGGAAGTTAGAATGGCCAAATTATGAGAAATGATGTTGCTGGTTGTTGGACAGGTGTTCGCTACTGGAGCACAAAGCGATAGAGCAGGCAAGAGGATACTACTTCTTTTTTGCAAGATTATTGTTTCTTTTGGACGACTAGCCGTTCTACCGTACAACCCGCGGAGGGAAATCTATATGGTTCGACTAGAAGGGCTTGTCCGATGCTGGTGTTTTGTCTTCGTAGTACCAGTTGAGCTGCGAACGTTACCAATGAAGAACGGCATGCGGCTCCGACAACTTACTACTGGTATCTTAACGAGCACTTCGCGCCGAACGAGCGGAGTGACGGAAAGGAACTGTGAGTATGCATAAGCTATGGGCCGTCTAAACACCGGGATATGCATACCAGGAAAGCCCCAGCGCCAGCACCCACACCCCAAATGCCCAGTGATGCAGCCCAACGTTTCGTGATCTGTGCGAGTGATAGAATGAGCCGAGTTGTAATGGCAAAATATAATGAGATAGTACGTTGACTGTGTGGGCGTAGGGCGAGGTAGACTGGAACAAGACTCTACTCATGATGGATGGCGAAAGCGGAACAAAAAGGAAATCTGGTGTGACGTGACGCGCCGCCCTGATGGCTAATCCACGACAACGACGAAAACAGCGCTCCTCGACGCATCGGGCGGTTTCACACTCTCGCCATGCCCAAACTCATCTGAAGAAGATGCCCCGTGAGTAGTATTGCTGACTTTTCCATCAGAGCGCCTTATTGACCAGTCCTCTAGCCATTCGAGGTCCATTCTCAAGTACACTAACTAAAGTCTGGGACCGAAAAAAAACAGTCAAGCAGAAGTGAGTCGACCTATTCGTTCGGAGCAGACTATCTCGAGCGAACTGGAGACTGCTCGCTTTATGTTTGTGTTTACTGAATCGTTGTTTTGTTATTTTGCAGCTACGCTGCGCTCGGGCTTGCTCATACGCTAAATCCATCGGCCGCAGGTGGGGTGGAGCCGACAGAGGGGTCTAAAGAAGCTGGACCTACGCCATCAATTCCAAAGGGTCATGGCCGGATTCTGCGAGATGCTGATGGAAAAATTGTTGGAGTTGAGCTGGAAGAAGAACAAGAGCCAGAATCTGTGACACTTGCAACGGAAGATAAGTGGATTGGCAGCGGAAAAACAAAATCGACATCTGGCGGGATCGCACACGGTAAGTAAAGCGATTTCGACGGCCGACTTCTTTTGAATGGCTTCCTTTTTTCATTAAGAATGCTGACATGTCCTTACGTTCAGAACTCGAGCAACTTGTAGCCGGAGCCAATCCAGGAGCGGGTCCGCGTCATCCGTCCCGGCTTGAAGTGGCGTACTTGCAACGACTCGTAGACAAGCATGGGAGTGACATTCTACTTATGGCTCGAGACAGAAAGGTTTATTGTGTTCTTTTTTTCAATTGGGGGTTTAATCTAAAATAAATTGCAGCTAAATCCCGAGCAAAGAACCGTGGGGGAATTGAAAAGAGCACTCCGGCGATGTGGGTTCGCGGTCAATGATGTACTAGGGCCTTAGCAATCGAGTAAGCTTTTGAAGGGTAGCTTGAGGCGATTTCAACGGCAAGCCAGTCAAAAGATCGCCGATATAAGAAGCTGGAGCTTCCGCACGCCACACCAATGCCTCCCCGAGCCACTACTCAGGCGACAATTTCTCGCAGCAACAACCCCTCAACGCGCAGCGTTTCCGCTCCTTACCGAAGGCCTTCCGGCCAACCAAAGTCTACAAGACAACAATACTCTGCTTGTGGTGCATGTCGAATGCGACGGCGCGTTCTACTCCTTTTGCAGACAACGTTTTTTCCTCATTCCCAAGTAGAGTCAGATGCGACCTGAAGGACCTCCCGGTTGCTAATGGTCCTCACCCAACTTGCTCCAATTGTCTCGAAAGAGGCTTAAAATGGTGAGCCATTACATCGTTGCTAGTCATTTGCCCTTCTGATCAGTTGAAGCGTGTATGGCCCTTCGCCCATCACCACCATGATCTCTCACTCACCCCCTCCCTCAGCGACGAATTTGCCGATGTCAAAGCCGTCAAGCTACTTCGACGCGGCCGTCGTCTTCAACAAGTCGAGTAAGCTACTTTATCAACGCCAGAAAAAGACAACCGCTCATTTTTCGTTTAATTAGACAGATTTACGGGAAAGGTGCCCCGGTCGACGATTCAGCCACAATACCCCTCCCGCTTGCAGCCCGTCTGCCCAGCATTATTCCTCAGCTGAAACCTGAATTCTTCGCCTCCTCTTTCTGGGCTTGGTTTAGCGCACAACGTTATTATTATATTTTCCTCTGCAACACACGTGTCTGATGCTTTCAAAGGCCCAATCCTCGACCCGACCGAGATCCCCGCGCGATTCTTTGCTCATTCCAAAGGGACGCACTCGCTGGGGAATGAAGGCAAAATTCTTATGCACCTGCTTGTCGTCTGGGCAGCTTCGTTTGGCATCGATGAAAGTGGTACCCCCGAGACAGAAGAACTGCGACCATCCTCGGCGTCAGGAGAAGATCACTCAACTGTTACTTCTCGCCCTAGTAGCACTCTCATTGCCGAGGGAACAAGAGCCGAGCGTAAAAATCGCACAGAGGCCATGGTCCAAGAGATCCTCGCCCTTATCGACTCACACGGCGTCATGCGTCGACCAACTTGGGACGGGGTTCGAGTACTACTCTTGATTCTACCTCTCATGGAAGGTGTGTTGATTCGTCTGATTTTATTCTGGCCAGCTAAATGAGTCAGTAGACATATCAATCTCACCCCTCGACCGCCGCTGTATGTACGAGGCTACTCTCAATCAAGCAGCAGCCTGTGCGCTTTCTGGTGGTGCTTCCATGTCGTTGCATTCATTTCCTCATGCTTCTGACGACTCGATCGTCCGAGCCAGGATACTCTGGTATGCTTATATGCACGAAGGCATCACCACTGGAATGCGCGGTGGTCGATTCATCCTGTAAGTCCCAAATCTAGCCAAAAAAAAAGAAGGCCCACAACTCATTGTTTGGTTAGCACCGAAGACGATATCCAATCTTTTCAAAGTACCATCCCCACTTTTGGCTTTAATCTTGGCACCAACTCTCCACTACCATCTCCAGTCTCGCCATCATTCCCTCCTCACAGCTCGCTCCCTCTCTCAATTCCCCATCGTTTAATTCACCCACAAAGCTCTCACCCCCAACTTGGTTCACCTCTTCGTGCATATATGAACACCGTTGATATATTCTCCATTCCCCTTGAGCTTAGCGCCGTCTGTCGACGCGTCTATGTCGTTCTCACTGGTCCTCGCGCTGCCCGGCAGGCACAGGAAGGCGGGGGCATTGATGCGGAGGGAATGCGAAACATTTGGGACGGCCTTGAACAGTGTTGGGAGGACTTTGAATCTCTTCGATGTCGCACAGATCTCGATGAAGAGTCTTACCTCTTTATCACTGCGTGGCAGGTAAGTTCTTTGTTCTTTTTTTGCTGCCGTATTTGAACCTCTTGGTAGATTTACATTTTCGAATGCCGTACGTATTTTTTCCCAAGTCTTCAGAATACATGACACTGAGTTGACATCCAGACAACATCATCCGTGAAACCTTAAAACAATACTCGATGCACAGCGCAGATGCGGCCCTATACGCCACGCCACCCCATTCAGCGGGTCGGGGAGCTACCTTTTTACCCCCGCACCAGCTTCATGCGATTGCTAGCCGCAAGTGTCTCCGATTGCTTCCAGCGGTCTTGTCGCTCTTGCGTTCGCACTTTGGGCGTGGGAATCAGAGCATATTTGCCTGGGATGCTGGTCTTGTTCGTGATGGATGCTTCTTTGTAGGCTTCCTCTGTGCTACCATCGACAATGACGCACAAGAGTTCGTCGTGGAGAACCGGGAGTTTATGCACCCTGATATGGAGGGCATACGGTCAACTTTGGACACCGAGGAAGGGATCCGTCTCTCTTTGGCAGTGCTCAAAGAAATGGCCTGGGCATTCTCCAAAAGTGAAGAGCGGGAAGACACGGTTCGACGGATCTGGGACGACAAAAAGAAACGCAAGCTCGAACAACAACATGCTGCCGCTGCTGCTCATCATGGCTACGATATGGACTATCACGCTCCACCACCGCCAACTGCCTATTCCGACCAGTCCTCGTCCTATTCATCATTCCCACCAAAATGGGTTTCTGATGTCGACCCAACATCACATCTGCCTCTGATACTTGGTGATCGACCTATTCTACCACCACTTAGCTTACTCAACCATGGTGCCTCTCCGCGGCCAGGTCCACTCGATTCCGCGCCTAGTACTGGTTATAGCATCGATGGGTCCGGGGCTCGTGGGAGTGGCTGGCCAACCTACACCCCGCCTGGAACTGCGACATCGGGGACAAGCACGAGTACAGGCGTCAGTTCAAATGGCTCGCCAATATTTCCGAGCGTCAATGCTGGAGATATGCCGCAATTTAAGACCGAGGCGGATACCACAAATCCGTTCTTCCATATGACCCGCGATTTGGACCACTTCAGTTTCAACTCGCCTGTGACAGTGCGGGACGGAACAGAATGTTATGGTGCGCCAACGGGGCTTCTCAATCCTGTCAGCGGTGCTGTCTTCGACGCCGCTGTCCTGACTCATTCTGACCACGATGACATGGACGCTTGTGGTCAATTTGGTGAGGCTTGCCCACTGTACCACTAAGTCGTATTTTTATCATTTTCACGCTCGACGATGGACTATTTTCTATTACTGTAACTGCTGTATAGTTACCTTCGCTGTCTAATGCATAGGTTCGTGGATGGCTCCAGTGGCGCTTTTGATCGTCTTCCACCGGGCAACTTCGACTCACATTTCCGTTTTTTGCTTATGACGGCAGCACGGAAGCTCTTTGACCGCGACAGCTGCTGCACAAGAGAACTCGAAGGTTACTCTCTTTTATTCCTATAGAACCGTGGGTTTCTTCGAGGCAGAAGAGAGCCTTTGCCCTTACTCGCATCCGGCACAGTTGAGCTTAACCAAGACGCATCAGAAAGTCAAGCCTACTACTACTTACTAGGTTTTTCAAATTCTTCATGCTCCACGAAAGCACTGTGCAGCAACATAGAGGCCGAGGACAGACGACTGGCTACTGGCATTCTGCAAGTCTCTCACGCGGCACAGCTTTTGACTGCGGCGTTTTTGAACTTTGACAGAAACCACGATGTTCTGTGCGTCATACGTCGTCTCGCCGACCTCTTCTAATGCGTTCACAGTTTGTATTCCTATTCTTTGTATGCCTTTCCTGTTGGACAAGACTAATTCAACACTCACCACGACAACCAACAGTTGGCTGCGAGCAGAACCTCAAGGCCGAAGGCGATCCCAACGCACGCGTTTGCCCCAACTGCCACAACGGTTCGCGCCTTTGTTCTCGTTTTGTTCACAGCTTCTCTCTCGGTCTACGATTGCCCTCGTCCGATAAAGTCTGACAGGCAGCTCGCAGCTTCGGTATTTTCGGCCAAGAAAACCGACTGGTTTACGTTCTTTTTTATTCCCCTCGTCCCCTTCTCCTCGAAGCACGTCTGGCTTTGCCATATCTGTCGCTGGATGGCTCCGAATGCCCCAGGGTCTGTCTTTCCTGTCAACCCATCGCTCCTTCTCTCCTCTTACATCGCTAACGCTTGCTGCCTTTTGTCTCGTATTAGCCAATGGGAGCCTGTCCCGGTCCACGCCTACGGCGGACAAGTTCCGTTCGCGATGGCAATGCAGCAGCCCTACCAGCCAGGATACGTGAATCAAGTTCCCCCCTTTCCCCTCACTCGTTACCAACCTGTTTGTCTCCAGACCGGCGCCATGCAGAAGTGAAGCACCGGCCGACAAACCTCCAACCGTCGAATATCACCCGACTCCATGTATCGACTCGTGTATCTCATATCAATTCAAATGTACCCCGCTCCAGCCAATGTGTCGTCGACTTCTGCTGCTTCTTAAGCGGTCATGAACGCATCTCGACTAGAATAACTGTCGAGCACAGACTTAGACTAACCGCGTTCGTACAATCAATTCTCAGGAAAGGAATGCAGTCGCGGCAGATGTGCATGCCTGGCTGCTAGATTTCTCCAAAAGACGCGCGTCTGGGGGCACAAGTGAGCTTCGATTCATACCATCGCACTCCGGCGCAAACGGTCTCTAAAAGCGCTACTAAGTGGCATCTGGCCGACCCAACCACGTGCTGATATGATATTTGCCTTTTTGAGCGCTTGGCGTTGAGTATCAGTGGCTGTGCAATCATACAAGTCAACAGAAATACATTGTGAAAGCAGAGGATAAGACACATATGGTACAGAAAGAAACTTTTCAAGCGGCAACTTGAATCATATTCGGATTTTGAAGCGTGCTGGGCGGCGGGATGAACACTCTGGTCTTGATGCTTCCTGCTGTTGGCAGCCGCGTGACACCGGCACTGAGCCATGCGTCAACCTCTGCAGCAGCACCGCGTCCCTCACTAGAAGAAGAAGAAGATAAATCAGTATCTGCTTCAGAACAGAGTGTATGATCCTACTTGATGCCCCAAACAATTAGCGACTGGCCGCGCCTGCAGTCGCCGGCCGCAAACACACCCTCAATGTTGGTGCTATACTTCTACAATCGGGTCAGCGAGATTTTTCAAATAGAACAGGAGAAATTCACCTTATTTGGGGTCTGGATATTGGAACGAGCATCTTGTTTGACTCCCAAAGCCTTGATGACATCAGTTTGCGGGCCGAGGAATCCGAGTGCAAGGAAAACAAGTTGTGCGGGGAAGAATTTCTGGGAGCCAGGCACTTCCTCCATCTTCCAACGTCCACCGCTATCCCTCGTCCATTCAACACGGACTGTGTCCAGTCCCTTGAGGTTACCATCGTCATCAACGACGAAGTCTTTGGTCGAGATGCAATACTCGCGAGGATCTGAAGAGAAATTCAATAATTATTCAAGCACCGATGAGAGTATTACCATTGCCGAAATGAGCCGCGACTTCGGTGTGACCATAATCGGTACGGAAAATTCTGCATTAACTGATCAAAACCCTTGATGCAAAACGAAAATTGCCTGACCTTGGCCATTGTGGCCATGGGTTGTCCCTACCACGAGCAACGGGTGGCTGAGGGAGGAGCTCGAAGTTAGTGACCGATTTAGCGCCATGTCTCATCGCAGTTCCAATGCAGTCATTGCCGGTGTCACCACCACCAATGACGATAACATCCTTGCCCTTAGCGTTGATGTAGTTTCCATTTTGCAGTTCCGAGTCAAGGAGAGCCTTGGTGTTCATCTGTAGATTGCTGAGTCACAAAGAAATGCTGACTAGAGACACGAACCTGCAAATATTCCATGGCGAAGTGGATGCCATTAGTTTCGCGATTGGGAATTTTAAGGTCACGTGGCCACGTAGCGCCAGTACAAATCACAACGGCGTCATTTTGAGCCTGCAACTCATCCGCATCAACGTCTACACCAACGTGAGCGTTGGGAACGAAAGTCTAAGAAGCCATTCAGGTCATGAACAAACAATTTTTGAAGCCAGATACGCACGATGCCCTCGGCCGCCATTAGGTCAAGACGACGTTGAACGACAGATTTGTCAAGTTTCATGCTGTTTATAGATTAGCACTAGACTCTGAGGGCAGAAAGCAAACAGAAAGTACTTTGGAATGCCATACATAAGAAGACCACCCATCCTGTCGTTTCGATCATAAACGGTGACCAAGTGTCCAGCTTTGTTGAGCTGGTCGGCGCAAGCGAGTCCAGCGGGACCGGAGCCGATGATGGCGACGCGCTTGCCAGTGCGGAAAGAGGGAGGGTTAGGGGCCATCCAGCCCATCTCGAAGCCCTAGATTCGAATGTGTAAGCCACTTCTTCGATTCGTAATTAGCAGACACTAACCTTGTCGATGATGGCGCATTCGATGCTCTTGATACCAACCGGCTGCTCGTTAATACCAAGCACACAAGCTCCCTCACACGGTGCGGGACATACGCGGCCTGTGAACTCTGGGAAGTTATTCGTCATGAGGAGTCGATTGAGCGCGTCTTGCCACTGTCCCTTGAAAACGAGATCGTTCCATTTGGGAATGATATTTGAGATGGGACAGCCTGAATCGGATTGACAGAATGGCACACCACAGTCCATGCAACGCGCAGACTGGTACTTCAGTTCGCTCTCTGTCAGTCGCGACGATATTTCCTTCCAATCCTTGACACGCTTTCGGGGCGGACGATAGGCCTCGCCTAAACGCTTATACTTCATGAATCCGCGCGTCTTGTCAAGCTTGGTCAATCGTGCTTTGGTTGTTGAATCGTCAACAAGGGAATCCTCCATATCGACAATAGCTGGCTCGTGACGAGGACGATAGAAAGATGGAGCTGGGGTGGTGGGAGCAGATTGAGAAGCTCGGGGAAGGAGAATATCTTCCAAGCCTTGCGACGCAAGGTCAACTTGGCTGGCGGTGCGAGATGGAACCAAGTCGATAACATTTTGACGCATTTTCTCCTCCTTTTCCCTAGCATCCTGCTCTTCCAAAATCCGCTTGTAATCGAACGGCATAACCCTGACAAAGAGAGGAAGAAGATGATGGAAGTCGTCAAGAACACGATCCGCAACTTCAGAGCCAGTAAAATGACGATGGTCTTCGATAAGACTGCGAAGAGCGGCAATTTCACGGGGATCAGTGACTTTTCCAAGCTCGACCATCTCCATGTTGACCTTGGAAGCAAACGTGTGGGCTGTATCAAGAACATAGGCGATTCCACCACTCATTCCGGCAGCAAAGTTTCGTCCAGTAGTTCCCAGAACGACTACACGGCCGCCGGTCATATATTCACAGCCATGGTCGCCCGTCCCTTCAACAACTGCATTAGCACCAGAGTTTCTGACAGCAAAGCGCTCGGCGGCAACACCACGAATGAATGCCTCTCCAGAAGTAGCACCATACAGACAGACGTTGCCGATGATTATATTCTCTTCAGCTTTGAAGGTTGACTGTTTGGGAGGGTAAACAATGAGACGGCCACCAGACAGGCCTTTGCCAACGTAGTCGTTGGCGTCACCCTCGAGCTCGATGGTGATTCCAGGTGCAAGGAAAGCCCCGCATGATTGACCCGCCGACCCACTCATGCGAATGTGAATCGTGTCGCGTGGAAGCCCCTCTTCGCCATACTGCTTGGAAACCCGATAAGATAAGGAAGTCCCAAGAGCACGATCGGTGTTGGTGACGTCACAGTCGATTCTGACAGGTAGTCCTTTAGTCAGCGCTGGCTCAGATTCGTCGATGAACTTGTTATCCAGACGGATGTATAGCTTGTGGTCTTGCTGGCGAACACGGTATGTTGCGACTCCGGGACGCATTTGCCATGCCGGCTTTAGGACGGCAGAAAGGTCAAGATGAGCAGTCTTGACTGTGCGGAGTTTCTCATTGACTTTGAGCATGTCAGCGCGACCAACCATCTCGTTGATTGTGCGGAAACCAAGCTTAGCCATGTAGCCCCGCAGCTCCTCCGCCAAGTAATAGAAGAAATTGATTACTTGCTCTGGTTGTCCAGCAAATTTGGCACGAAGTTGCGGGTCTTGTGTTGCGATACCAACAGGACAAGTATTGACTAGATATCTTAGTTGGATAGGGGAAAGTACAAGAAAAAACCACTTACGATGGCACTTCCTCATCATAATGCAACCCATCGCAATCAACGGAGTTGTCGCAAAGCCCCATTCCTCTGCACCCAACAAACACGCAATGGCAATGTCACGACCAGTACGAATCTGCCCGTCGGTTTGAACCGTCACGCGGCCGCGAAGGTCGTTTAAGACGAGTGTTTGATGAGTCTCAGCCAGACCCAATTCCCAAGGAAGACCGGCATACTTGATTCCGGTCCATCGGGACGCACCAGTGCCGCCATCATGACCGGAGATCAAAATATGATCGGCCTTCGCTTTGGCCACGCCGCTCGCAACAATCCCAACTCCAACTTCAGACACTAGTTTCACGGAGACGCGCGCACGAGGATTTGAGCATTTGAGGTCATAAATGAGCTGCTTGAGGTCTTCGATGGAGTAAATATCGTGATGGGGAGGTGGTGATATCAAGCCAACCCCAGCAGTTGAGTGACGGGTCCGCGCAATCGATCCAGAAACCTTATGACCAGGTAATTCTCCACCTTCCCCTGGTTTTGCGCCTTGTGCCATCTTTATTTGGAGCTCGTCAGCGTCCCCCAAATAGTTGGAAGTCACACCAAAGCGACCGGAAGCAACCTGCTTGATAGCAGACCTCATTGTATCTCCGTTGTGCAACACCATTGATCGTTCGGCGTCTTCTCCACCTTCTCCCGTGTTAGATTTTCCACCTAGGCGATTCATGGCAACAGCAAGAGTTGAATGAGCCTCCATTGAAATCGAGCCATATGACATAGCGCCGGTGACAAAGCGCCGAACGATTTCATTCCAAGGCTCGACTTGCTCGATAGGAATAGCAGTCGCATTTTCGTAACGGAACTCGAGTAAACCTCGAAGATGGACCTGTTTCGTTTGTTCGTTGGCATTACGCGAGTAGGCATCATACGCAGATTGATTCTTCTCTCGCACTGCGTCTTGAAGATTCGCAATACCAGTGGGGTCGTTGATATGAGCCTCTCCGCCATCGCGCCAATGGTATTCACCGGACTCGGGCATGCCAGGCGGAATGATCGTCTCACGTGATGGCCACCCGCGTTCATGTAACTCGAAGGCATCCATAGCCAGGAGGTCGAATGTGGCACCTTGAACACGACTAGCCGTTCCGATGAAGCAGCGTTCGACGACATCGGAATGGAGACCGAGGATTTCAAAGATTTGGGCACCCTTGTACGACTGCAATGTGGAAATGCCCATCTTGGACATGACCTTGAGAATGCCGTTGTCGATTGAGTGTCGATAGTTGTCCATAAGATCCGTGACAGTAAGGTTGCTTTTGACCCTGCCAAAACAGTGAGTAAACCATAAGAAAACACCATCATCAATACGAACAATTTCTCCCTCCCGACCTTATGAATTGTCTCCATCATCAGCCATGGGCAGATTGCGTCAGCTCCGTAGCCAACCAACACGCAGAGATGATGCACTTCACGAGCCTCGGCAGTCTCAATCATCAACGCAATCTTAGCTCGCTTCTTGTGGAGCACCAAATGGTGATGAACACCGCCGCAAGCGACCAAAGCCGACAAGGGAACACGGGAAGGTCCGATGGCTCTATCGGATAGAATAACGACCTTGATTCCATCGTCAATAGCTTGAGTTGCTTCGTTGCAAACGCGCTCAAGAGCCAGTTGATATCCTGGAAGACCACCCTCCTTGGGAAACGTGATGTCGATAGTACGAGAAGGCCAAGTCGTATAGGCAGCTTTCAAGCTCTTCATTGCGTTCATTTCTTCGATGGTGAGAAGGGGAGAAGGTAGAAGGATACGGTGGCATTGCTCGGGCTTCATCTCAAGCAGATTGCCTTCAGGACCCACGTATGCCTCTAAAGACATGACTATATTCTCGCGAATTGGGTCAATAGGAGGGTTGGTGACTTGGGCAAACAGCTGGCGGAAATAGTCGTAGATGATGCGGGGCTGCGTTGCCATTGCAGCAAGTGGTGCATCGTTACCCATGGAGCCAAGCGCCTCTTTACCATCTGAAACCATAGGAAGGACGAGAAGGTTGAGCTGTTCGACAGTAAAGCCAAAGGCCAACAATTTAGGGTCGGTACTAAGCGTGTATTCGTCCAGAACGGGCTCAAGACGAACATTGCTCCTGAGGACGCGTTTGACAATATTGGGCACGTGCAGTATATGCGCCTCCACCCAAGATGCGAAATTCTGCTTAGCGGCCGTTGTGCGCTTCAGCTCCTTGTCATCAACGATCCTACCCTCCACCGTGTCGACAAGCAGCATACGTCCAGGCTTGAGGCGACCCTTTTGTACCACTGTCTCTGGCGCGATGTAGACAGCTCCCACTTCAGAGGCACAGATCATGATGTCCTCGTTGGTAACGATATATCGACACGGACGCAATCCGTTTCTGTCAAGGTTCGCACCGCAATAACGCCCGTCACTGAATGCGAAGAGAGCAGGACCATCCCACGGCTCCTGTAAGCACGCAGCCCAGTTGTAGAAAGCACGCTTCTCTGGTTCCATGTTTTCGTTACCCTGCCAGGCTTCAGGAACGAGCATCATGACAGCTTCAGGAAGAGTGATAACGCCATTCACAACGAGTAGCTCGAGAACGTTGTCGAAGGCAGCAGAGTCTGACCCGCCAGTTTCAATGATAGGGTAAAGCAGATCGAGTTGTTCGCCGAAATGCTTGGAAGAAAGGACGCCCTCACGTGCCCGCATCCAGTTTTTGTTTCCGCGGACAGTGTTGATTTCACCTGTGAGAGAAATTCATTATGCTGATAAGCGATGTCAAGATGGAGAGCAGACCATTGTGAGCGGCCCACCGCATGGGCTGAGCACGATCCCAACTGGGGAATGTGTTGGTAGAGAATCGGGAGTGGACCAGTGTGAAGTGCGATTGATAAAGAACATGGTTGAGATCGTGATAGTAGTTGTAAACTTGCGACGGAGTCAACTGTCCCTTATAAACAATGTTCTTGGTGGAGAGCGAGCAAACGTAGAATCCTTTTGCAAGAGTGCTTGATGACAAGAAGAATGTGTTGAGCTCGGGTAATCGACGGTTAAAAAGTGGAAAAGACAAACATGCTGTGGGTTGCGTGCTTGCGGAGGACATAGAGCTGGCGTTCGAAATGTGTTGCGTCCAATTCTCCGCCTTGGCTTGCGCTGCCTTCACCATAGTGCGCTTTGAGGACCACAAATGGCTGATAGATTGCGGGTTCCTTGCTACTTGCTGCGGGGCCGAGAATGGTTCCATCGGTGGGCACTTCTCTCCAACCAAGTACCCGCATGCCTAAGTCTGAAGCGATCTTGGCAAAGAGGGCCTGATGGCTCTGAAGTTGAACAGGGTCGTTGCGTTTGAAGAAAACATTCCCGCTCGCATACTCGCCAGGCTCTGGGAGGATGCATCCAATATCACGCTCTGCTTCACGTTTGAAGAAGGCATGAGGAATTGCCGTCATGACTCCAGCTCCATCTCCATCACGACTGTCCGCCCCAGTTGCTCCTCTATGGGTCATGGCACAAAGCAGTTGGCGAGCATCGGAAACGATTTTGTGCGCTGGTTTTCCTTTGACGTGGCAAATGAATCCAACACCACAAGAGTCTTTCTCGTTGTCGTTCGAGTAGAGACCTTGGTTGGCTGGTAAAGAACTAGCCCATGAGGCAGGATCGCGCTCAACAGCAGCGAAGCTTGCAATGCTCTCCGGGGAGGCGATGTCTTCGACTAAGGGGATGTCATGAGAGGCGGCGAGCGCACTGGCCATCAAAGGGTGGATGGTGGCGGGAGGAAGAGAAAATCAACTTGGAGACTTGGCCGAAAGCGGGCACGCCATAGGCAATTTCGTGACTTGTGATTGGCTGTCGGAACGGTGAGCCGTTCTGAACATCTCGTCCGATTTCGCCCGAAGCCCGATAATCCGAATTTTGGCCGGACGACTGACAAGAAAAAAACAAATGCAAACAAACATCTGTGAGAATGTTGGAAGCATGTCGATGTCGATCCCTCACATCATTCCCCCGCTTAGATCAAGAGATAAGCCGTCGAAGCTGGCCCACGCCATCAATGGGGGTACTCAATACTTGCAAGAGGAAGAGGATGTCAAGGAAAGCTTCGTATTACTTCCGACGTCAAAGCAACAACCCGGAAGCTGAACAGCATGAAGAGGAAGCGTCTTTGCCTTTCAAAGTACGACTATTTCTGTTATCTTAACCCATGACGCAACCTCAACTTGCACCGTCATGGAGTGCACAACAGACCGCCGCTTCCCAAGTTTAGTGCAAAAGTATCCTTATGTAAGAAGGGCTCACCCTTGTGGTGTCCGTTGTATTGTCGTACGCTTTCACCAGACGCCCTCTCCCATAATCGAGCAGTGTGGTCTGATGATGCTTCACAAATGAGTCAGCAGTAGTAGGCGGAAGAAAGAAAAAAAAAACCTGTCACAAGATAGGCGGAATCCGCGCTGAATGCACAGTCCCAAACCCATCTTTGGTGCCCGACTAGAGTTTTCTCTTCTGTGAATTGAAAATTGTGGGAGATTGTCCAGATCTTGACTGTGGTGTCCGCAGAACAGGTTGCGAGGTACCTGATCGGAAATTAAAGATGTCGAAGCACTATATCGCGGGCCACTCACTTGGCGTCAGGACTGAGCAGACAACGCGTCAGATACTTATTGTGAGCATGGAATCGGGTAACTGCGTGGAAACGAGGGAGACCAGAATTCTCGTCGTTGACTCTCCAGACATAGACATCGCCCTATCCAAGTGAACGTGCGCTTTAGAGACAAGCTTCACCACACACTTTATTATTGCCTGCTGCTAATAATGACCCGTCGGCGGCGAGGGTGATGGAACGCATAGGAAGCTCAGCTACTGGTGTCTACAAAAGTTCAGCACGCAGTATGATAAAGTCGAGACGCACAAGCTCGTGGTTGCAAACGTTCTCTGACAAATCCCACTGCTTGATTCTTCCCGCTTGATCACAAGATAGAAGTTCGCCTTGATTCGGATGTATGACAACATCGTTAACTGGACGAAATGAGAGTGAGAGAGCATGGAATACGAAGGTTAATACTAGGAGACATGTTATCGTAGTTGTTGAAGAGTTGGGAGGTTCTATGGACCCGAATGAGTTGATGCTCAAAGAAGCTGCACAGCACGCACCTGAGGTCCCAGATCTTGATTGTCCCATCTTCACTCCCAGTGACAAGCCACTTCCCTTCGCTGTGGAATGAGACAGCAGTGATATTGCCGGTATGTCCCTCAAACGTGGCTATCTATGCGCTATGAGCCCACGTCAACACAGTAACACGCCCATACAGGGTCTGAGGAGGAGTTGCCAATTTCGTAGATGCAAATTTTCTTGTGTATAGCCGCGGCAAGTAAACGTTTGCTGGGAGGTGCTTGAATAGGCGTGTCTCGATAGATTAGGTGGCCCTACTCTGGTGATATTGCTAAACGATTAACTTGCTGTGCTAAGTCAGTGCTAATCAAACAGAGAGAATGTACTGACACCAGCCTCGCCGGTTCGGGCGATAGTCCGTGAGCAAATACCGCTCCAAGCTTCCCAGAAACGAATTTCGTGATCATAAGAGCCAGTGACGAGAATGACGGACATCTCTTGTCTGGGGGCAGGAGTTCCCCTGTGTCCTATGTCAAAGACAATAATAACCATAAGGGTAAGACGCGCCTTGAAGGCATTGTAGCTGTTGGTGGCATGAAGAAGACAGGTAGGTCGACGTCACGGTCACGCCTTCAAGTCAGTCGTCGCGTTCTCTTCTTTCAACGCATCCGAGGCAAAGCCGGAGTGACGTTTCATCCAACTTAGGCCGCGGCCGTCGTCATGAATCCGCACGAGAACGGGCGTGTAAGATCTCAAATCTCCACTGTGTCCGTGGGGTTTTTGTTTTCATCAAACTCGTGTCTCTGGTTGGACTTATCGGTTACGCCCTCGCCTTTCATTTTGTGCCCACACAGTCTCGCCCTAACCAAGATCGATAATGTTGTCGTCAAACATGGCTACCTCGCGTAATGCTTCTGAGAGTATTCACCCAAGTTTAACTGGTGGATCGCCCCCCTTCATTTTCTGCGGTTGCCTGCAATGCTTCTTTACCCACTAATTATCTTCGCTTTCCCAGTCTCTACAAGTCAAACGATGATCTTTCCTATCGCCGATTCTGCTTGCACGAAGTCACCTCTAGTGTCGTAGACGATCGACCACACTCGAATAGATTCCTTCACCCTTTCGCTCGCAGTTATAAACACTGCGTCCTCTGGAGAATGTCCCTCGAATCAGGTTCCCAAATCAAAGCCCAGACGCATACTTAACCCAGCAGCGTTTGCTGCCCACTTCCAACTAATTTGGCTATGAACGGCTTTGAGGTACGCTCTCATTGACATTCACATTTTTCCGGCTAACCTGACACACCATTAGCCGGGGACAAGAATTTTTTACTGGGATGGCGGCGGGAAGACGGTCTACGGGAGCGTAAAGGCAGTCTCGAGGACCCCCGATGCAAGTGGCCTGCCGATATGTTCTTGTCTCACAACTTGATTTTGCATAGGGAACTGTCGTAGTCGATATCAAGACTGACACTGGGACAACAATACGCTTGCCGTGAGTGCTAATACGACTTCTACAACTTGCCGTAACTGAAAGGCGTCACAGTGCCGCAGCAGTTCAAAAAGTATAATGTTGGATCGTGACCCTTCCTAATTTTTTGTATCGACCACTAACAATTTGTACCTACACCTTTTGTATCTATATACCTACACATTTTGCATCCAAGACGTTCCTGGAAATTTGGCACCCCAAAAAACAAGGTCATGTCGAGCGTGGGCTGGCTTCGGAAATCAGAAAGAGAGGAAGAAATGCCATTCTGCTTTGCCTCCGTGCGCCAAATCACGGGCACTCGAACCAAGCTTCTGGTCTTCTTTGCTATTGGCAGAGCTGTCTTTTTCTGCCATCGAGTACAACCAGACCGAGTTTAGACTGGAAGAGAGGAATGGTTCGAATGAAATAAGCGACGATCATGATGCAATTTGGGCCCTGTCCCGCGGGGCGAACTTGAGCCGTGTCCACGAGTGTGCGCAAAGCAGCATGCTTGAATGCAACCATCAGACCAGTGTCGACGAAGCGAACCAAGTAGAGCTCGACAAGATTACGGGACAGGGGGACCCACAACTCTTCTTCTTCGCCGGCGAATTCTAGAGCGATCATGATCGACTGCTCCCCACGAGTAAACAAAGGCCTGCCAAGTCAGAAGCTGTAGTACAGTTGGAGCCGTAGTTGTCACGGTACAGTTTCTTCGGAAGTGTGGGTTGCCGACAGTTGCATCCCTCAGCCGACCTTCTCAGCAACCAGTCGGGGGCATCCATGGGTCTGAATCCTCATTTAGGTAGCCGATCCTTTCAATCACAAGTCAAAAACTCTAACAAAAATAGACTCGGGAGCCACATACACGTATCATGATGCTGAGTCGCTGCCCCCCTTCACCCAATAGGATGGAATGCTTGAAGTTGAATCTCAAGTCGTCACTGAGGCCGCTTAGCAAGTAAAATATACGTCGAACGGAACTGACCGTTGGATATAAACGCTACCAGACGGTAGCGGGACACTAAAGATGTCGCCGTGATCATTTTCAAGTCGTAGCACTCTCTCGGCCCCCAAACTGCAGCCAAGAATCCATGACCCACTGGCAGAAATGTTGTCCACGTGTGGTTGGATCTCACCATCAGACGCGAGATGCAAGATGTGTGTTTGCGTATCTTGTGATGGCATGAGGGAGTGGAGACGCTCAAGCGCAGGCGGAAGCGCAGGAAACACATCAGGCCATGACGAAACGTGCATTTCTCGATAATTTTTGATGACTCCGTCGTAGTGACCCTAGGTTCACAAGTTGTTAGAGGCTTGAGCTTGAACCGCAAGGCTAGCAGTTACTTGTTGGAATTCATAGTAATTGTCAGGAAGAAACAAATCCTGAAGAGGATTCGATGCAGTGGGGAAGGATCGAGGAGTAGTGCCTCGTAGTAGTGCCTTTCTTTTTCTGCGGTGATTACCGCTCTCCATCCCGTCAAGTTTATGCAGAGCAGCCTCTAGTAGAACGCGCTGTTCAGTGCCGGAGAAAAAATTTGGATAAAAAGTCAAGTGTTTTCTTAGTTCCGCAGGGAGTAGAGTGGTCGAGAAATCCCTTGTATTGCAGCGCGCATGCGCCAACTTTAAATTCGGGAGACGCGTGAAGGCAGTGGAGAGGGTTTTTTCGAACATCGGTCCGAATCGTGGAAGTTCGGAACAAATGCGTCACCCGGCCTGTCACGCCCGGCCTGACGCACACACAATACTTGTCGCCTTGAGTCGCGTCCCAGGTTGCAGTCATATTATCTCTGGGTTCTACACGCTGGTGTCTGGACTTGTGCTCTGCTGTGGCGGAACTGACTCTCTGAGTCGTTGGTCGGATGCCCTCAAGCCCCCCAACATTGACATCCACTCTCACCACAGACAAATCTAGGCCTGAAAAGAACAGTTCTGGTTGGTTCGATATACAATCCGGCGAAAATCTCTTCCTACCCATCTTATATAGACTCTCAGGCGAATAGCTTTCAAGCAGCCGTAGCTCGGACTGCAACAAGGTTGGTTATTCCTATCGCAAACAGCGAAAAGCTTGAAAAGTTATCAAGAGCTTTAGGTCTCTATTTTTCGCGTCCTGTGCGGCTTTTTAGGTATTTGTATCATACTCGCTTCAATGATGACAGGCTCAATTAGACCGCGTAGGCCACAAAAGATTAGCGGATGGCACTCTTTGCGAGGACTGGCAGCTCAGGAAGGTCTTTCCATTTCACCCACCTACCTCAGAGCACTCGTGAAATCTGAAGGAGTGGGCATTACATCAAAGCTCAGAATTAAATTCTGATCCCGTTCATTAGTTTCTCGTTATCCCTAAACACTTTCTACCACCAATGGTGGTAAATGGTAGGTGTTTTGGCTGGTGACATGTTCGTAAGCCTGAACTTTTGATAGCGTTACTCGGGACTGTTCTTTGGGCTACCTACTCAAATGCATCAGCTACCATACACCCTCATATTTCTCATCCCATTGGTAATGCGGCTATTGCTGGAGCTGTCGCTGGCGGGACTCAGGCCCTGCTCGGAGCCCCTACAGAGAACGTAAGACTTCTCATAGAAGGGGGTGCTAGTCAGAATTCTTGGTCCCATGCCTGGAAAGAGGTGTTTCGTGGAACTGCGATTCCGTCAGCGTCACGGCACGACACAATCGAAGATGCCAGGCAGTTACGAAGGTGGATGAATGAGGTTGGGCAGATGGCAGGGAGAGGATGGGACGGTCTCGGGTATACGCTCGGAAAAGACATAATAGGTCCGTCACCCATGCTCGACCATCGATCTCTCATGGAAATATTTGTAGGTTTCGCTGCTTTCTTTGCTATCTTCGAGGTCACTCGACGAATGGCGCTACAAGTGCGAATACGTGCTCGGAGTTTGGAAACACTTCCAGACAGCACCCGTCTTCCACAGTTATTGTATGGTGTCACCCTTGTGACTGGAGGGGTAAGTTTGCTGTTAGTTGAAAGTATCGTGCTCATGTTGATACCTATTAGGTTGTCGCTGGACTTTCTTACGAAATTATCGGAAGACCTTGGGAGGCAGCTAGACATGCTATACGACTAGATCGCCTCACAAATGCAGAACGCCGTTCAGCCTTCGCGGTCCTTTCACATAAGATACGAGAAGAAGGGTTCTTCTGTCTGTTGCGTGATCTTTCGTCGGCAAATGCCACCAGTACATCCCCCTCGAGCAGTGGCGTTTATCGGAGGGTATATGGCCTACTTCGCACATTTGCGCGCGTTGGGCCATGGGGAGTGGGTTTCTTAGTCTATCAAGCCTATGAAACCGGGAACGAGCTATAGTTGAGTTGCACTGCACCCTTCTATGACAGCCTATGATGACGACCGTGCAGATAACATACGGGCTTCCTCCCTCACTCTGTCGTTACCATAACCTTCGACCCTGCTTAGGGTAATCCTCTTGGGCCAGAAAGTCCCAAATAATTTCCAAATAGAAGCTCCTCTTCCCTCATCCTTCCAAGTAGACAGCTCTGCGCTGGTGCCAACCCGGTGGTTCGAGCGCCGTTTCCCGGGCCCATCTCGATACTAACTCACTTTTATTTAGTTTCTCCGCTGTGCTGGTCACAGACCAGTCAGATGGCTCAAACGTGGTCTTCCAGCATCGACAGTGCGGATAGAAGGCGTTGGTTTTGTGAAACTTTCGAGCTCCGCGCATGGAGAAGCGTGGATTGACCTTGATTGTCTTTGAGGTTTGTATTGGCAGTAACTCGAAGAATTTGGATAACTGGGGCAATTCCAATGTCATGCCAAAGATCGGACCGCACTGCCCGCCCACCACACAACTGCCAGGCTCTATATTCAAATGCCCTTACTTTCGTTCCTGCCAGTGCCCGCCGACGCTTGTAACCACACAATATTTATGCCATGCCATACTGTGCAGTAGAGTTTATGCATCTCTAATTCAACGCTCATCTCCGTCAATACGTACTCGTCGTCGGATGAGACTTTTTGTTGGTCACCGTGAGTTTGGTCTGTTTAGTTCACCGATCAGCGCGGAGTTTCAATTTCCCTGATTGGGTTGATGTTACGAAACTTCTAGTAAAACTGACCCTCATCGCATCTTTCAGGCCATGCGTTGCTCACGCAAAGGTTGTGGTACTGAATACACGGAAGACTCCACAGACAAATGCACTTACCATCCTGGGGCTCCCGTTGGCCGTTTCCGTCTAGATTTTTGGTGAATCGAGCTCAATCGGCCAACAGGTATTCCACGAAGGTCTCAAGTCATGGTCGTGTTGTGCGGAGGTCTACAAGCCTGTTCTCGATTTTGACGAGTTCATGAAGATTCCCGTGTGTCCCAGACAGACTTTAAGATATCATGACACTCAAAATCTTGTAGGGTTGCACACAAACAGATCGCCACACAAGCGAAGCTCCTCGAGTCGTTGAAGCACCCAAACAGACATCTAGCCCCACAGTCACTATGACTTCGAAACAAGAAAATGGTCAAGAGGTTTATTCGAGCGTGTCTAAACCCAAACCTGCTCCTTCCCCGTCACCTGCCCCGGCTCCAGCTCCAGTCGTGGTGATCGAGGAGGAAGACGATCTGGAAGCGTCCGTCAGTGTTGGTACCACCTGTCGTAGGAAAGGCTGCGGAGTCGCCTTTGTTAGCAACGAAGTCAACCGATTAGGTGACGGAGAAGGTACTGTCTGCACACATCATCCCATGCCCGTGAGGAACTTCTGTTCCCACTATAACTAAATCTGAGCCCTCTTTAGCCAATTTTCCACGAAGGCAGCAAAGTATCTCTTCAGAGTGATTACTTAGACTGTGCTCATCAAGCGCATAGGGTTATCTGTGCTGTAAACGACGCGTGCTGGAGTTCGATGAGTTTCTCAAGATCGAGGGATGCAAGCAGGGGAGACATGTCTTCGCTGTGAAAAAGACTGACTCTGAGGTTCGTCTAAAAAGTTTCGTTCTCATTGACTTAATAACAGAAAGGCTGAACAATTAACGACTTGTCGAATGGACCACTACCAAACATTAGATCGGGTACAGGTTTCTATTTTTGCCAAACAAGTAGACAAGACGCGTAGTCAAGTCAGATTCGAGGAAAGCCAGGTACAAGATGCTCTTATCTGCCTAAGCGCCAAGATTGACCAGGTCAGGTCTCAGTGGACTTATATCTTCCTGGATCGAAACGATTCATGAAGACTGTCGAACTATTTGGACCAATCGACCCTGACGCGTCGTCTTTTACATTCTTCGGCACCAAGGTCCTTCTTCCCTGCTTGCGATGAAATCAAACCTATCGGTTTTAGGTCGAGTTGAGTTTGAAGAAAAGCGATACGCGAAGTTGGACTTTATTAGAGCGTACCGATAAGGACTTGGGCAACATTGCCTTCACGTTTGGTGTGGGTGGCCGAACTGGAACCAGCGGCGCAAAGGAGAGTGTGTTGGATGCAGGTAACTCGTCCAAGGGACCGAGTACATAGCCTTTCTGGATGACAACGTAGATACAAGTACCACGGCTTCAGATAATCTTGCATACGTGATGGCGCGGTCACGCGAACGGATCAAATGTGACAGTAACCCGATGTGGACCGACACACTTTATGCTCTCTGCTGTCCCTGTTGTCCGGCGCAGATGCTCAGTTCGTTCTGTAGCGACTGCCGCGAAGCGCAAGGTACTGCTAAAATGATTTTAAATTGTTTTCCGACCTGTCTTACCCAGGTTGAGCCTTCCACGACTGACACGAATCCGCAATGGACGCCGCGACCCAATGCTGAAGCATCCTCTTCAAAACCTCGAGTTAGCCCAGCGCGCTCATGGCCATCCATATCCGCTACGCAACCGGAACCAGAAACTAGATGGACACCACAAAAGCCTCAGTCTTTCTCCAGTCGTTTCCCTCCTCCTGCCTCTAATTGGTCCTCCGCCGTCAATGCACGCCCGTCACCAGACACCTCACAATGGCGGCAGGCGACGTCTAAAACGTCCAACTTTCTTCCCAACTTCGACAACGACTTGCTTTCTATCGCTCCTCGTCAATCGCCTCTCCCTAGAACGAAAGAGCCTCCCAGGTTCAGCTCAACTCCCTTAGACCGAGATGTTGCGCCCCATTTGGCACCCGCATTTGTTCCTCCACGCCCACCTCCTCAAATGCGACCGCGACAGCCTTCGCGTAGATTAGATGCCGGTCAATCGCAACCTGTTAAACAAGAATTGGCTCCTCCACCAAAAACCTCCCAGACACCCATGTATCTTCCTCCTACCCCTGAACTGCGACCAGCTAGCCAACCTGCGAAAACGAAGAAATCATTCAAGGAACGTGGCTCACTAGTGACCCGCAACTCTGAACAAGACTCGACAGCCAGCGCGACTGAGACAAAACCAGTGAAAGTGAAAAAGGCCTGGGCTTATGTTGCCAAGCGCATCGAAGAGGACGTTTATATCCCCAGCACCGTCTCCGTTGGAGCTCTAGCCAGGCTACTGAACATTCGCCTAGGTAAATTTCTCTGCTCTGTGTGTAGCGACCTTCTTAACTGAGGTGATAGAGGACTTGCAAGAAAAGATGTATCATTCGGGCATGGAAGCGCAATCTTCTTTCGACCACGGTCTGCTTTTCTCGGTTCAAGCTACGCTGAAGTTGATCTCTTGAAGTTCTGACCTCCGATTACGCTGTGCTCCTGGCAGAAGAGTTTGGTCGTAAACCCATTGTCAACGACGAAGCTGCATTCGACTTATATCCTCCGTATGTGACTCTTAGCTTTCCGCCGTCGAAATATTTACCCTGATCCAGTCCTCCCCACCCTAACCCTCAATCCCTTCCCAATCGGCCACCAATCGTTACAATAATGGGTCACGTAGATCATGGCAAAACAACGCTTCTAGATACATTACGTTCGTCCTCAGTTGCGCAAGGAGAGGCTGGTGGTATCACCCAACACATTGGAGCCTTTTCTGTTCCAGTTCCCTCATCTCTCGCCAACGAAAATGGTGTCCAGTCTATCACATTCCTCGATACCCCAGGTCATGCAGCATTCTCAGCAATGCGTGCGCGAGGCGCTCACGTTACCGACATAATCGTCTTGGTCGTCGCTGCAGATGATGGTGTAATGCCACAAACACGAGAGGTCATAGAGTTGATCAAAAAGGACCGCGAGAAAGTCAGTGTTGTTGTGGCAATCAACAAGGTGGACAAGCCAGGGGCCAAAATTGTGCGTTTCAGTGTCCGCTCTCAATGCACTCTCTCACTTTTTTGGTAGGAAGCCGTTCAAAAGGCTCTCCTCGTTGAGGATATTCATTTAGAAGAAATGGGCGGCGATATTCCTGCAGTTCATGTCTCGGGTTTGACGGGCCAGGGTCTTCCCGATCTCCTCGACACCATTTCCCTTCTTGCAGAAATACAGGATATAAGGGCAGAAGCAAGTGGTAATGTGTTTGGCTATGTGCTGGAATCAAAGGTAGTGCAAGGTCTTGGGTACGTGTGTCTTGATTTTCACTGAGCGGAAAATTGATGGAACTTCAGGCCTATCGCAACCGTGCTAGTGCTTCGCGGCGCTCTTGAGCCTGGCGCCCATATTATTTGCGGAACCCACCAAGCAAGAGTTCGTCTAATGCAAGACTCTAATGGTCAGACGGTCAAACATGCATCCCCGGGTATGGCTGTCACTGTCTCGGGGTGGAAGTCGTTGCCCAACGCGGGCGATGAGGTCTTAGAGGCAAGCGAGTCAGATATCAAGCGAGCATTGGTGAATCGCAAACGCAAACTCGACATCAACACAGCTATGGCGGATGTCGAAGCCATCAATGCGAGCAGGCAACAAGAGCGTGAACGGCGCCAGGCCGAAGCCGCCGCTGAGGCAGCTGGCCAAACCACTCCCACTGAGACCGTTGTAGAGGAACCAGCTGGTCCCAAAGAGTTGCGGCTGCTCATCAAGGCTGATGTCAGTGGCAGTGCCGAAGCTATTGAAGGCGCTTTGCAAGGGATAGGCAATCATTTGGCGCTCTCCAAAGTTATCGGGTCTAGTGTTGGAGATATAACAGAGTCCGATGTGATGACCGCGAAGGCTGTTGGAGGTGCGACAACTTGGCCCTCTTTGATTTTTGGTTTTGACGATTCCCTTCTAGCTACTATCGTCGGCTTCTCAGTCAACTCAAACCGTGCTGTAGAAATCCTCGCCGCTCGAAATGAGGTTCCCATCGTCACGAACACCATTATCTACCGCTTGATGGAACAAATCAAGGAACGGGTAATCCGCTTACTGCCAGTCACCTACGAAACAAAAGTTCTGGGGGAAGCCAAAGTCCTCCAGCTCTTCGAGATCACAGTCAAGGGCAAAAAGCTCAAGACGGTCGCTGGCTCGCGTGTTGTCAATGGTATTGTTGAGAAAATCAAATCAGCCCGGGTTATGAGGGACGGCGTCATGGTCCACGAAGGTTTGTTCCTACATACTACATGCGAATTCGTAGCTGATTTGAGTTCAAGGGCCATTTGAGACAATGCGCCATTTCAAAAAGGACGTTACCGAGCTGAGGAAGGGCACCGAATGTGGTCTTAATCTGGCGGGATTCGACGATTTGAGAGTGGACGATGTGATCCAAGCTTTCGAGCTCATCGAGAAACCGGGGGTACTTTAGCTTAATGCAAGCCGTACATAGACTGAGCGGTTCACTATTAATGCGCGATATTCGCACGTTATCATCACGTGAGCAAGAGTGCATCTTCCATCTTCTGCGTGTTGGCCCCAAGGCCTCATGTCAGATTCGGAGGCGTCCAGCCCGTCGACATACCTGGACGATACTCCATCCTCCACCAACTTTGTTGAAGATGTGCTCGTAACCTCTGCTGACGAACGAGATTCTGCTCTCCCACTTGTACCATGGCGCTCTGGAGCGGATAACCTAGATCTTCTACGCCGAAACACCTATTACGCCTACGTAGGCCACAACAACTGGCTTGCTGCACGTCAGGCTCAGCAACGCCCACTACGACTTCGCAGGAAGGTCATTGTTCGGCGTCAGACATATACCATTGTGGACGAAGTAGGAATCAGTGCGCTCTCTCTCTACTGTTTCTCCGAAATGGGCGGTTGCTTAATAGGCTCTGCTCTAGGCCGTGATTTTTTCCTTATCATCGCTCTGTGTTTTTCTCTTGCAGTGCTCATGATCATCTTTCTACGCCCAATCGCGCTTGAACTGCTGTGGTATTACATTGACTGACCAGGTGCTGGCCGCGCGGTAACAACATTCTTGATCGACAAAATGAAGCAACATCTATTCCTCGTATATTCGCACTCCACCTCCTCCCCACTGTCGCATCACTGCGTTTCCGTCCCCCGTTGGCTGTGTGAATGCCACTTGACCCTTCCGAGGGTCCAATCGGCACCCATAGATAAATGTCTCTGCTGCAGCCGTCAGCAACTTGCTAGCGACTCCCTGTCGACGGTGGGAGGAAGGAACGAATAGACGTGGGATACCGAGTGGCGTTGGAAGCAGATCTGGGTGGCAGAAGATGCCAGTGCTGGTGTCAACAGCGACCAGTTTGGCTGTAGGAGTGGATGTGGGGCTCGAATCTTGGCATGTGGGCTCACAGGCAGCCGTACACTCGGCTACACTGGCAATGACCATAGCCGCGGAAATTTGCTGGGCAACGACGCAGCCAATAATCTTCTCCCGGAATGTCGACGCCACCGAGGGGACGAGGAACAAGTACACTTTTGAAGCACGTAAGATGTCGGGGGTCAGATCGGGAGCGGACAGAGTGAGGTTTATGGTATTGAGTAGAACTGAAATCTTGTTTGTGTGTAAGCTTAGATGGACTAGAAAAATATGATTGTCTGTAAGCACCTTGGACCCAATCTTGCCACCGAGATCAGCACGGAACGAAATGATTCTTCCTCTCAGTCCATTCTTGAGTTTGACGTTGGAAGAAACCTCGACAACGCCTGCTTTGGAGCATTCCTTCTCCTCGTCGCGGCCCCATTCCATACCCTTCTGAACTCGCGTGCAATGTGATTTGTGAAGTGATTCGTCGTCTGGCGCGCCTTTGTTATAAGACAGTCCACATAGTGAACACGAGCGAAGGACACTCTGGTCGATGTTGAAGTGTAGCTGGGTGTATTTGGGCTTCTCTTTCGCTTTTGGCGTGGTTGTGCGCGGTTTGGCCTTGGCGAGTTTGGGTTGCTTCGTAGCAGGGGTAGTGATGTTTCCGAGATGCTCCTCTAGAGGTTGTCGTTTGCGCTTCTGGCCGACCACAGGGGAAGCAGAAGGCGGAGAGAGTGGTTCTGTGGATGAGGCTCTGAAGGTGCGCTTTTTGGAGCTATAAGTTCTTTGAAGAGACATGGTCAAGAGTGAGTCCTCGCGAGTCACGCGCCAGTCACTTTGACGCGACATAAACACGACCACGTGATTCACGCGTCCGATTACATAAGTAGCGTTTATTTGGTGCTACGGCATAACTCCTACTTAGTTGGACCATCTCGTCACGGTCGATGCAAACCCTGTTCCATTGTTGTCTTTCTCGTTTACCACGCCCACCCCATCCATGCTTATCTGGAAACGACTCGATACTGTCGCCAAACTGAACACCTCCACAGATGAAGACGCTTTGTCGATGTCCAAAATGTGCGTTTGACAATCTCGGGTATCGATGCAAGCCTTCGAGTAGTTGGAGAAGAAGCTATAGAGACCCGCACCTGGAAGAAGATAATCACGTGCAAGGACAACAGTTATTAGCATACCGAAGATGAATATGTCGGACGAACTGCGAACGAGGGCAGCCCACGCTTGCTGGAGATTCGGTGGAATGGGCGGGTCATTATATTGCTTCGACAAGGTGAATGGATGGGGGAAGTTGTCAGAGTATGGCTGGAAGTAAGGCTGATGAAATATTAGGTCGGAAACGATGGCCCTATAACAGACACGCACTGTCTCTGTTTGCATCAGCGCTACGTAGTGGTTTCGCGCTTTGAAGAATTGGTATTGATAGAGGAAGAAATGCTCAGCTAAAGGCTTTCAGAGAGCTAACTTTGTGCAGAATGTCATGCGTACCAGCAGTACCAACTAGCCAGACTGGTCCCTGTGATTCTGACAAAATACCGCGACCGGCGAAGATGTTCAGGAGTGAAGTGCCATCTTGGTCCAACTCATGGTCGGCAGTCCACACCCAGAGACCCTCAAGATACGCCGTTGAGCTTGGGGTTAAATGGAGGGCCATGAAAGCCGCTATGGACTTCGGCACGTCTTGTCCGGTGTCCGCTTTGCACTGCTCAGTCTCCAGATTTGTTCCCGCGGCTACCAGTTATCAGATAGCTGGTAACCAAATGGTTCCACGATACGTACCTCCACCAAGACGAATGTGCGTGTCCCATGCGCCAGCAGAGCCAAGCTCGGATTCGTGGATATTCCATTCAACAACGATAGCTCCAGGAGCTAGAATTCGTTGAGAGGACAAAGCGGAAGAGGAACCCCAAACATACCTGGGCCGACAGTCGAAAAAACGATGTCTGTGATCTCGACAACTCCGCGCGAACCAGGTGCACCGACCCTGACGACTACTTGAGGGTTCTCCTGGTCTTGAAATGCCGGGCCTGCGCCAGAGATGATCGACCACGCTTCGCCAACGATACGAGACCCAGCAGGAATGGTGAGTGTTGACTTTACAATATACGTTCCAGCGTCAAAGAAGATGATGTTGGTCCCCGCAAACTGATGAAGTAAGAACATCGCTCAGTAAGCAGCAGCGTTGCTAACCTTGTTCAACACGGCTTGCAAAGCTGCAGTATCGTCGGTCGTCCCATCTCCGGAAGCTCCATGATCGCGAACACTGACAAACTGGCTGACATGGTAATTCTCGTACTGCGGATGCATCCTCCCAAATATTTCGCCTGTGCTACTGAGAACGGCCACTGGTTTTGTGACGGGTTGCACCAGATTTTGGTTGAATTTTCCGACGGGATTGTTGCCCTTATAAACGTTGCCTTGCACCCAAGAGTCAATGACAACTTCTGCTCCGCCAGCTAGAACGACTGCTCCGCCAACAACGCCCACCGCGGTGGCTACGTTGTGGAGATGAACATTGTTCAGAACGAGCGAGCCTACAAGTTTGCCATTGCTGGGAGCGGGGGTCCGCACGAATATGGGCGTATCATAAACTTTAGCGTCAATGATTGCCTCGGCACCAACACCGCTTAGAAGGTCAAAACCAATCTAAACCATGAATTTATACTGTAGAAGAAGCGCTCAAAACCAAGTAACGCACTGAACAATTTCGAATGATAAGTCCTTGGAAGGTCCAGCCTGATTTCCCAGATCAAGATCACAAACCTGAGGTTGACTAGACAACCCACCCCAGGCCCAAACACCTTGTATGGCAATCTGAGCGTTATTGATGGTGACATTGCGAACAGTAAATCTAAGTGGCTTTTGAATGTGTGACAGACAATGAATGGGGAAGGTCTTACTGCTGATTTCCAACCCACATTCCGAACTTGCCTGTCAACTTGGTTTCAGTGGATTTCTCCATATATCATAGTCTCTACCTCCATCGAAAACAAGATCGCCCATGAATCCCCCACTGGGGACGGTCATGAGGAAGCGAGACTGACTGCAACGTGGGCGACGAACCTGCCGTTCTCCATGAAAATACCTATAGTAGGTATGTCAAACTTTCGGCAAGCGACATCTGATTCAAACTCTACCTTGATGTGCCGAGTTGGGGGCATCCGACATATAGAAGTGGATATTCACGAGTGAGGTAGCTTGTGCAACTTGCCAGTGAATCCCAGTACCGCTGTTTTCTGGCGGAATGAGTCGGGTGTCGATGATAAAGTTGCGTCTGAAAGCCATCAGTTAGATAGTGAAGCCCGAAAGCTCTGTATGCTCACATCGATCGAAAGCTGGAAGTTATTAGAAAATGTGACGAAACATTAAGATGAACGCACAAGTTGTTTTGGTTAACATACCACTGTTGCCCTCCGGCCAAGTAAGGGTTGGCGTCTACGCGGTTTGAGCGAGGGAGGCGAACGAGCGAAATGAACTATTACCGATGACTGCTATATCGGTGAACGATGCTGCTGCAAGCAGAGTCGGCGGGTTTTTGGCATCACCAATGAGCACAGTGTAATAGTAGGCTATGATCGCCTTCGACACCAGGTACGTTCTAGGCCACTTGAGTGATCGTCTTTAATTGTAACTGTGGACCTGCCCAGTGGGAAAATAAACCAGAGCAGGACTAAGCCTGCCGAACAATCAACAACCTTGAAACTCGGGAAATGGGAGCATGCGTGGAAGAGTTGCTCGTGCAACGATGACCGGAAGAGATAGCAGCACTGTTCATAAGTTAGACGCATCCAAGTTGCAACACTCGACTTACTTGATAGCGTTTGTATCATCCGTGACGCCTAGAATGGTTATTGCCTCCTCTCTGAGTCAGTGTCAAAAAAATCCAACCATCTCCCTTGGCGCCGAAGTCTTTGACATTGCGGAAAACTTCGTATGTAGCGTCCGAGTTATATGCCGACTTTCCTTGGTGCTTGATAGCCTGGAGCCAGAACGTATCATTGGACGAGGCAAAACCGGGTTCCACTGCTTGAGAGGACGCCAGAATGCTCATCCTAAGGAGGAGGCTGAGCAAAACACTGGCAACTTTCATCGCAGCACGAGGGAAGAAATGGTAATGGATTGCTTGGAGCTGCTCAGCTAAAGTACTCGCCTCAGCAGGACAGACAGATGACGAAGCGAAGAGCAGATTAGGAGTTGCGCTTGCTAATGTGAACGACTCGTTTATCGGTCAAAGCATCCGTTCCACGATGGAGAAAAAGAAACTCGGAACTCGAAGATTACGTAAGACGGAGCACTGATTTGGCATCGCACTTGCTTGTGTTCACGTTGGTTGCAACAGCTCTATAGCCATGCGCTAACTCTTGACTCGGACCAATGCATGACTCCCAGGGTTCTAGTGCGCTCCGCGCCGCCAAAGACATCAGCTATGGCATCGTATGTTATTCTCTTTCCAACTTTTTTTTTCAACCCACTGTGGTAGGCAGCAGGCATTGCTTCCAAGATATTCGAGCATCCTTTCGACTTGACCAAGGTCCGTCTACAAGGTCAAATATAAGCTTTCCATGATTCTTTCCTTTTATTGACTTGGGAGCAGCCCAAGTTCTGGAAGCCGAAGCGCGATTCAGCGGACCACTTGATTGTCTCAACAAAACTTGGCGGAATGAAGGTGTTGGCGGCCTCTATCGCGTGCGCTTCAACTTCACTTTACTTAGACTTTCTACTGAGCAATCCTTTGTAGGGCTTGTCCGCGCCGATCGTTGCGGCCATGGCCGAAAATGCTTCCCTTTTCCTGTCTTACCGCGAACTCCAAGAGCTCATAAAACGCGTCAACCGACAATCTATAACAGAACCCTCGACGATGCCACAAATCGCTTTGGCTGCTGCTGGCGCCGGAGCTATAACCAGTTTCCTGCTGTGAGTTCACATCTATTTCTCCACCAACTACTGATCTCATCCAAAAATAAGTACGCCGCTAGAGCTCGTCAAGGTGGTTGCCCAAACCCAGATGCTTACGGTCGCACCCTCAGCTGCCCATCAACTTCCCGGTCCCCTTGCCGTTTTCTTATCCGTTTTGCGCAATAATGGGGTTCGCGGCTTGTGGCTCGGTCACACCGGCACGCTAATTCGCGAAACGGGGGGCACCGCCGCGTGGTTTTCGACCAAGGAATTTGTCGCGTCTTTATTAGTTGCACGACGACAATCCCGCTCCATAGATGGCGGTATCACATCTGCTTCTGCAAAGGAGTTGAGGCCGTGGGAGTCGGCTGCATCGGGTGCCTGTGCTGGGGCAGCCTTTAACCTCGCGCTCTTCCCAGCTGACACCGTCAAGACTGCGATTCAAACGGAAGAACAGCTGCGACCACCAACCAGTGTTGGGGGCAAGGCTCCACCACGGTCATCCTTTATCGGCACTTTCAAGGCCATGTATCGCGCGCAGGGAATTAGGGGTCTTTATGCTGGCTGTGGAATAACAGTCGCTCGGTCAGTCCCAAGTAGTGCCATCATCTTTCTGATTTACGACGGACTAAGCAAGCGTTTCGGATGATTATTTGTGTGTTTAATAATTCTTTGTACTCAAAACAAATCTAAATGGGTCATAGAGATGGATTAGACTTTTACATGTAACTTATGGGAGGCACTCCTTCTGAGCAATGCCAAAACCAGGGCCTCAATCTCCAATGCGTTTTGCCCAATTGACTTGTTGGTCAAATACTCCTTGAGTTCCTCCTTCTCGCGGCAGCAAAGCATACTTAAAGGGACTTGTCCAGTGATTCCTGCGCTCAGAAATTTGTCGAGCAGGTGCAGCATCGGGGGATGGCACCCACTAAGAAACTGTCGGATCGTTGTCCTGTCGTCGACATTTGGAGGAGGTGGTTCAACGGGCGTGTGGCGCTTGTTGATTAGTCCAAAATTTAACTTGATGGTCAACTGGGTCCACGGTTTGCATACGGGTTATCAAGTAGTTCAAACTGGACTCACCGGCTTTGGTCGGTCAAAATAGCCCGACTTCCATGCTAGATAGCTGGCGCCGTAGCGTTGGAGAAGCACGTGCATCTCGACTCCGGTGCATGGGGGAGCGTAAGGTAGGAGATCATCGATCTCCTTCATACTCTGGTATGTAGTCGCCCTCCAGATCTTACGATTTTTCGGCTTAACAAGCACGGACCTTTTGAACAAATATGTTGAGCGCATCGCGTTGGGGGCATTTCATCGGTCTTGAAAAGTCGAATGCCCCTTCAGCGATGGTGCAGATTCTGTGCTATAGACAAAGGTGAGGGCCGGGCCTGGGTGTGGTAGTCTGTGAGAAATGAACTCACTTGAAAGTGCTGGTAAGCGACCTCGTCCTCTTCAAATCCAAGTGCAATTTGGAGTGCGTGGTCCAGAACACCACCGAGAATACCAGTAGGAGACTATCATTCGGTTACTACTACATAGTAGTGCTGGCATGATTCCCAGTGGGTCCGCGTACCATGATGTCGCAGCTCCTTTCACGACTCGAATTTGGGCTCTGGAAGGAAGAGAGACTAACGGCGTTCATTTTCACTTTTAGCCTTTGATGAATTGACTTCGAAAGCCATTCGAAGCAGCTGCGGAAGAGCAAGTCAAGAGAATCAGTCACGATTTCACATGATTTGTGACGATTCGCGCCACACCACCGATTGCAGTTACAATTTAAATTTGACCCAGAAAAATGTGCTACAGATACATGCTGCTTAACTTTATGTCGTGAGATGCGTGTGGTATCATGGGGTATCATGTTTGACTCCATGAGGTGACCGTTTGCGAGAATCCGTTGGCGTTGGACGCCTGGTTGATGACACCAGCCTGGTTGACACTGAGCTGGGATGTGACTCCAACAGTGTTCAAGCTGTAGATGTGTACAGAAGAGGCGGAGTCGATGGTGGCCATCTGCGCCTGGCAGTTTACGGGCGTGAGGCAGTTCTGGTTGTAGTTCTGGTAATCGTCAGCATTGATCACCGAGGGATTCGAGGAAACATGCATTGAAGAAACTGTAGAGACCAGCGCCGAAAATGATGATATTCGAGGAAGAGGTGACCCGTAGTCCCCATGCAGAGGTGATTCCACTCCAGTTGGTTGGGTCTTTGAACGCTGAGTTGACGGTAAAAGGTGCGGGTGCGGCGGGGGATGGTTGGAAGTAGGGACTCTCGGTTTGGATCAGTCCCATGTAGTGATTTGCCGCGTTAACGAGGGAGTATTGGTAGAGAGTATGATGCTCAGACGCTGCGTATGGGTTAGAAAAGGATCGCGCCAGATTTGCCAAGCACATACCAGTGCCAATCATCCAAACTGGGCCTTGCGATTCGGAAAGAATACCGCGTCCAGAAAACAACGAGATCTGGGTTTGGGCGGTTGCCTCCATGTCATGATCTGCCAGCCTAGAGGGTTTTAGCGACGACTCTAGCCGAGTAAACTGTGTGTTTACCAGACCCAAGTACCCTGTAAAGATATCAGCAAATGATAAAATCACAGTACAAACAACTTACCTCAAGGTAAGCTGAAGACGAAGTTGTGAGATGTAGAGCGGCATATGCAGCGAAGCAGTTGGTAGTTCCACCACTTCCATTAGTCGGGCAGTTAGCGGCGAGAAGATTCGTTCCTTGTGCTGAAATCCAGTTAGTTTGCCATCAAGATTATAATGTCGAACTGCGCTCACATCCTCCAAGACGAATGTGCGAGTCCCACATGCCAGCGTTTCCGTTTGCCGTCTGCTTGACGTTCCACTCAACCACGATGGCACCAGGAGTCGGGCCGATCACCGAAAAGACGATGTCGGTGATCTCGAGAATACCGCTTGATCCGGGAGCACCGGCTTGGATGACCGGGATGGGGTTGTTCATGTTCTGGAATGCGGAACCTTTGCCCGCAATAACGGACCACGCCTCCCCGACAATTTGAGTGCCAGCCGGAATCTGCAGGGTCGACGTGACAATATAGGTTCCAGCATCAAAGAAGATGATTTTGCAGCCAGCAAACTAAGCAGAATTTAGCATAGCGATAAATATCGGGCGCTTCATACCCTGTCAAAGATGGATTTGAGAGCAGCGGTATCATCCGTGACACCGTCTCCCCTGGCACCCTGGTCTTTAACACTGACGAATTGCGAGACAGCATAGTTTTCGTATTGTGGACGCCCACGACCGAAAATCTTGCCAGAGCTGTCGAGGAGCGAGGCAGGCTTCGAGGCAGTGGAAATAGAGGCCTGTACGAATCTCCCAGAAGAGCTTGTGCCAGTGTAGACATTTCCTTGACCCCAAGAGGCAATGGTGGTCGTTCCGCCAGCAAGGACGACAGCACCTCCTGCGACGCCAACAGCGGTGGGCACATTGGTCAGCTTGACGTTGTTCAAAACCAGGGATCCGGACAGTCTTCCTCCACTCGCAGTAGATGTGCGAACGAAGATGGGCGTATTGGAAACGGTTGCATCAATGATTGCCTCTGCACCAACGGTCTGCAAAAAAATGAAAAGACTGCTGTGAAAGCATGTGCGTGGCCTACCTGAGAAGACGCACTACCGCCAGTCGTGATATCGAAACCAACTTGGGCATTGTTGATCGTAATGCCTTGGAAAGTCCAGCCCTGGTCGCTGTAAGTCATTAATGGCAAAATCGCATGGGTCGACTTGCCCAGTTCCAGCTTGCGAACACTGCCGTTTGAGCGTTGTTAATGGTAACGTTTCGAACGGTGAACTGTTTGTCGTTAACCAATAATGCGACAGAAAAAAGAAGACGGCTAACCTGTTGGTTTCCAACCCACATGCCGAATTTTCCTTTGGATCGATGAATACCCAACTATGGATAACTGAAACTGAAGCTCACCGCCGTTGAATACGAGATCACCCATGAAGCCACCGGAGCCATTCTCCATCCAGATACCTTGGTGGTTATTGCCAGAGGCAGTTGAAAGCTGGAACACGATGTTCTGGAGCGATGTCGCTTGGGCAACTTGCCAGTGAAGGGCAGTTCCAGAGTTTCCGGCTGGGATATTGCGAGTGTCAAGGACGAAGTTACGAATGCTTCGGAAGCTGCCCAAAGCTCAGTTTTACTAGCAGAGCAGAGCGGCACAATACACACAAATTGTTTTGATTCGTGTACCATTGTGCGCCGTTTCCACCCGGGATATAGGGGTCGACATCTAATCATGATAAGCATATGACTGAGAAGATAAGATGATCACGAACCGACGATCGCGATGTCGGTGAATCCAGATGTGGCAATAAGCGTAGGTGGATTGCGAGCGTCACCGACCAGTCTGTACACAGTCAGGGAGAAGTGAATGCCAGAAGGTTAGAGCCGTACTGAGTGTAGTAATACATGATGATGGCCTTGGAAACGAGGTATCTGCCTTGAGAGGTATTTCAGTCAAGGAGGAGGTCGGTTTGATCACTAGCAGACCTGGGGGGAAGTAGACCAATGCAGGGGTGACCCTGATGAAAGCTTAGCATAGATTTCGCACAGAAACAATGTTACGTACGTGGATGACGGACAAGAGCCTCCTCCACATCGGTTACCAGAAGAAATGGCAGAGCTAAACAGTGGTCAGGGGGCGTCGGGGTGGCGAGGAGGTCCCTTACTTGATGGCTAAAGACGCGTTAAATTGGATCAAGACACGAAGCAGACGGCAAACCTGCACTATCGTCCGTTACACCGTCTCCCCTGGCGCCAAAATCCTTGACGTTGCGGAATACTTTATACGAGCTGGGGTTAGAGTTGAACGCGGAAATGCCCTGGTGCTTGATGTTCTGAAGCCAATAAGGATCGGAAGCAGCAGCTCTGTGTTATCGTGAGCCATGACGATGCAAAAAAATAACACGACTCGCGTTCCAGCGCCGAGTGGTGTCGAACAAGTCGAACCCAGGCCATTGACCAAGGTCACCGACGAGATGAACGCGACAATAGATGCCAGGGATGGGACCAGCATGGTGGAGAGTACCGGGGAGGTCTTGGAAGAGCGTCCGAGTCGTCATCCATCTTTATACTGTAGATAGCAGCAGTTGCTGGCCAAAACAGGCTCGCGTTCAAGTTCACGCTCGAATAAACCCCATGACACGGACAAGAGCTTCGAGCAGCATGGACCGACGAATCAAGTTGGTAAAGACGTTGGCCCGTGAGATCCGGCTACAATCACCTGCAACTACCGAGAACAACGAGCAACGGACTGAGAACTGTATGACATCAGTCCATGGAGATATTGTTGGTAACGCTCGGAAGAAGCTCGCAAGCATGGAGTCTCCGAGGTGCTATGCCGACGCAGCATGACGAAAAACGAAGGTTATGCCGCAGTCAACAAGCTGAGGTTTTCACAACTGATGCTACGGCAGCAAGCAGACGACCAGGCGCATGACTTGAATCCGACAAGGGAGAGATAGGGTTGACCCATGCAGTTGCTAGGAACTGACTGCTGACCGATATCGCCATCGGTGACCGAGAGCATCGCGAGTTATCGAAGTCGATCGTCGGTGTGGTTCTGATCAAGTAAAGAGGTTCACGTGCCCAACTTTCGCATCACCACAACATCATTATGGCGACCACCAGCGATGAATGGGCTATCCAAAACGACCCCATGCGCATATATCGGCTCAAAAGGGACGCAACCCATGCTTCTGTGGCGTCAAAATACTCTATTCTTGGCTTTATTTCTTCAGGAACATACGGTAGGGTCTACAAGGCCCAAAGTCTGGGAGACGACGCGAGAATCCATGCTATCAAGAAATTCAAGCCAGACAAGGAAGGAGATGTCGTAACATACACGGGAATCAGCCAGAGTGCGATTCGTGAAATTGCTGTTGGTTGAACCATATTCTCACCAAACAACTAACCAATGCCTCCAGCTGAACCGTGAAATCGACCACGAGAATATTGTAGCTCTCAAGGAAGTAATACTGGAGGACAAGTCCATATATATGGTCTTTGAATTCGCCGAGCATGACTTTCTTGTGAGCCAAATTATGAACCTCCTATATAACCCAACTCGACAGAACGGTACAGCAAGTCATACAACACCACGCAACCGCGTTGAGAACTCCAATAACATTGCCTGTCCTCAAGTCTCTCATCTACCAACTACTCAATGGCCTGGTTTATCTGCACTCTTGTCATATCCTCCACCGGGATCTCAAGCCGGCCAATATTCTTATTACGGCTTCTGGCATCGTGAAGATTGGAGACCTAGGTTTAGCGCGCTTGATCTATCAACCACTACAACCACTGTTTGCCGGAGACAAGGTTGTGGTTACTATCTGGTATCGTGCACCGGAACTACTGCTTGGCGCCAAACATTACCACAAGGCAATCGACTGCTGGGCAGTAGGTTGTGTCATGGCGGAGCTTGCTAGTTTACGGCCGATCTTCAAGGGGGAAGAAGCTAAGCTCGACTCGAAAAAGAATGTTCCTTTCCAACGCGATCAGCTACTGAAGATCTTTGAAGTTGTTGGGACCCCGGACGGCATGTTTAGCCCCTTTTTATCTCCGAACTCTCAACTTTACTGTCCTCGCAGAACAAGAATGGCCGGGAGTAAAAGATATGCCCGAGTACCAAAGCATGAAGAGACTGGATCAGTGAGTCGTATGCGACCTAATTTTGTACCAGTCTGATGACCACCTAGCTTTACTAATCGGCTCTTCGATTGGTGTCAGACGCGCGTACGCTCACAAAACGGATTCGACCTGCTGAGGCAGTTATTTGCGTATGACCCCGACACCCGACTCACGGCCAAAGAGGCACTTCAACATAAATGGTTTCACGAGGACCCGTACCCCACCTGGAAGTGCGTAGACTCGGCTTTCGCGCCGTAGGATGGAACCTAAAGCGTTGCTACTAGTGCATTTGCAGCAGCCCCACAGCAGATACCTCCCCATCGAAGGATAACGCAAGATGAAGCACCTTCAATGGTCCCGATGCCAGCTGCGCCATTTAATGCCCATTCTCAGTCGAAGCCCGGGAGCTCGGCGAGTATGAGTGGATCCTATGTTCCTAGCGGTGGGAGTAGAAAGAAGCCGAGAATAAATTAAATAAATGTGACAAAGCATGGAATTGAACCTTTTGCAGCTCTTTTTGCGCGGTGTGACGGTGCACGTGCGAGGATGTCACAAATCGTGATTTTGTGTATTTTGCTTCCTTCACTCCAACAACGCCGAGTCTGCTTAATGGTGTATCTGCCTCCGCCTCAACATGCATCGGCGTCGCGCCCTTCATATGGCCATGCTTACGCAAACATCCTGCGGGCACATCGACAATCCCCATTGACTTCTGCTGCTTCTGTCATCATGCTCGTTGCGCCAGATGTGGACGCCTTGTGTGCTGCCCGGATGCTCGCTGAGCTGTTCAAGCACGATGATGTCATGTATCGTATTATCCCCGTATCGGGCGTTACAGAGCTGGAGCATGTCCGCGACGAGCTTAGTGTGGCAACCGAGGTGTGTTATCCGTTGTTGCTCACTACTTCTATACTGAACTCTTTCTTTCCCTCAGCTCCGTACCCTAATTCTCCTAAACATGGGCGCAATCCTCGACTTGCCCTCAGAAGAGTGGTTTGGCGAGTTCAGCACAAACATGTCTGTCCATGTCATCGATTCAGCGCGACCACAGAACTTGTCCAGTTTGTTTGGAGCTGGTGAGGCAGGCGAGAGGATCATAGTCTGGGACGATGGTGCCGCCGCCGATCTGGAGGAAGAGCGCAAAGCTTGGGAAGCGTTGACGGTGCGGTTTATTCATTTGGCTATATGTTTTCAGCTCACCATTCTTCTAGTATGAGCCACATCCGGACTCGGATGATTCGGACTCTGATGAAGATGATGAAGAGGTGGAGGAAGATGAGGAAGACTACGAGCAAACGAGCGGGAAACGGAGGTCGCTTGGCGATGGTGAGAGAGCAGGCGGTAAAAGGCGACGAGTCGATGTGAGTGCTTGCTTGTTCCACTCATATATTCACATCTAACCGTTTTAGCGTCCTCGACGGATGACCCGCGAAGACCATGAAATATACTCTGAGCGACTAGAAAAATACTACATGGGTGGAACATGGCATGGCCAAAGTGCAGCAGGAACGATTTATCTGCTGGCGACGGTCTTAGAACGCGTAGATAACGAACTCTTATGGTCAACGTTGTTTATATTTGCTTTTCGTCGTTTCTGACACCTGAAGCAGGCTGGCAATCCTCGGTTTGACATACCAATATACCACCGCCCGAATATCTCGCCAACAGTACAACGACTTGCATTCGGTTTACTATGACGAAGTCTACCGCCTGAACCCGCAACCGCTCGAAGAGGACGTCCTTACCCCCGATGACTTGACTGTTCGAGCGACCGACGAACTCCGCTTCACTCTCTTCCGCCACTGGACCCTATACGACGCCATGCTGCACTCAAGTTATGTTGCCAGTAAACTTGGCATCTGGAAGGAGCGCGGACGCAAAAAACTAACTGGCTTGCTGGCTAAGATGGGGTATGTATGCTTCATTGCGCAGATTGGTCTTCTCGTAATCGAAGTACCGTAGGTTTTCTCTGCAGCAAACACAAGAGCAGTATGCCCTGATGGATAAAGACTTGAAGCAAACACTAGTTGTCAAACTCGACGAAATTGCACCAGAGTATGGACTGGTTGAGCTCAAGTATCCGTCGTTTCGACGATGTTTTGGATACCGGTCTCAGCCGATGTCAGCAGCAGACGCGGTGGAAGGCATCAGTGCGCTTCTTGATGTGGCGGGCGGCATTCGATTGGAAGTCGAGGTCGAGGGGGCCAGACGGGGCGGCGAGTGGTTTGGAGGAGGCAAACTCTGGGAGGCCCCCACCAACGGTCGTGACAACCGCAGGAGACGAGAAGAAAGGGAAAACATCCCTCCGGGTGGTCCGCAAACCAATGGTGGAGATGCAGCCAAGTCTAAACGGGTTGGCGAAGGTGAGGAAATGGATGGCGAGGAAGAGACAGACTCGAAAGAGCTTCAATGGTGGGTAAAAAATTTCTGGACGTCATTCGATGCCCTCACAAAGTAAGTGATCATTTGTAGTCATGCCTCTCCCAACTAAAAAACAATTTGAATAGCATCGACTCCCTTCGTCGCGCATTAAACCTCTCTATGACCGTCCATCGAGCGATAATTGATCAGGGCACTTCTATCATCGACAAACAAGACATCCGCACAATGCGCAATCACCGCGTCGTGGTGCTCTCCCAAGGCCCACATCTGGCCCTCTTTTCTCATCCAGGCATACTTTCCCGACTTGCGATGTGGCTCGTCGATGCTTTACGGGATCGTGTCCCGGGCACCACCCTCAGTTCAAGGACGAAGAAGGGTAGTCTGCCCTTTGTGGTGGCTTGTCTCAACGAAACGGCACAAACCTATATGGTCGTTGGTGTTATGGCTTCGCTTGATTTCCACCAAGTTCGGAAAAAGTAAGAACAAGTGTTCATGCTTTGCGGCACCTGATCTGTTATTGTCAGTGAGTTTGGCCTCGCTTTTCTTGATGCGAAAGAGCGATGTAATGCTCGGACACGACATGGCTCCTTTGACACAAGCGTGCTGGAGATCAATCAGGACGATCTCAAGACGTTTTTGGAAACTCTATGCGAAAGCCGGGACGCTTGATTCAGAAGGATTTGTATTTTTATACTGTTTTAATTGTAGTGATCTGTTGTACTCATTTCGTCCACACTGCATAGCTGCGCATCGAGAAATAAACTTTGGCACGTGGAATGGCGGCTCTCCCTTTCTGACTCTCTTTATGTCTGCGCTGACTGGTGATGCTGACCTTGCCCAGCTACATCGAGACCAAAATCGAGTTCTGGCCCACAAGTTGCGACAGACTGTCGCTGAAGAATTTCTTAACTGGAAAAATGAAGCTATTCTCAAACCGGCAATCGAAGAATTGAAAATTGCGACGCCCGAGTTGGACGAAGCACGACTGTCCGAGCCCGTCCTTCGCCCACTATATTCGTATGCAAGACAATACCGTCCGCGTAGCCAAACCACAATGCTCTATTATGACTTGATTCGGGACACTCCTCCTTTGGCGCTTGAACCTGCAATCATCAAGGTCAAAAATTTCATGCCTGACAGCTATGATCCATGCCCGCCATATCGCTACTGCGCGCCAATATCGGCGAGCTATAATGCACGCTACGCGGACAATGCACAAGCCCAGTTTATGCCATTTCCCGATGACGATCAATTTCCCCGTGACCTATATTTGGCCGCCTTCGAGAAGAGCAAGTGCGACTGGATTGAGAAAGGGAGAGATGGGAAAGCTTATGTGAAGGAGGATAACCCAGATGGTATGTTGCAAGTCTTCCACGTGACCCTGCCTTTGGTGAATACCTTGTAGATGAAATCATCGTTTACGAAACGATCCGTCGACTATACCATGACTGGGATTTTTCTACGACGGAAGTGGACGAGGTCCTACCCATGCTGTTGCAGGTTGACTCAGGCTCGAATACCGATGACATCAAGTTGGCCAAACTCCGTGTAACTGATGAGAGCGGTTTTTTATGGGGGGTATCATCAACGGTACTGTGAATATTCCACCATAAAACTGCATTTCATGCCTGTCCAGTGACATTCCTAATGTTGTCTGGGCAGACGGACACGACACAGCATCTGCCACTCGTCTCCCTCCTCGTTTTGGTACTGCCTCTGACGAACTTTGGGACTTGGAAAGCAATGCAGTGATAGCCAAGATCAATATGAACCGCAAAAAGTTTTGCTCTAATCTCAATTGTGTCATGCATTGTTGTGGTATCCACAGTATGTGCTTTGGTGTCCTGACGACTTATTATTAACCCGCACTTCAATCAGTCTCTTTCGACTATCAGCGATTCACACCACCTTTTGACCGCCATAGGGAGATGTTGAATGTTGCGAAGCTCAGGAGCCGTGACCTTCTGGATTACAAGATGGAGCACAATCCCGAACCATGCAGCACTCGGTGTTTTGTGCAACTCATTCCCCGAGAAGAAGAAGAGATGTTCATGGTTTGGCATGCCATGATTGGGACTGCATACCAACTCAACTATTCGCAGGATACTGACGATAGCACTGACGATTCAGAAGACCGAGAGTTTGTTTCAGCCCTTCTTCGTTTGGATCCGGACATGTCTCCATGCGATATTGCAACGATTGCGGAGGTAGATTGCTCTAAGGTGGTGAGAATGGTTTCCAGGCGTTCTCAACTTATTCTTGCAGGCATTCATTATTCGTCAAGAGCTTATTAGTGACCACAGCATCCACATTCCAAGGCCTTCCAAGCGCTCAAAAAAGGCCAAACGATGGCTGACACCAAAATCATTAAAAGTCTGTAGGTAACCAAGGTTTCTTGCATCGAAAAATCCACTGAATATGCAGTGGGCACTAATGACGAGGACGAACGTCAAGCATAGTGAGTGATAATGCGGCAAATGGGTCATATTGACTTGAAGTGTGTTCAAGTACGAAACCGTGCACTCATTCCGGCGAATGCCACAAGTCCAAGGCCAGATTTGGAACGTCACAGTGTAGCTGCGTGATGGCTGGGGCTCATTGTGAGCGAAACTGCGAATGCCCACCCACTTGTTTGACTTGGTTTTAACTTCGTTGTATGTTGTCACTAACCTGGTGAATAGGTAAACAACGATGGACGGGTTGTAACGTTACATGTGCAAAAAGAAAGCACTGTGGAAGCCACAGGAACTTGGGAAAGGAATGTGTGTGCCGAACAGCTGGAAGGGAATGTGATCCCGAACTTTGCACCGGTTGTGACGCGCGGTAAGTCAATGTAACTCAAAAAGTGAACTGTCAGCCGATGCAGTATGATCTAGTAACTTTGAAGCCAAAGGACGAGGAGCTAGGCATTGCGAGAATATGGATATCCAGAGAGGAAACTTCAAGGTGACGATTCACATTTTGATGACAACTCGTTTTGATATGATGGCTTCGACAGTCGATTGTGGTGCGGCCCGGCGCGTACGGTTTTGGAGCATTTGCTGGCGAGAATATCAGCAAAGGAGACTTGATTGGAGGTGAACACCGCATGAAGAAAAAAGCCAAAACGTTGCCTGAAACATTTGTGATTAGATTATCCAGGCGAATTAGTGTTCGCCTCGGTATCGGACTCAGAGGACCAGACACCGCCAACGCCAGATGTGAAAAACGATGACCAGTTACCTCCACACCACAGGCAAGCATGTCTATGTGCAAAATCTATTGCTGATCCCTTGTCAATGCAGACATACCATTTCGAAGCATTTCAAGGCTAATTATGTCTTCGGCATGGGACCCATTTTGGATGTGGACGCTATGTCGATTGGCAATGGCACACGGTTCTTGAATGACCCCAAACCGCAAACAGGCAACTGCAGTCCGGGAGAAATAGTCGTGAACGGACAACGGTATATTACTATCCATGCGGGTGAGTTACTACATTTGCGACCAACAGCGTAAGTTTCCCATTGAGGCCTATAGATAGAGCGATTCCGAAAGGCAGAGAATTGACGTTGTCATATGGAGAGGCTTTTTGGGCGGAGTGAGAGATCAATCCCGGTAGTTGGACCATGAGAGCCGTTGTACTGGAAACCGAGGGCTGTTTTGCCGAAACACGGAGGTTCCAAGCCGCAGAATCGTCGGAAGCTTAAACAAGGTGAACCCGTTGAGAATCGTGGGCTCGTTTGCTTGTCAAGTCTGGTGTTCCGAGTCTGTTGACATTGTTATTGACAAAGATTTTTATGGTCGCGAGCGTTGCGGGCGCTGATGGTGTGGGCAGTTGTGGTTGGATCGCTTTGCGTTGTCTGTCTTAAGACTGTCGAGTTGGATGTACGTTGGGCTGTGTTGTTGACGTCGGCTGTTGTTCTTGGCAGGATCGTTTTAGGAGAGTCACGCTTCTCCTGCACTTTCCCTTCCACCTCCATGTCCCAACCTCCTCCAGTCGTCCACCCTGGCACGGGTGGAGTCGACTACGCACCACTCCCTCTTACTCACGACTCCGACCAACCCAATAGACTCTATAATGCTCCTCCATCTCCCGGTGCTGATAATTCCTCCTTCCATCTCCCACTCGACAACCATGGCGGTCCATATACCGACGACATTGCCCTCTCTGGTATGCCAATGGGTGCAGCCCAGCCCCGTTTCCTCGGTCGTGCATTGTACGATGACGGTGGAGCCAACATGCGCAACTCGATAGCCTCATCACAACACACTTTGCGTTCAGACACCGCTTCTTCCTATACTGCAGCCGACTCTGTCTACAACCTTCGAGGCGCCACAACTCAAGGCTACTCAGATAGTGGGGCGTACCATGACGAACCCGGCTTTTTTGTGCATGGCGACCAACCACGCCTCCGCAACGAGAAACGGGCGGCATACGCCAAACCGAGGTCACGCAGGAAACCTATATTAATAGGGCTCGCCGTTATTGCAGTCCTTGCTATCATATTGGGTGTCGTGCTGGCTTTCCTGCTGAAGCGAAAATCCAGTGATGAAGGGTCAAAGGACTCGGGGTCAAAATCCGGCGACTCCAACACATCCTCGGATGGCTCGAGCACAAACAATGCAAACAAGATTGCCATCGCTGTTTCCGGCTCAGACGGAAGCACAATATTAGCAGACGACGGGTCCTCTTTCGTCTACTCCAACTCTTTTGGCGGCACGTGGCAGTGGGACATAAATGACCCTTTCAACAACAGCGCTCGTGCGCAGTCATGGACTCCCGCACTCAACCAACCTTTCCGATTTGGTGTCGACCCAATTAGAGGGTGCGTCTTCCATCCAAGACGCCTATACTCTATTGCTTAATTTGCTTTGCAGAGTAAATCTTGGGGGTTGGCTTGTCACTGAGCCGGTATGAAATCCCCTGACCTCCCCTCTTTTCTCTTAGCTCAATCTTAAACCGCAGTTCATTGTTCCTGGGCTCTACCAAACAATTCAATCGAGGCCTACCAGTTCGGGAATCACGATTATCGACGAATATACGTTGCTACAAGCGATGGCACTGGACACCGCCAACGGGGGCGTCTCTCAACTCGAGGATCACTACAAAACATTCATCACGGAGAAAGACTTCATGGAAATCGCTGCAGCGGGTCTCAATTTCATTCGTATCCCCATTGGATTCTGGGCCATCGAGGTCAAAGACGGAGAGGGTTTCCTGCCCAAGACATCGTGGACCTATTTCCTAAAAGCGATTCAATGGGCTCGAAAGTATGGCCTCCGTATTAACCTCGATCTCCACACGCTCCCGGGTTCTCAAAATGGCTGGAATCATTCGGGGAGGCTGGGAAACTTCAATGTCATGTTTGGACCTATGGGTATTGCTAACGCGCAAGTACGTGATGTTCATCTGCCGTTGTGGAGCATGCACTGATCCTGGACAGCGTTCTCTCGATTATATTCGCATCCTGTCCGAATTTATCAGCCAGCCTGAGTATAGCGACGTTGTTGTGATGTTTGGTGTCACGAATGAGCCGCAAGGCAACTCCATTGGAATTGACGCCCTCAAGAGATAGTGAGTCGTGCTATATTGCTCATGGTCTATTTCGGTCTTAACGTTTGGCAGCTACTATCAGGCCTATCTCAGTGTTCGCACTGCCAGCGGTACTGGCCAAGGCAAAGGACCCATGGTGTCATTCCATGACGGATTTATCGGCCTTGATCAGTATGCTGGTTTCCTACCCAACGCCGACCGAGCTTCGATGGACACGCATCCCTACCTTTGCTTCAGCGACCAGAACGATAGCCCAATATCGTCTTATGCGAACACTCCTTGCAATAACTGGGGAGGCTTGATCAATGGCACCATGGCCACGTTTGGCTTCATCGTTGCTGGCGAGTTCAGTAACGCTGTGACCGACTGTGGTCTATATGTCAACGGCGTTGGCCAGGGTATTCGATACGAGGGAAATTACATCACACCTCCGCCTAGAGGCGGGACTTGGCCCAGACTCGGGGACTGCGAGACGGATTGGACGAACTGGGAGCAATGGAGCAGCGGCACGAAGCAATCGTACAAGACGTTTGCGAAAGCTAGTATGGATGCGCTCCAGAACTGGTTCTTTTGGACTTGGAAGATTGGGAATTCTACCGCGGGGAGAGTGGAGTCGCCACACTGGTCTTACTCGCTCGGATTGGAGCACGGTTGGATGCCGACTGACCCTCGTGAGGCTGTCGGGCAGTGCGGTAACGCAGCACCGTTTCAGGGAACATTGAGCGCATGGCAAACGGGCGGCGCTGGAGCTGGTCAAATTCCGTCCGCATACATCCAAGCCAGTCTTCAATGGCCTCCACCAAGCATCTCCTTCCCTGGCGGCAACTCCCCCGGAAACTCTTTGCCGACTTATGTGCCGAATGGTCCATTAATCACGTTACCCACACCGACGTTCACTCCAGTGACAGTGAGTGGGCACGTCGTGAGCGCAACCGCAAGCGTGAAGCTAGCTGCTTGGGCGAACCCGGCTGACACGATTGGCATGATGGTCCCGGCTCAGGGCTGCAGTTACTTTGACCCATGGGGCCCCTCAAATGTTAACCCTCCCAGCCCTCTGTGTACTGGTGGTGGTGGTGGTGGTGCAGCCCCCGCGCCAGCCGCTGCCATCATCACTCCCCCCTCCCTCCCCACCACGAAGACGGTAGCCATGATTTAACTGCATGGCACGTGATGCCGTCCTGTCTTTTCTCCCTCCCTCCCTCCCTCCCCCCTGCTTGCTACATATTGGACCTTGGACTGTTAGGATTGACACTCGCTCGTTTACTCATTCACGTATTGTAGTACCTCTTCACGCACACTCAGACACACACTCAGACTGTACATCTCAACCATATCTTAGCCTAGTTTTCGGTATCGTCACGTCACTACACTTATACATATTTGTCGATCCTAGTGCTCTCCACTTGTGGTTGCGTAACGGTCCTCGAGGTCTTCTTGCCCGCCATGGCCTCCTTCAAAGTCTTTGTCCCTGGCGTCTGCTGCAGCTTTGGCCTTCAACTCGGCTCTGATTCGAGCCAACTGCTCTTCTTCCTTCAGTCCGACATGAGCCTCAGGAAAATGGATATATATAGTGGAACAGTACTTTCTGCCGAGCATATGCAGCCTCCGCGCCCTGCTCTTTGTCCTTCCAGGCTTTATCTTGCGAGGTAGACATGGTGGTGGTTTGTGTGCAAGCGCAATCAATGTACGTCATCTTGACACATCCACCGTCACGTGTCACAAAGAAAGTACTTGATTCGACCACCATGCGACGCGGATTTTTGAAGACCCCCAGAGCGACCAAGGACGATGGCAAGGGCAAGAAGGCGGCGGTAAACGCGTAAGCGCCACCTTTCGTGTGCGACATGGCTACGCTAACACGTCCCACAGTGATGATATCGATGCCGCTGTGGACGTAAAGAGTGGCAAACATGAGGAGGGGGGGTGGCACCGATGCGGGGGCAGACGAAAGTAAGAAAGAAGACAACAGCAACGATGGACCAACCGACATCGACAAGCTCCCGCTACACAACCCACATTGCGTGCCCAAGGCAGTTCTGGAGCAGTACCAGACGAATTTCGAGACGAAGACAACGCGGATGATATTCAGAGAGTGGCCGCGCGACCCGAACGGGAAGACCGCCTTCATGAAGGGCGAACAGCTCGGCAAGCAGACGCCAAACGGGCTCGTTTGGGGCAACACCCTCTACGACTTTTACTACTATCGGCCGATGCCAGATGTGCCGAGCTACCTCGTGACGACTTCTGGCAGCCGGCTTGCAGACAAGATGCGCCAGCTGGGCGAGGACTATGCCACACACGAGCTGGAGTGGGCCGATAGAGAGAAAGCACCCCAGCAATTCGTCCTTCCAGACCAGATTGCGCTTGACATCACGTCGAGAGAGAGCCACGTGAGTCGAGAGCCTGGGGGATATAGCCCCAAAATACGTTCAGTGCGCGGACCAGGGTCTGAGTTGGCGGAAGAGGTCCCAATCGCTGGTGATTCTAAGCCAAACGCGCATGTCGACATCTCCGACATCAAGCCAGAAAACTACCCCGGTTTGTGGCCGCTTCTCCCCTTCTCTCGGGGCGCTGCATACGGCGTCAAGTTAGAAACCCTGCTTCCGTACTCGCTTCTCCCCAAGAAACTTGTTGTTCATGATCCCTGGAACCTCCTTCAAGTTCGCCGCAGCGCCAGAACGAAGACAGACGAGACTGACTGGGCGAAAATGACCGACATCGTACACGAATACGAGCTGAAGCCAATCACCCCTGCCGGGATGAAGAAATGCAAGCAGCAGGAGGAGCAGTTCAAACAGCTGACAGACGACCACGACATCTTGATTTACCCCCTGGACAACGTTGCCACGGAGGAATTGAAGGGCCTGCCGTTCATACCACCCGTGCTGGTCAAAGTGCCGCGCTATGAGCACAAAAGCGAGACTCCCGCGGCACATTTGTACCTTTCGCCCAGCCACAGCGCCGGCACGGGCCACCACTCGGCGGTCTACCACGCGGAATGGGAGCTTCCGCGCTCGCTGCTTGTCCCGGACCGTCTCTGCCGGGCCTGCATTGATGATGAGGTGAAAGAGTTTATGCAGAACGGAGACTTCTTCAAGTTGGCGCAAGAGGCGATCGCAGCCGTGACAGAGGACTCTGAAGACAAGTTTGGGTATGTGTTCAAGCACGAAGCGGTGCCTGCACTGGTGATGGACGAAGGCGGGGTCCCGACAAGCATAATCGAGCCAAAGACAGACCGCACCCATGGCTCGTACCACGGGCCGGTGGTGCCGATGGAGACCAAAGTCACGTGGCAGACTCCGGGCCGCGGGGAAAACTGCCAGCATATCCTGCTGGCGACGATGGCGTTCGACTCGCAGCGCGGGACCGCCGCGCCGCCAACGGCAGTGGTGAATGTGTGTGCCAAGCTGTCGCTCGAGGGCGACGACCATCTGGCACGTGAGGCCAAAGTCTACCAAGCGCTCCCTGCCCACCTGTCAGAGCATTGGTCTGGCTACAACATCGTGCGCCCCTCGCGCGAGCCCGTCCCCGTGGGCGCAGTTGTCCCCCAGTTCTACGGCTACTATGTCCCCGCCAAGAAGCAGGAGCGCTACCTCAGCCCGATCATGCTTGTTGAGGAGTGCGGAAAACAGGTCGATCCGAATGTGCTGACTGCGGACCAGAAGAAAGAGGCGTGGTCGCTGTACTACCGCTTCATGGACGCGGACTGGCTCCACCAGTCGGTGTACGACCGCAACATCCTGACGCAAACGGGGCCGATGAGTGTCCCCCAGGGCTGGATGCGCGAGTTCGGGTCAGAGTGCAGTTTCCGGCTGATCGACTTTGGCAGGTCGGTCTATATCGGGCCGAAAGCGCCGGAGGGCGAGGGCGAAGAAGACGTCTACAAGTCCCTTCGTGCGTCAGAAAGCTACGTCCATAGCGACATTCGCAACGAGAGAGAGATGATCGACAATATGCTCCAACAGGGACTCAAGTTTGCGTCGACGTCGTACCTCTAAACTAACCTTGTGCTTGTACTTATTAGTAGCCTTGACCATACTGAAGCTCATGTATTGCAAATTCATCGTTTCCAAGCAAATAACAGACTTTGCCTTCAAATTTGTTATCAAGGCTGATAACCTTTAGTTGTTTTGGGAGTCAAAAAACTTTAATGCTACTTTGTGGGTCAGATTGTGGAAAAAATTCTGAAAGCCATTTTGTAGCTGCTGATAAGCTCTGTTACATAGCAATACGATACGATACGAATACGACTACTGTTGACGTTGAAGCTGCTGCTGTTGCTGCTGACTGGCCATTTGTAGCATCTGTGTGATTTGCTCCGAGGTGTAATTCCCCAGGCCATAATGCCGCTGCTGCTGCATCCCGTTGGGAACAGCGGCCACAACAGGTCGAGGAGACGACGTTGCCGCCCGCGCCCCAGCAGCTTGTTGTTGTGCTATCAACGCCTGTTGTTGCTGGATCATCGTCTGCTGGACTGCCGCCGCTTGCTGCCGCATGTGCATCACCTGTTGTTGCTGTGGAGTAAGCGGTATTCTCGCTGGAGAGGCCACCCGCTGTTGTTGCGCAATTGGTATTCCGTTCCGAGCAGCCATTTGCTGGAGACGTTGTTGATGTTGGGCTTGGGCAGCTTGTAGGATTGCCTGCTGTTGTTGTGGCGTCTGTGCTTGGATCACAGGAGGCTGGGCCACCGGTGTCTGTGAACTCGAAGGTGTTGGTTGAGGTGGTGGCTGGGGAGTTGGTACCGGTTGGGCTGCTTGCGGGACAGGAGAACCCTGTGGTTGTTGTGGCGCAGGTTGAACTTGAGCCACAGGCGTCGCCGCACTCCGCTGTTGTTGTTGCTGAGCAGCTTGAGCCCGCGCCATTTCGTCTTGTTTGCGACGGGCATTAATGTCCTGTTCCTTCTCTGTTTTCATCCGACTTAGTTCTGCAGGCGAGTACTTCGCAAGTCGCGTGTATTGCGCATGAGTCTCATGGACGACAGATGCTTTGCGCTGGTTGTCTATTCAAGAGTTAGTTGGGTACATGTTCGAAAAAGAGTCCAACTTACTCAGACTCTTTTGCGCCTGCTCTTGCCGCCTTTTGCCCACTTTGCGCATCGAATCCACAATAACATGATGTCGTCTTCGCTTCTTTGCATCGCTACCAGAAGCAACAGGAGAGGGTCCAGAGATACTCGCACTCGCAAGTCGCTTGATTCCACGCGGCGGATCATCGGCACGTGATGGCTCGGGAGGCCGAGCAGCAAGTTCCTTCCACCGGTCATGGCAGTCCCGCGCAGTTCGTGTGTCGGTGGAGATACTGACGTGGGCCGAGTTGTAGCACTCGGCGATAAGCGGCCAGTTGTTAGGGTACTTGTCCACAAGGGAACGGAGGACATTGTCGTCCACCGTGGTCCAAATATGCGACGAAGCGCGTCGTTGAGCGTCCTTGAAGTCGAACGACTCTTTGTTCTCCCTGGCTTCACGTTCTCGCGCCTCGCGTTCCTTGCTCTCCTTCTCCTTCTGTTGCTCCAGCCACACAGATTTCGGTGGGATAGTGAACTTGGCGTTGAACAACTCTACAAGAAAAGGAATATCAGTACCCAATTGAAAGGTGACAGGCAGCTCACCGCTCAGACTGTCGTGCATCTTGACAGGCGGCGTTTCCACATCGTAAGCGGGGCAATCTTCAGCAGGAATCCATTGCCCATTCTTCCAGCGTTTAGCAGGTTGTAATGCGCCAAGTAATGTCGGTTTCGAATGCATGAATTTCCCGATGGGATACAGTTTGGTATGCATCGTTTCCTCGATCCGTTTGTTGGCATCATCCCGATCAACGCGTTTCTCAGAGCGCCGGGGTCGACCATCAGCAGGACCTGGAGCAACATCAAGCATTGCAAGTGGGGGAAGATCTGGGAATATTTGGGAGAGGTCTTTAGGGAACAATGCAGCGGCGTCAAACGCGCCTCCCTCGGCACTAGCGTCTTTCATGATATTTGCGACATCCTGAGAATCGATAAACAGCTTTTCTGGTTCAGAGTACGTCAAATAGTCGCGAAGTGGTGCATATATATTGTGTTTCGATGACGGCTTGATGACTGGTTCGGCTAAAAATGAGGTTGGCTCGCCAGCCGCTTTCAGAGAGTCGGTTTGGGATAGAGTTGGGTTGATTGAGCTATCTTTCAGTCCAAATGATTGCGTAGCATCGTCCACCTCCTCTTTCTTGATGATCGGTTTCTGGTCAATGTCCATATTGTCCGCCTCCTGCGAGAGCGAGGTTGGACCTGCATCTTCAGAAACTGGCCGCTTGAACTCGGTGTCGAAACCCGAGTCTGACGCAACCGGTTTTTCGGCGACGTCTAAAGCATCCTCAAGGGCAGAAGTTGGTTCTAAAGCGTCCAATACACTCTGTTTCTCCTGCTCGTCGTCTTCATCGTCATCTGAGCCATAGTCGACTGCCAAAAGTGACGTGGTAGGAGCAGGAGTGTCTGCTGTGATCATGGTGCCTTCATCCTCTTCGATAGATATGTCCATGGGTTCGTCTTCCAAAGCGAGGGGATCTTCAATTTCCAGCGTTGACATATGTTCGGTTTGGTCAACCTTGGGTCGTCGCCAGCCAACACAAATACCATGAGCCACACGTTCCGCTTGACTGGTGAAACAATGCCATTCCAGAACAGCAGTAGACAGGTGGTAAGCAAGGGCAATTTTCCACTTGCGTTCCTCCCGGAAGTCCGTTCGCATCCATTTCTGGAACATTGAAACAATGAGAGGTAGAGACACAGAGCATCACCATCCACTTACCATCTCATCTAGCAGATAGTCCCAGTGAGTCTTGGTGATACCGCCGACGCCACGTTGTTTCTTGGGTTGACGAAAACTCCATCTACTAGCATCTTTGAGAGTTTCGACTTGCTCGAGAGCACGAATTAGTCGCAGTTCTTGCATTGCGACCTGATGATTAGATAAACAAACCATTATCGCAGTCGTGAAAAATTATATAACTTACACTCCAATCTCGCGAACTAAGGCATTTTGTTGCTCTTGCCAGTTTCGGATGGATAGGGTTAGCCCTTAGCAAAGCACCCCATCGACTTATACCCATCGGAGCCCAATCATCCTTGTCCTTGATCGTTGCGCCATTTTTGTCCTTGTGCTTCCGCTGTTGTTTACCGGGCTTTGTTTTGCGACTGAAATCGGCTGGCATGATTTTCAATGGCGGCAGTGTGTAGTTTGTGTCAAAGGTATTGGGCTGTGGCTGCATAGCGAGCAGAGTAGGCTTCTCCTCCAATTTGAGACTAGCAACAATTGACGGCGCACGTATAGCTGGAGGTTCCTCGCGAGGTGTGACAGCGGCAATCTGCTGGGGAACTGGAGTCGCAACTTTTTCGGGAGTTGGAGGTGGGACCGCGACAGGCGAAGCAACCACAGGATCTGATTTCGGCTGTGGTTCTGGTTCTGGTAAGGAAGAGGCTGGTGGGGGGAGGGGCGAGGATTGTTGCACGGCTTTTGCGACCTCTTCATCGTCTTCATCATCGTCGATAACCATGGACTCTCCATCATCTGAACTTGGGGTTTGAGGGAGCGGAGATGCATGCTTCAACGTTGGAGTGGCTTCGGACATCGCTACATCTTGTTCTTGCTTCGCTTTATCGATCTCAGGAGCGACGAGGGGCGGTTCGGTAGGGGACTCCAGCAATTCGGGAGTAGGTTGAGGTTGGGGTGTTAGTTCGCCCTGAGCCGAAATAAGATTTTGGTCGACGACCATTTCGCTGGATTCGTTGGGCGATTCATCCACCACTCGTGTCGATGCCACATCAGGCTTCGTTGCTTCCTCCGCGGCCACGTTGTCTGGTGGTAGCCCTTCCTTCTCGTCACCTTCATTTGGCTCTGGCACCTCTCCCGCTTGCTCCACGATAATTGGCAGTTGCTGGTGGACCACATCCTGTTGCATTTGCTCGCCATCGTCCTCAGTGGTGTCACCCTCGGCAATAATAGCCACCCGCTCAGGTTCTTGTGCACCAACTCGTTGAACAACGATGAACTTTTCTTCTGACGCAGGGCGCTGAGCAATTGAAGACGCGCGCGATTGGTTAGCATTGGGTGTGCCAATGAGATCTAGCTCGTCGTCTGACTCGGACAAAGGCACAGCTGGTGTAATTGGTCTTTGAGACAATGGACTTGGAAGTGGTTCGGATTTATCCTTGTCGAGAGCGCTAAACGACTTGAATTGCTGGTGATCAAAGTTCTTAATGAAGCCAGTTTCCGGACTTTAGGTCATCAGTTAGATTGCACAAACTCAAGAGAAATGTTGGAAACACACTGTTTCTCCAGATTAAATTGGTCTAGAAAGGCCACTAAGCCGTCATCATCGTCCGCCTGCTCCTCCATTCGAATGACAGCGCCCATGGTCTGCCGACGATGCACCATGTAGTACATTTGGCGAAGCAGCGCATTCCGTCGCTCTGCGATCACTCTAGTCGCGTTTGTCAGGTCAAATTGCAGTTATTCGCGGCTGACTCACTGAAGCTGAGCAATCCTGTCCTCCACTAATGCATCCCGCGACGCGTCATCCATGCGGAAGAAACAAAATTTCAGACAAGGTGGAAGTCAAGAGAGAGTTAAGGCCGTCACACGTGATCAATGATGGACGCGATTGATTGACATTGATAGTACAGATAAGATAACATAGCTACCCCTTCTCAAATTGTGATGAACACAAAGGCCTGGACACATCATCAAATGACAGTAGAAAGGTGGGGCGAGCACATACTATTCTCTGAATCGGGGCTGAGTGCGCTTGTTGGAAGGCGTTCAAGTCGGCCGTGAAGTAGATTGCGGAACCTTGCGTGAACGCCAAGGTCGGTGCACGCGCTGGACATAGGTAAATAATGGTTCCAAATGCGCAAACAAACGAACATGAGTCTGTATTGGTCCACTGCGCCGCCAGTCTATGAGTGATTGGATCGAGCGTCCACTGTACCCAAGGATGAGCATGTGGCAAAACTGCAAAACGTAACATACCACTGCACTCTCTGCCGTAAATGATCCACTGTAAGCGTCATTGATGGCATTGCCAATACTTTGAGGTGATGAACCCGAGGAAGCTAGAAAACTAAGAAATTTAGTCTGGATCAAATTAAGTCACGCACTCTGGTCGCTCGCAGCGAGATACAGATAGTTGGAGCTTCCTTCAGCCAAAGTAGACGAGTCATCTTCACGGCCTTGCACAAGACCGACGAAACGATGAGGCGAGGGGTCGTTGTCCTGTTGCCATCAATTAATAACGGAACGGTCAGATGTTTTTTTATGGACGCGCCAAAATCAGATAGGGGCCATCGCTCGTGACAAGTAATGCAGAATCATCGATCGCTGGTTGGATGAGGTATTGCGCGTTCTGGTACCTGTTTCTTGAAACAAACCCGAGCACGTCATTCGAATTGCCATCGCGGTCAAGCGCAACCACTTGGATGTATCCTCGAGCAACAGGTGAAGGCGAGGTTGTTGCCCTACGAGCAGAAGCTAGAGGCAGTGAGAAGATGATTTGATGGTTGGGCGAGTCTACTCACCGCGACGAGTGGGTGGTTTGAGAGGTAGACCACGGGCGAGACGTTGAGCGTTAGTTAAGCCTCGAGCAGAGAGGGATTCCGAAGAAGCACCAGCTCTGTTTCCGTGGCAAACTTCGAAGCCATGGTTCATGGTACAGTCGGCAGGCAACGAATTGAGGACAGGAGGTTTGGGTGTAGGTGTCGCGAGTACAGTAGGGATGGCGGTGCAGAGGAAGAGAGTGAAGAGCTTGGTGAAGGAGGGCATAGTCGTAAAGAACGTGTGGTGCGTAAAGAGCGTGAGGTGGTGGTGGTTCGAGACGAGAAGAGATGTAACGCGTTCGTCACAGGTCGCGCTGATATAAGTAGGCTGCTATGTACTGGCCCTTCTTTCCAGTCTTGGGACTCCTTCAAGTTCCACTTCACTCAAGCCTCAGGACCCAATCTTGTTTGATTTGGACCTTGTGCAAACTGCGGCTCATTAGACGCGGCTTGGTAGCACCGTCGATTGAGTCAATACTCGAAGTAAGAACAGCGATAACTCCTCTCCTTCGTGTCGCAAAATGTGGCTGGCCATGAAGATGTTGTCAAGTCATCCCAGAATCTCCGTTGTATGGCAACAGTACCATTTGAGGTTTTGCGCATCGACTCAGAGTACTTCCCGGCGCAGAAGCCACCGTGCCTCAGGTTATCCGGCTCAGAAGACAGATATATTCAAGCCTACGATAGAATGACTGGAATCGTCTTTAGGGATCGAACTTGGAGTTGGACTTTACTAACCTAGAAAAACGCTTCTAAGTTAGAAGAGCTTTGAATGAACTCGGAGTGGAAAATGTGTTGACGGCATCCTTCCAGCTCAAAAGCTATCGAGCGAATATTCCGCTTGGTTGGTGGAGAGTGACAAATATTCTGACGCTGACTCATCCCAACTTCTTTGGTCACGATGTGAAACCTCGAATTATAGAACTAGGCCTGGAACTAGCATATGCAAACGGGAAAATATTGGGCACACTGATAGATCTTTTAGCTACTTTCGTGACGCTCGTATCAGCTTCCAAAGTCCAGCTATCCTTCGCCGCCAGCCCTCCGCATATAAGAAGGTCACCAAACCACTGACAAAGTCCCTAAAAGAAGACGCAAAACATGTCAGCTCAATGTCCTCAGTATCACGCAAGATATGTACCAGCTGACAACGAGTGAGCGGATCGGATAATCGAGGACTTTGGGAATGTCCGTTTGTATAAGAGCAGGAAATCGGTCCACCATAATGGCTTTGACATTGGTTAGTGACCGAAGTCCCTCGGGGCCACCTATAGCAAGTTCAAATGGTGAATCGACAGCTTACAAAAGCACACACCGAATCGCCCATAACCACTGGCTTTGACGCCCCCAAAAGGAAGATCCTGACTGTTCAAGTGTGAATACGAAGAGAAAAAAACAGATTGCGACTTCGCCTACTTGAGCTGTGAATCAAGTTAGTCCAGAATACCCAAACGATTGAATTGTTCTTACATAAAACACTGCAAAATCGTTCACTGCCACCATGCCACATTCGAGCTGTTTCGCAACGTGGATGCATTGGTCCTGACTTGGCCCAAAGACGCTGGCACCAAGGCCATAACGCGTGCCATTCGCAATTTCGATCGCTTCCTCGACCTTGTCGTATATAATCAGCGTAGCAACCGGCGCAAAGACTAGAGGATCGTTCAGCCCTGAATATTAAGACCTTAACTTCAACTCACGTTCTTCCCGTGCAATCCGCATTTCAGGTGTCACTGGCCCAACGATTGTGGGCTTGAAGTAATAGCCTTTGTCTTGATAGACCTGCGAGTATGCGGTACCGCCAACGACATCGGATCCTTGGTGGTCCGCTTCTTGAATTATGTTCGTCAAACTCTCAAAGCGGTCACCCGAGATCATGGCGCCACAGTCAACAGTGTTAACAAAACCAGCTTCGGAAGTTGCAAGGACGCTGCCTAAGCGTAGCATTTCGATTCGTTTTTGAAGCATGTCGTATAGCTCATCGTGTTGAGTTTTGTGGACAATTAGACGCTCGATGCCAATGCAGTTTTGGCCGGCATTTTGGCTGTAGTTCGGTCGGTCAGAAGGCATCAGACATGAATCAATGCGAAAAACCTACAAAATGCCGCGCATCCACATACTTGCCCATTTATTTAGATCAGTTCCTTTCAAAATGATTGCTGGGTCTTTGCCTCCAAGCTCGAGGGTTACTGGTGTGAGATTTTCTGTAGCAGCCATCGCAATCTGGCTGTGATGAGTATTGCATTGGAAGTCGCATAGTTAGTTCTACTAACCTTGCGACCTACGGTTTCCGAGCCAATAAAAGTAATATGTTTGATGTGAGGAGACCTCGTGAGTGCGTCTGCTTGCTCTGGATAACAGCACACGAGTTGTACAAGTTCGGCATCAGCGCCACATTCGGCTAAACATTTCCGAATGACTCCAACGAACCACTGTGTTGACCAAAAAACTTGCTCGCTGCATTTCAAAACGATTCCATTACCTTGAAGCAGTTCAACAAGGATAATTGATTGAAAGAGCTGACGCACCCGCAAAGAGAGCGGCAATAATGGGCGACCACGCGTTGTGCAAAGCTGACAATGGAAATCAATGCTTGCCAAGAGAGACAGCAGAGCACGCACGATAGTTCCACGAGACGATAGCGGCGACAACGCCAAGAGGCTCGTAATGGACTTGTGATGTTTTATAAGCGAGAATAAGGTTTCTGCGTCGGGTCTCTGGTCGTAGAGCACGTTCTCCGTGGTCAATCATATACTGCAGTTTGCAACACGTGGTAATAATCTCTCCAAGGGCGGCGTCAACAACTGAGAAGGAGTTGAAGCATAAACCACTTTTGTTGAACATGTGACATACGCGTCTTGCCCGTATCCCTGCAGGCAGTCCGGGCACAAACATCCTGATTTTCGACAAGCCACTTGTTGAGACTTCGCATGACGCGTCGCCTATGGCCGAAGCTGGTCTCCTTCCACTTTTTTTGTGCAATTTGTGCCAATCGAATCTTGTGAGCGATTTCTTCTTCGCTGTCTGCCTTTAAGGTTGCAAGATGCAGCCCAGTCGCGGGGTCAAAGCATGTTATATAGCGAGCGCCTTTGACAGACATGGCCGGGGCGACTTCCTCATTCTCTTGGTGTGAGTTGAGATGCGCGTTTCGAATGAAGATGGATTCGTATTTTGGATCAGCGGCCTGTGGAAAGAGCTAAAAGGGGGGCTGGGAGCATGAATTGGAGTGGCTCACTTCAAGAGGCGGGAAGTCGAACGCGATTGCCGCATACTGAGCTTTGTGGTATCGACTGGCGACTATGTATATTCCCAGGGCGACAAACGCGGTCAAGAGATACGTGACGTCGATTCCCCCACCCTCACCATCTTCTGAGAAGAATGGGTTGAGGGATATGACGGGGTTAAGCAGTAGTCCAACGACCGACATTGGTGTTGAACGTGAGCTGATCCACGAAATATTTTGTGTGACACTGTGACTCCAGTCTTCTCAGGTCTTCCACATATTCCACATTGCGGTTGCTTAGGGTTGCTTCGTGTCTAGAGCAGCGGTACTACGGTAGCGCCATTCTCCAAGAATATAGGCTTTCACCCGTTCGGCCCTCAGACTTTGGCTCCGCCACATGTCGGACACGATTTATCGATACTGTCTACTTCGCTGCCCTTATTGGTGTGTCAGCTCGAATCGTGTGCAGCTGAGGGGCACTTGGATGAAGTTCCTGGCGTATGTCCAATGAGTGAGTACCGTCTATTATCTTATTTTATGGACTGTCACCAAGGAAAGTATCCTCGATCTACCGACATCCCAGCCTTTTGCCGTGCTTGATGAACTTTCTGAACTGTCTTGCGTACATGGACACTCGGCACTTGCGGAAGACTTAGACCTCGATTTCACTCTGAGCGATATTCTCACAGGCTTTCTTGACGGAGACCATTGGGAGAATATAGACTTACTGTCGACGTTTTCAAGTCGCAGCTCACTGTTTACTGCTCACATGCAAGCCTTTTTATTGCAACAAGAAAAGTAGTACATTTATGCGTAGCTTCTGTGTCCAAACAACACAACGAATCGAGACCTCACTGCTGTTTCTTGTCTGAGGCCGGAGTCTCCCCTCTCTTCCAACATCCACCACAGATCATGAAACTTGTCATGCCACAGAGGACGATCCAAACAGCGCGGAAGACGGATTGCACCAGTTCGTTTACCCTATCCCGAAGCCAATCAGAGGATTCAACACTGAGGAGGTGCCCCGTCAGCATCTCGAGGAGCCAGGCCCAGATCGAATGATTAGTCATGCCCACCATCATCCCACTACCACCAGTGGCCACGGCGATGGCCATAACCTCCCATACCAACTTCTTTTCCTCGTCAGCTTCCACCATCGACATGTATGTGCACACAGCGCTCGGAGCAAGGGCAAAGACTGTTGCGAAGGTATTTGGATGCAAGAATGACCCAGCGAGGTTTCCTGGAGCATTCACGACTATGTCATAGAATGCGAGCTTCGCGTAGTCCCCCAGCGCCACACGCCAACTACGTGCTGCACGAATACGAGAGCGGATGTGATCAGCGTTGCCCCCAAAGCATTGCTGACGATATCGTTTCTTTTTGTCGTTTGGCCGGCGTGACAGTCCAGCCGGAATTGGATGGCGGAAGGCACTCAACCGGCAGTATGAATCAAAGGTTTCCTTTACACCTGCCAAAGCAGCAACCCCAGCGCTCCAGCCAGCTGAGGGAGGCGCGTCGGTTAAGACCAAGGTTGATTTTAAAGTGATGTTAAAGACCACTAGCGTGTCCGTTGGCGACGTCACCACGAGGTTATTGTTGCAGTTATTGAAGCGGCAGTACTGAGGCTCGATGACGACCTGAGGTCCCAAGTTTCTTGTTCCCGTCGCAATTGCCGAAGTGCCTATGGCTGGTATCGCAACATTGGAGATGACGACGAGGAAGCACGCCCAGGGCGCCGGGATTTGGTGATGGTTGATGAAGGCAGCGAGTAGAGGATAGATGTGAGTCTGAACCGCTGCGTTGCAAAGAAAAGGGAGACCGTCAATGAGCTTCTTCATCACAAAAGCCAAGCCATCATTCCTCCAGATAGCTTGGGCTATCTCGTCAACGTCTGCGACGCAGGCGACGTCTTCCTGGGCCAACACTTGGACAATCGCCTCCGATTCCAGTTGCGCGTCGTCTGGTGCCATGGCGTCAACGACTCTTAGCAACTGCAAGGCCGCATAGTCTTGCAGCTGCAACTGCATAACCTGCGATGCAAGTCAGTCAGGATGTCAAGATGTCTCTGGATGAGTTTTTACTGGCAAATTGCTTTTGGTTTGCGGTCTTCGTGGCCGTTTCTACTTAGGTAGAAGGGGTGTTACATAATTGATCAGACGCCCTCCTCCGCAAGGCATTGTCTATCCTTTTCTGATTCGCCAGCTGCTTCTACGCTCAGGCGTTTGGCAATCGACTTCCGCTGCTACCGTAGTACGGCTAACGCTTCCCAAGTGTGGTCAACCATGCAGGCTGACATTACAGGACACCCCCAATTCTCTCTCTGAACCTCCTGCTTGAACTTTTAATCCAGTGTTCAAGTTGACACCACTGGCTGAAGGGATATTTGGAGACGTTGTAAACCAGTTCACTACAACAAACTCAACCAAGTGGTTACAATTAGGTGCAAAAAAGGGCTCGGGAAGAGACTACAGTGACATTAGGTAAAAAGCGGATTTGGAGGCGGTTCTACATGTTGTGCATGGCCTGAACACATCTGAGTATTGATACTAGACAACCAAAAGTACATGACATACCTGGGACTCCATACAGAAGGAGCCCAAAAAGCTCCCGTCGCGACATCTTGTTTGTAGGATGATGCGCTTCTTGAAGTAACAACTCAAATTCCGATGGAGTTATCCCAGGCAAAATGTCTGATTCGGGCTGCATCGGCGGCGAATTGATCCCTATCTCTGTGTGCTCAGCATCGCGATCTGGTATGGGCAATGTGGTTGCAGGTTCTGCCAGTGTCCGAGTAGGTGTTACAACCGTTGAGGGATCAAGTGCCAATTTGACATCGTTATGGAGGTTTGGATGGGGGACGAAATAAATTGCCTCGAGCAATTTGTCGTAGACAGTGTTGAAGCCTAGGAGGGGGCCTTCGTGCGACATATCATCTCCGGGACGATGATGAGTGGAAGACACAAAAGCTTTGATTTTCGATGCTGCATTGACGAGGACGGCAAATAGCGAAAGTTGGTCATGGGCTTCGCGTCTCGTCTGAAAACGGATTTCGAGGGGTATGTTGGAGCCAGATTCGCACAGAAATGGTGCATAGTCAACGATACCAGGAGTGTAATTGCGCCAAGTGACCAGCACTGTCGTTTGATGGTTATTGCGTTCAGATGGGTGTATTGCTTGAACTGGTCGACCGCTTGGACACGGCCCACGGGAATGAATGATAAGGATGCGCCATTTCAACTGAGAAATGTCAAGTGGGAGCTCTCCATACTGGGAAGACTGAGTAAAGAATTCACAGCTTGAACAGCAGATCATATACAGGCAAGTTCCTTTTTGCACCGGAATCTTGGGCGTAACGGAAAGCCCACTCATGGTTACATTCTTGAAGTTTGCGAGTTATTTGGATAATAACGTCCAAGGGGGGAGTAATCGCGAAAGAGCCGTATAGATCGAGGCCGGCGTGCCACTCAGTCGAAAGCAGCATAAGGTTACATCTCGCGTCGAGGCTGAAGTTCGCTTGCTGATTGAACTCCAGTCTTGTGAGGAGGGCTTCCTAGGCAGGCTGTCAATGTCTGATAGCTGAAGAAAGATGGACACACAATGGCCTCCTTCACGTCCCGCAAATATTCTTCGGTGTGGTCATGCGGGACAGATCGTAGCGTGTTTATGAGCTGGGCAGCTTGCAGCCAGTCACCGGGTTGACCAGTGACGAAGCAGCGTCGGTCTGTCGCAATGAGCTTCCGGAGAAAGCTCATGCGTTCGTTTTGCTGGAGTATCTCATCGTCCTCTTGTTGTCTGTCTGATTCAGCTGTCGACTCCGTTCTTCCGATGCTGCCGTCCAGGAGGGGGTTACGAGGAAGAGTCGCTGGAGAAATGACTATTCCATATTGGCCCTTATCTTCTGCCCTCAAAGCCGGCCAGACTTGTCGTGGCATTAACTTAGGAGGTTACACCTGTTACGTAACTAGCTGGAGTGAAACCAGTCTTCCCATGGTATCTGAAGTTGTTAGTTTTTTTACCTTGCCACTGGCACTGACATCCTAACCACGACAGCATAGCCTACACATGTCTATGCAGCTTCATATAATCACACACAGATGGGTGGCCATGTACCCGCTTCTTCCAGTCAAGTGATCACTTGCAGCTCACTGAGGTTGATTTGGAGAATAGCGCGACACAAACCGTGTCAGGATAGGATAGAATTACAGGATAGGATATCAGTGATATGATTATAATTTGAAGTAAACCACGTTCCAACCTCTATGCCGTCGATGACTTTGTGTTGTAAGTTTGCAACTCGTGGCTCGAGAGTGTCGATTAGACAATGAAGGCCTAAACATCCTCATGACAACATTTCAGAAAATGCCATGGTCTGGAATGAGGGAATGGAGAGGTGTTGACTTCGCGACCATGGTTGCGGTCCAGGTACGGATGCGGTCCAAGAGGTCGTCCACACGCGACTTATCCAAGTCGGGCTCTGTCAGCAGCTGGGCGTAGGTTTCGCCGGCATCACACAGTAGCTGGGCCGTCCGTTGGAGCAAGTCGGCGGTGTCACTGTCCACATGAGGCTTGGGTGGTGTGACTGTCTTGGGCAGACTCCGTCCGACAAACCAAAGCCTAGACCAGAGCCCACCGCTGACTTGGGCTTTCTCCGCAGTATCCTCCCGCCTCCGGGCAGAGGTACGGTAAACTTGAATGGTGGAACCCATTGCGTCGACGACAAGCACGACAACTTCGAGGGTGGGGGCGCTGAGTGCGGGGCTCGCACGTGCCCAGTCCCAAGCCACACCGAGCGGGGAGAGGTGGCCTGGCAAGGCGGCGGCTGCCCAGTGGTCCATAGGTGTGCATGTGGAACAACATTGGTGCGGTCTCGTGATCGGATACCACTCCGTGAGGTCCGTGAGTTGGATCGTTCCCAGCGTTGCCCTTCTTCCTCCTTGACCACGATGTTGGTCCTTTTGCGCCAAACGAGGCCGGTGTTGCGGCGCGTGCCTTATGCCGCACGGAAATACAGCAGCATACCCGACGAGCCTCCAGCCAAATCCAAAGTGTGGGAGTCGGTGCAGGAAGCAATCAAGGACATAAAGTCTGGGGATGTGCTTCTTTGCGGAGGTGAGTGTCGTTAGCTAAGCTGGCAGCGACTGTTGTTGACCAGCTGAGCAGGGTTTGGCGCGGCGGGAATTCCTGGTGAGCAGGCTGGCGTCAAACGAAGGTGTGGGCTTGATCCGCTGCCCCAGATACCCTTCTGGCAGCCCTCACACGCCGCAAGGACGTGCAGAATCTGACTGGCGTGTCAAACAACGCGGGCTATGGCGATTCGGGTCTTGGTTCGTTCTTTCACGTCTATGGCCACAATATGAATCCACACAGGCAAGCTGCTGAACAGCCAGCAACTGGGGAAGATCATTGCTTCTTACCCTGGAGGGTGCGTGACCGTGTTTCGTATTCTGGCTGCCGCTCAATTTGGTCCCCAGAAACAAGCTCTTTGAGTCGTTATACCTCAAGGGTGAAATATCACTTGAGCTTACGCCTCAAGGCACGCTTGCAGAACGGTTACGAGCCCATGCAGCGGGAATTCCCGCGTTCTACACACCGACAGGCGCGTCTACAGCGGTGGAAGACGGCTCGATTCCTATGCGCTATAACGAGGGCGGCTTCTCAGCTGGTGTCGCGCTTCCGGGCATCAAGAAAGAGTCGCGCGAGTTTAACGGACGAAAGTACATCATGGAAACCGCCATTGCCGGCGATATCGCCTTCATTCACGCCTGGAAGGTTGACGAGTCTGGCAACGCCGTCTTCCGCTACGCGTCCAACAACTTCAGCACGGTTATGGCGCGCAACGCAAAGCTGACGATTGTCGAGGTTGGTCATCGTATATTATTGGCTAGACTAACCACATACTCCAGGCAGAGCATATCGTCCCTGTTGGTTCCCTTTCACCAAACGCGATCCATCTGCCCGGAATCTATGTCGACCGCATAGTGCGAGCCACCGAGCCTAAAATCATCGAAGTCGTCACAGTCGCACCGGACCCCAAGGAAACTCAGAACGAGAGCCAGAAACTTTCGCCCGAAAGGGCAGCTGCGCAAGCCCAACGACACCGAATTGCAAAACGCGCGGCCAAGGAGATCAAAGATGGGTTCTACGTCAACCTTGGGATTGGCATGCCGACTTTGGTGCCTGAACATCTCGAGAAGGGCGTCAAGGTCTGGCTGCAGAGTGAAAACGGTATCCTGGGGATGGGGCCCTACCCGACCAAGGAAAAGTTGGACGCCGATCTGATCAACGCTGGCAAAGAAACGGTGACTCTCCTGCCTGGTGCCTCAGTTTTCGGTGCGTTGAACAGGGTGTGGTTTTTTTTTTATTAACGGTTCATAGATTCAAGCGACTCGTTTGCGATGATTCGTGGCGGACACATTGACGTGGCTATCCTTGGTGTAGGTTCTGTCAAGCAGCAGCAAACGAATACTTACCCTTGTTCCTAAGGCGATGCAAGTCTCGGAGGCAGGCGACATTGCGAACTTTATGATTCCGGGCAAGATGGTCAAAGGCATCGGCGGTGCGATGGACCTGGTATCAAACCCAGACAAGACCAAGGTTATTGTGACGATGGAACATACTGCCAAGGACGGAAGCCACAAGATCCTCAAGCAATGTTCTCTCCCACTGACTGGGGCACGGACCGTCAGCCAGATAATCACGGAGCTCTGCGCGTTTGACGTTGACCGCGTCAATGGGGAACTGACGCTCACAGACCTTGCCGAAGGTGTAACGCTGGAAGAAGTTAAGGCCAAAACTGGATGCGACTTCAAAGTTGCACCGAGGGTACAATAGGCCTCTTGTGATCGTTGTGCCAGTAGTAAAGGTTTTAATTTTTTCTATGAACTAGCATAAAGAGGGAGTATAAGATATTGGTTGAGGTTGCGTCAGAACGAGGGTATCGGGTGGAATGCAAGGCCAGGCTAGGCTACACGGAGTTTGATATGGAAGAAGAAACAAAGAAACGAGTCGTGTAAGCGCGAGTCCCGGACACAAATATTTAATGCGATGTCCGTATGTCCACCCGCAACACTCACGTGGCAGCAGCAACAGGAACTGAAGCAGCAGCAGCAGCATCCTTGACACTTGCACTAGAGTCCTTTTTCCGTACGAGTTTTTTCAAACCCGAGAGCCCGCTCATCGTCTTCTTGTGCTTGTGTTTCTTAGTCGATGGTTCTGTAGATGCTGCCGCCGTTTGTGAGCCAACCGATTCGGCTATAGACTCGGCGTCCGTATCGACTTCGCCATCAGTTTGGGTTGCTGCTGTCTCCTCCTCCTCCTTTTGCTCCCCTTCCGAGGTGCCCGCAATACCCCCACCACCAACAAGTCGAATAGTCACATCAGGATCAACGGCGTCAACGGCGTCTCCAGTAGGGTCGTCTTGTGGTAAAGATATGAGCTCCGCCGACTCGGTGCTTGATGGTCGGGGAGGAGAAGGTGCGATGGGTGCGGCATCCAAAGGAGGAGCAGAGTCTGCTAGAAGGTCGGGAACTGGTTCGGGAGTGGGGGGAAGTGCTGCTGGACTAGGTATTGAGGGGAGAGCTTTTGCCACGTGATTGACCTCGCGCATGCCCATTGCCCTGCCAGACTCAAGATCATCGTGGAACGAGGAACGGGGTGAATCCGAAGGTGATGGCGGGACATCGATATCACTTTCTGTAGGGAGGTCAACAGGTAGCGGCGCTGGTGGCTTGGTGACATTGATGGTGGGGACTGGTGTTGGTGTTGAATTAACAGGCGTTGAAACGTCGTCGGTAACAATTTTTTGAGCTTCGCCATCCGGGGGGACAACCACACCAAGGTCAGCAGAAGGCTTTTCCTATCCAACTAAGTCAGAAGTGCAAACGGAAAAAAAGTAAAACGGACCACATACCTGGACTTGTTCTTCGAAGACGGGTTCCAATGACTCCGTTACGACGCCCATTTCATACCATTTTTGCAGACTTCGGTCTGCCCAGGCTTCAAACACATTCCATCCCCTATACTCGCCAGCCAGACGTAAGCCGCCTCCAGCACCGTTGTCCCCGCCGCCGTCACCTTGGCCACGACCAGTGCCGTCGTAAAAGTAGCTCTCGTAACCAATATCATCTTCGGCCTCATCACTGTTGTCGCCAACTCCAATCTCGTAGCCCTCGCCATTTTCAAGATCGTCAACAAACAATGCAAGCCATTTTGCCCAACCTGCGGGACCCTCCCCGCCCCATAGAACGACCTTGGTGTCAAAGTCTCGCCCGAACACGATTACTTGGCCAGCTTGGCCGCCGTCAGCTGGATTGAGGTCGACTCCAACGTAGTTGCCGGCCTTGTCAGCGATGAGTGGTATCCAGCCTCGTTGAGAGTACTCTTTGCGGATCCATCCAGTTGGAACAGAGCGCATCCCTTCACGCAATCGAAGGTTTGCACCAGTGGCCGGGTCATCATCGACCTCCCTCCAAAAGCGCCATTCGTCAAGGACGTCATCGAGTGGGAGCAGAGTCATGCCAAAGAAAAGGCCTTCAGCACAACCAGCGGCCGACTCTGCTTCTTGGCCATCGACAGTCAGATACGACTCGCGTACGACTCGCGGCAACTCGAAGCCGAACTGTTCTTCCACAAGTGCAAGGTCTTGCGGTAGTATGCCGTAATTCAGTGTGTCGCCAAGCTCGGGATATTCGCGACCAAGCCACGCACGAAGTCGGTCCCACGTTACGGAGAGAGGTGGGTAGGCAGAGGGAGTGTGGAGTGGGTCGCTGTGGTGGGTGGGGAGAAGACTTGATGATGTTGCGCTGAAAGGACATAAGCCTATTTGGTAGTAGAAAAGCTAAAGACACAGACGTCGGAGGACCGTAACCATAAGAAGGCGCGCTCAAAGGAGAGTTTTGCGGTGGATATGTATATGAGGGTCCGGCTGCACTCTCGAGGTCATCTGGGTTGAAAGCGTCGGGATGATTCTGCCCAAATACGGGAGAACTAGTCCGTAGAGAAAATGCGTCGTGGGTCGAGTGCATGGCCTGGCCCCGACGGTCTTGCGAGGCACCGGTGGAGAATAAATTCCTGAACCAAGCCATATGATGACGATGCGGGACAGAGAGTGAAGGCGCCTAGCGTGACACATCACAGGGTCACACAAATATTCTCTCGTCGTTCACCCTCGTTCAACGCCGCAGGATAGTGCGTATCTATGCCGAGACTTGGCTTCAACTGACACAAATAAGGGCCAAGCTCCAGATAGTATGAGTCTTATGGTCTGGAGACATTTTTACAGTGCTTATTAGTGGATCACTATAAGTAGTGGGCAAACTACAACAATCTCAACTGTTTTTCCATGCTCGTACCCGACAGTAGCAAGCCTCGACAAATACTATTGTGGTAAGTACTGGTACCTCTGAAGACTCATAAGCAAGGTAAACTTGAGCTTTCGGCTGCGGGCCGATGTGACCAAGACGTGACACCTCGATGTGACCAAGACGTGACACCTCAATGCCGCAGTTTATCAACAATACAAGTTTGCACGAGCCGTTGGTGCGCTCGGCGCTACCTGCATTACGCCTACTCTTGAGGGCACTATTGCAGCGTTAAGAGATGCGATTACCCCTCTTCCTCCGCATATTGTGAAGATGAAGGAAGAGTTGCTGGTGAACTTGGATGACGGCCGAGACCCAGTTGCCTTGCAGAATCTGGTACAGCTGGCGGAACTCAACGGGATTGCCATTGCCGTTGCGACATGCTTCGAGGAGACACCACATCATCCAGCAGCTTTGGCCGCGCTCAGTGTGAGCCGGGTTCTCATCAGCTGTGGCCACTGCTGGTTAGCCAAACGCGAAGACGATTACCTACTCCCATACCTGTATTGGGTCTTTCCATACGGCACTCTCGATAACCCTCACCGATGTATCTCCCCTGTGATTGCCTACCTCCAAATCGTCATGCGCAGCACACCTATGGACCACTGGGAAGCCGCCGCCTTGCCAGGCCACCTCTCCCCGCTCGGTCACGGTGTGGCGTGGGACTGTGCACGTGCGAGCCCCGCACTCAGCGCCCCCACCCTCGAAGTTGTCGTGCTTGTCGCAATGGGTTCCACGTTGGCCCTCAAGTCTAGTATCTCGTTGCTGCTGAGACCCAGACACAAGAGTATATATTGTCACATACTTACACCTTCAACAACAACTTTATAATATGGTTTCCAGTTTATTTTGAGGGCTATATTGACATGAACGATCAGATCAGTGGCAAAAAACAAGCCTATATCCTTGCCTTTAATGTTGACCCAGACTTTCTCGACATAAGGCAATCCCGATGGATTCTTTTCGGTGGCGAACCAAATCGGAGTCTCAGGCGTCCGGATTTCTTGTTCCAGTTTTCTGAGGTATGGATCATGGGGAATTCTGTCGTCGCCAGTAGCGAGACTAAAGAGTGCCTTGGTTTGAGGATCAAAGAACCCCAAGAGGACAACAAGGCATCCGGGGCATGTCCAGGTGTACTTGGCACAGGTGGCGACGAGTTCTGACCCCGTAACCTCGTTAACAAGTGCAATATGGTCAGCGTTGTCGATGTCGATTTCCCGAAGAAGCACGTAGCCATACAGACAGACTTGGTCTTGCATTTCGGGTGGCGGCAGGGACAGCGGTTGCATTTCATTGTCCGGCCTACAATCGATTGGTCACTGGCAGGCCCATTTTGGTCTCCGAGGCACTAACCAATAGAAGTCAACTCGTTTTCCGTAGGCTATATGCTCCCAACTCAACTCATGCGAAGATGGATCTGGACTTGCGAAAGGCATGACTTGTGACGTTTCGTTACACTAGGAAGTGAAGGAAGGTGATAGGGGGATAGTCGAAGTTTTATCAGCTGCCTTTCTCAAGTTTTTCGAAAACGAACAAAATCGAGGATAACTGCGCTGGCAGCGCTGCGGTCGTGGAGATCGCTTGTCTACATAATTGGCGACGGTGGTTTCGTTTGGTGAGCTGATCTAAGCTGAGAATGCGATCATGGGCAACAGGATAATAGCCTTCTTCTACTGTGGTACGTCCTGTTTTACTTCCAGCTCTTTGTGCACTCATGCCAGCCCCAAGTCCTGCTCGCATTACCGTCAGCATACCGAATCTAACCAACAAAAACACGCACCTTCTCAATCAAACGTTGTGCAATTGGATGGAACCCGGTCTTGTTCGCTTTCCATGTCTCCAACGCCAGCTCACGGTCGACCTTGACCATCTCACGGAAGACGGGCCTGCAGAACTTCATCCTGCCCTTGATAACACCCGTTCCATCGTCGCCAATGACCCACTTGGCCGCGTCTCCCACGAAACGCTTGGCAGTCTCCGAGGTAGGCGGACTGAGCACAAGTTCGTAGAACCGCAGTCGTACTTCGCTGTTCGGCGTAGAGTCGATCTTGTAAACGCTGCCGAGTGTGGTAAGGTGTGTTAATGAAAGCGCGGGGAGTGCTTGTAGGCGCTCAAGGAAGACAATGATTTGGTTGGCATTGAAGCCCTCCAAATCGTCGGGTTTGAATAATGACAAGTCAGTAGCATCACGTGCAGCATCCCAGCGGTCAGCAAGCGCATAAGCTGCTTGCGCGAGTGTTGTATCGTATTCCATTTTGACAGGGAGCTCAATGCCTTCGCCGTAGAACCAGGCATTCCAGTCGATGGTATCGAGAAGCTTGACGACGTCTGGGGAGTTTTTCTGGTAATAGCCATAAAGATGGTCTTTCCATTGCTGGGTGGTGATGCTCTTGCCGATGTAGGTGTTCACATAATCTTTGACATATGGCAGGAACACATCCAAACCACCAATCGTACGCTCTGTTCTTGCATTCAGTCACGAATACCAATAACCAGAAAAACACCAACCGATATGAAGGATCAAGTTCGCGCCTTTCTCATACGGGACTTGAGAATACGCATCGTCTGGGTCTTCGCCCTTTGCATACTCAATAACGAGTCGTTGATATTCTGGCTTGTTTGCATAGCGCTTCAGGTCGTCGACAAGACCTTTGGCACCGATGATAAAAGAGAATCCTCGAGCCGCCTCCGAATCGTGAAGCGTCTTTTGCATCAACCTCTCGATATAGACCGTCCAGCCCTCATTTAACCAGAAATGCTCAGCATGAGCATGGCTGACTAGACATTAAAAGCGAGGAAACAGAATGAATCTTGCAGACAGACGTTACACCGTTGCCAAAATACGAGTGCGTGAGCTCATGAACGACGACATCGACCAATGTCCGGTCCCCAGTGAGCAGGCTCGGCGTCAAAAACGAGAGGCAAGCATTTTCCTAATCATCATCAGTTCAGGTACAAGTATTTGCATAGTGCAGTTACCATTCCACCGTAAGGGAATGCCGGAGGCAGCACAAGCAGATCATAAACGTGGAATTTGTACGGGACAACGAGTCCCTCTTCTGCAGCGAGGAACCTATGGGGCAAGATCTGAGCAGAACGAGAGAACAACGAATCACACACTTGGCTGTATCTTCACTGAACTCCCAGTAAGCCGCATCGATCAACTCTGGCTCTGCCCAGATACCAGTCCGCCACGATTTCCCCTTGATGGTAGGGAACGGCCGATAGACAACGTTTCCGCTTGCGATTGCCAACAAGTAGGAGGGGATCGGAACCGTCTGCTCGTACTTGTATTCCACCACATCTTTGCCGACTTCTTTCCCTGCATGAGGAGGACCTGAGACGGGAGGAGAAATGCAGACAGCAGACAGCAGAACAGGCAGGGTTGAACGAACGGTGGCGGTGTATGTCTGCAAATCGGATGAGAGGTCGGGCTAACTGTGCGCGAAACACACAATTTTGGCTGACGGGCTGTCTGGACCAAACGTTCAAAACGGTGCTTTTGGGGTCAAAAGATGGTGACCTTGAAGTGGAGCAAGTGCTCGGGCGTGGATTGGTTGACACTGGCTGAAGAGATATGGGAATCGTTTGCCTTGGGTTTGCCTGGAGTGGCATGAGTGAAAGGTTTTTGGTGGATAATATAGTAAACACACTCTTTCTCCAGCCACTGGAGCGCGGTACAGTCCTTCGTGGTGCTATACGCAATGGCGATCTTGACGGACGTGCCTTTCTTCAGGCCTTTCGGGAGCGTGACATGAAGTGCAGAGCCCATAACCTCATGGTGAGCCTTCAAATCGAACTGAACGAACAATCGCGTCTTCAGAGCGGGTCCAAAATACGACTAAACGGAACGCAAACGGACCGCAGCTTCCGACCCGTCGACCTTCGCCGCCGTCACTTGAAGATACCCTGTGTCGAAGCTGTGCCCAGCCGTTAAACGACCGCGAGCAAAACTTTAGCGAGGCCGTACATGGCTTCAGTTACGTCGTCCTCCTGCACAGTCAGATCATGGGTCGCAGACCCAGACACTGTCTTTTCCGCAAAATCAACCGTCCAGTCGAGGTCGACGTTGGTCGACAGAATCTTATCGAAGTTGGATTGCGATGCAGGGTCCATGAAGGTAGAGTCGGAGAGGTTGATCGATAATATGGTATCCCCAAATGGCAAGAGAAGCACCTATTTTGGGTTAAATTATTACATAAATTATTATCTATGTATTCTCTTCTTTCCCTTTGAGTCAAATACCTATTTCCTGTTTGAGCAAAGATGTGTATGAGAAGATTGTTTTCCACTATGAAATGTACTACCCTTCGACCACAATTTTGTAATATGGTTCCCAGTTGTTTGTCAAAGCTATTGACATATGAGATTGACGAGAAGAGAGATATACTTACTTGCCTTCGGTATTGATCTGGACCGTCTTGCCATTGCCATTCAACAATTTGAACGAGCCTTACGTGAAATCAACTTACAAATGGTTCGTTTTTTCCAACAGCGAACCAAGTGGGAGCCTTGGGCGCCTTGATGACTTCTTCCAGATCCCTCAGGAAGGGATCATGAGGTATCCTGTCATCGCCAGTGGCGAAAGTAAAGACCGTTTTCGTAGTAGGATCAAAAAAACCCAAAAAGACAACAAAGTCTTGTGGGCGTGCCACTGTCCAGGTGAACCTTGCACAGGCCCGGATGGCAACGAGTTCCGACCCTATAACGCTGTTGCGTAGCGCAGGATAATCGGGGCTCTCGGTGTCGAGAAGCACATAGCCATACAGACAGAGTTGGTCTTGCATTTCGGGTGGTGGCAGGGACAACGTTTGCATTTCGTTGTCCGGCCTATTAGAATCGATTGATGAACCCCAGCCATGGTAGTGGGAGACACGGACCAGGAGAAATACACTCGTCTTCCGTAGGCGAAGTGCTCCCAACTAAAGTCACGGTCTGAGGATGGACTTTCGAAAGGCATTTTGTGGTTTGTTGTGTGTCAAAGAAGAGAATGTGTGATATAGGGGCTCTGCCTCGCCCAAATTGACCCGCAACATTTTCAGCGCACGCACCGCGGTTAACATTCAATCGTATCGACACGCTAGACCAAATCACATCGGACAGTTCTTATGTTCGGCGCTCACAGGAAAGGAAGACGACAACTTTGTGATATCGTCGCCAGTTTATTTTCAGAGCTGAAAACGGCGAGTCCTCTTGTAACACGAGCAATGTCCATGCATCGGACTGCCACTCGGCAAAATCGCAGTTGTTGGATAGAGGAAACTATGCGTCTTCACCTTGCCTTCTTCACCTTGCGCCCTTTCAACCCCTCTGCAGCAAGCAACCGCTCAATTTCTGCACGAATCTCGCCCAAATTGACCCGCAACGTTTTTGCATCCTCGAATTTCCGTTGAGCTTTTGCCTCCTCGACATACGTCTCCAACAGCGCCTCTTGCTCCAGTAACGGCTGGAGCGCCAGTGCTGTAGCAGACGACGGGTCGATCAAGTCTTCTTCCTCTTCGACGGCTACTGGGGTTGCCGAGGTTGCCGTATTTGCGCGTTTGGGCATAGGCAGAGACTGCCTGATGGTCAACAAACAGGCTACGAAATTTATTGATGATATATACCTGGAGAGGGAACATGTTCTTCTGTAAGAACAGATTTGCCCGCGTCATGACTGCGATCTGGACTCGTTCCTGTGACCCGCCGTTGGGTGCAGCGAGGTTTCGTATCCGCTTTGCAATCGCGTCGTATTGCGCGAACGCTTCAAGCAACCGCTTTCTGGCGGCGGAGGCTTCTTTCGTAGGCTGAGAATCATGACTAGACTCGAATGAGCGGTTAAAAATTCCAGGTGACGAGCCACGAACGTCAGGCTAAGAATCAATTCTTGGAACTGCGGTAGAGAGTCTTCAATCTCCTTCTCCAGAGCAATGAAAGCATCGTAAAGCCTGACGAACGTCGGGACATGAGTAGCTTGCTGGTGATACTGCTGTCGTCTGTTGAACATAAGCAACACCTCCCTGACTGACAACCCCCACATACAGCAACACAGGCCGGCACTGATTGCATATTCTGACGCCTCGTAGAAACTTCTCTTCCTCTGCAAGTTCCTGAGGTGGTATTGGACCGCCGACAGTTGAGGTCTTCCGCTTCCGTACACCATAGTCAACACCCTCACCCACTTCTTCAATCTCTCGCGTCTTGGGATCGACAACGAACAGAATGGAGCATAATTGCGGTCGTTGAGGTCGTTTCACCGGTTGCGCACATATTATCTGTCCACATAATCGGCAATGATGCTTTCGATTGGTGAGCTGGTGGAAGTTGGCCCTACAAATTTTTTCAAATATAGTGTGGGGGAAACACGCAAACACCTACAGACACAAAGGGCACTTGCTTACGGCTGAATCTTCTTCCCACGGAGTTATCCGTTGTTCAGCAGCTGCAGTCTTGTGAATAGTAACACCACAAGGACGAAGAAAAACAAACATCGAGTATCCTCCTTGCCCCCACTCAAAATACTCTTGATGTCAATATCAAAAAACGAAGAAGCACGCCGACTCTGAGTTGCTTGCGGTAGCATACCAGGACGCCTTTTCGCTTCATTGGGGAAATGAAGAGAAATGAGTTTTTCTAACCGTCGTTCCAATTTTGTCCTTTCAGATGAGGCATAGCCAGCTGACACAGCATGAGCTTGTCGATGAGCAATGAACTCGTCAGTTCTTGGGCGATAGACGCCCTTGGGCTGGAAACCTGGTCGATATGGCGCTGATGTTTGCCGAGGAGGAGTGGGTGGACTCAACGCTGAGGGCGAAGGAGGTGCTGGGCTAGGAGATGTTTGGCGAGATATTGTCGCAGAAGAAGCGCGAGAGATGCTTGCAGGTGATGTTGGCTGCAATGATGACGTTCGCTGAGGAGGAACCACAGTGGTGGCTAGCGTGGCTGCTACCGCATCGGCGTTGAGTGGGGTTGAATGTCTGCGATTTTCAACCAAGGATGGAAGCGGTGATGGCCGGGACGGGGAAGAAGACAATGATGATTCGGCAAATACGGATGCTGGTCGTTGGGAGTGCTCGGCCACGAGGGGGGATCGTGCAGCGGGTAAACCGAGTGATGAGCTGGAAATAGTTCGTGTGTGACCACCAGCTAACGGAGAAGAGGGTAATGGTGTCCGTGGCGCGCGTGGGACACGACGAAATGTAGAGGTCTTGCGGGGCTTATCGTCTGGTAAAGCTGTAGAAGATGAAGCGGCAGGTGAGGATGGTGGTTCGATGGGAAGTTGTGGAGAGGGAGTTGTGGGTGAGCCGTTGACTAAAGGAGGTTCTGGCTCGGTGATAGGCGACGCGGGTGGGGAAGGGTTTAGGACGACAACAGGAAGTGGAGGCGATTTCGGAAGGTCGATAGTTTCAGGTGTTGATATCTCAATCACTGGACTGTCTTTCTCAGAAGCAGAGACTCCATTCTGAACGGCTGGAGGTGAGGCGGGGACTAATAAGCTTGTTGGTCGGGAAGTCGGAGGTGACGCGGCGGGAACGGTGATGGTTCTAACTTGCGCATTAGACGTATAAGAGTGTCGTTTAGACTAGGGTTATCGGTGAGACCCCCCAAATTATTCGCCACGAAAGCTTACGCGGTAGGCCTGGTAAGGCACACTGGGTGCGTTGTCCGTCATCCTGAGAGGTCACTGCGGGAAGGTCATGATGGCGGCACGGAAACCGCGCTTGTCACGTCAGGTTACACATCTTCTGAGCTGCTATGTCGGCTCCCTCAGGTATCGAGATCACCGATGAGCTGAAGAAAATATTCGGCGAGGCAGTCGACAGCAAACAAACGCGGTTCATCAAAGTCTCAATCGTGAATGGTTTGTCGCGCCACCAGGCTCTACACCGTTCACAATTTTTCAAGAGGCTCTCGTCCACACATCATCCATTCCAGTTCAAGGCTCCTTTCAAGAAGATCTCCAATTATTGGACTCGGAAGACATCCTCCAAGAAAATACTCCTGCCTACCTATTGACCAAACTTGACGATAATGAATGGCTCGTCATCTACTTTGTCCCAGACACGGCCAAAGTCAGGGAGAAGGTGCACAATGTCGAATTCTATTCATATTAACACTCTTATACGCATCAGATGCTCTATGCGTCTTCACGCGCGTCGCTTCTCAAATCCCTTGGTTCCTCCCTCTTCACTGACTCGATCTTCGCAACATCCAAGGCAGATCTGACTCCAGAAGCATATACTGCACATCGCAGGCATGTGACTGCACCAAAGCCTCTTTCTGCCAGCGAGCAGGAAATGGCCGATGTTCGTGCCGCAGAAAGGCAAGCAGGTGGAATGAGCGCGTACCAAGGAAGCCGTGCAAGGACCTCCCATATTGGTCAAACTGTCGGCATGGCGTGGGCTGAGGACCTCCAAGAAACCGTGAAAGGACTCGGCGAGCGCGATGAGTCCGTCCTGGTTGTTTCTAGTCAGTGAATTTTGCCTAATTCCCCCTCAAGCTCATAGTATAATATATGAAGAGACGCAGCCACGCCAGCCACCACCGTGTTTCCACCTCAAAAACTGATTTCTCTCCATTTCCCCGATGAACCGAAAAGGCGTCCTGGTATGCTACCGCAAGCAACTCAGAGTCGGCGTGCTTCTTCGTTTTTTGATATTGACATCAAGAGTATTTTGAGTGGGGGCAAGGAGGATACTCGATGTTTGTTTTTCTTCGTCCTTGTGGTGTTACTATTCACAAGACTGCAGCTGCTGAACAACGGATAACTCCGTGGGAAGAAGATTCAGCCGTAAGCAAGTGCCCTTTGTGTCTGTAGGTGTTTGCGTGTTTCCCCCACACTATATTTGAAAAAATTTGTAGGGCCAACTTCCACCAGCTCACCAATCGAAAGCATCATTGCCGATTATGTGGACAGATAATATGTGCGCAACCGGTGAAACGACCTCAACGACCGCAATTATGCTCCATTCTGTTCGTTGTCGATCCCAAGACGCGAGAGATTGAAGAAGTGGGTGAGGGTGTTGACTATGGTGTACGGAAGCGGAAGACCTCAACTGTCGGCGGTCCAATACCACCTCAGGAACTTGCAGAGGAAGAGAAGTTTCTACGAGGCGTCAGAATATGCAATCAGTGTCGGCCTGTGTTGCTGTATGTGTAGGGGGTTATCAGTCAGGGAGGTGTTGCTTATGTTCAACAGACGACAGCAGTATCACCAGCAAGCTACTCATGTCCCGACGTTCGTCAGGCTTTACGACGCTTTCATTGCTCTGGAGAAGGAGATTGAAGACTCTCTACCGCAGTTCCAAGAATTGATTCTTAGCCTGACGTTCGTGGCTCGTCACCTGGAATTTTTAACCGCTCATTCGAGTCTAGTCATGATTCTCAGCCTACGAAAGAAGCCTCCGCCGCCAGAAAGCGGTTGCTTGAAGCGTTCGCGCAATACGACGCGATTGCAAAGTGGATACGAAACCTCGCTGCACCCAATGGGGGGTCACAGGAACGAGTCCAGATCGCAGTCATGACGCGGGCAAATCTGTTCTTACAGAAGAACATGTTCCCTCTCCAGGTATATATCATCAATAAATTTCGTAGCGCGTTTGTTGATCATCAGGCAGTTTCTACCTATGCCCAACCAAACGCGCAAATACAACGGCCTCGGCAACCCCTGTAGCCGTCTGAAGGACGGCTTTGTCGGGAGTGTGGCGCTCACAATGAGCGAATAAGGCTTATGCGGGGCTGTAGACGACGAGATGATATACCTAATGGCTGATAATCGGGTGCCGCTGCTCGTAGTTAAGCATCGTCGTTCCCCGCTTCATAAAAGTAGAATCACTGATTGACAGTAATGAGTTTGCTTGCTCTCCGCCCCCATTGCACATAACAAACACCATTTATCAAAAGAAAGTGAGGGTAGAAACAAAAAAATACAATGAGATGTCTACGTCCAGATTGGGCGAGGATGTTGTTTTCGACTCTCAGCTGAATGAAGGACATGAGTTGGATGTTGAACAAGTAAGATTACGAGCACATACCAAGTTCACTTTCGGTCATTGAACGCTGCTGTGCAACAACTCGCCGAGCGACGTCCCACACCGACAGTCCAGATGCGGCTTTGTGGAACCGCGTCACAGGGTGCCTTTTGTCGCGCAGAATGACGACATGAGCAGATTCCTTCAGTGGCAACGCCAGCAATTCGTCAATGCGCTTGAGTGAGCGAATATCTGAACCCCATAGCAGTACGAGGAGCTGTAGATTCCGTTGCTGGGCCAGTATCGTCGCCGGCGGAATTGTCGCCACAATGCAGAGCTGTTCGAGGAGAACGAGGCGGGCGAGGACTGCCCATGCATCCACATCATCCTGGTGGATGATTCGATCTAGGAACAGACTGCGAAGGGTGCTGAAGTTGGACAAAAAATGCATTCCGCGATAAGGGACCGCCACGTCTAATGTTTCAGGTCGGAGGGTCTGAAAGAGCGCGCTCGTCGTTATATTCACATCCTCAATAGTCCAGTGTTGGACATGTTGAAGTCGAGCGAGAATCGCAAGTCCTTCTTGTAGGGGTAGTCTTCCGAGCATCACTCGACGAATCGCTGTGACCGGGGTGGTGACCTTCGGAGTGGTGGCGAGGGTCGTCAGCCATGTCTGGCGGAAGGTGGGGAGTCGTCGGTGCCTGTCGACCGAAAAGTGGCAAAAACAACAGATCCATTGCATCACCCTATAAAAACTGTCAGGATGTGGAAGGGAGAGCTGGGCGAGACGCACACGCGAAGGAAGTCGCTGTTGACAAGCATGAGCCGCAATATGCTTCGCGAGTCTGTATTGGCTGTGTGCAACACCGCTAATATGACGAGTTCAATGATATCCCAAGGCCAGCTTTGGGTTATGGGCGAGGATGAAGGTGAAGCGACTAGCGCCATGTGTGCAGTAATATGGGTGATTAGAATGTGGGAGGGTGAGGGCTTAAAATCCAAAGGACGCGTTTTGTGGGCGGATCAATTTATTGCAAGACACAAAGACGACACTGCTTTAGCAGGCGCCATGAAATCTGCCCCAATGAATCCGCTGGACTGGACTATGCGACTTTAAGGAAGAGCGACGGAAAAATATGATCATTCACCTAAATTTTCATGCTCGATAGCCACCAACTTGATCTTGAATAGTGTAAACTTGGATGTCAAAATGTCGAGCCAGAGTGTCAATTTTGAGGGTTATTCTCTAGTAGTCAGGCCACGTAGTGCATGTTTTTTTTGAGGATTTTGGGGATCATGTTAACGTTGCCAGGCTATGAAGCCACCGAGACGCGGTGCATCGAAGTGCTCGTAAATAAAATGCTCGAGAGTAGTAATATGAAGTTCGTCGATTTGTCTTATCCAACAGGAAAGAAGCTGAGTGAGACTACTTCGTGCGGACTTCTCATGGGTGACCGCAAGTATTTGGTGCCCACTGAAATTCCGCGCATTGAATTTGAAGGGTGAATCTTGCCGATCGTTCTTCGCTGCATCCGAGTCACTACTACGGTCAACTTGAGGCTTCCTAGTCGCCCAGTGCAAGTGAACACGGTCCATCGGATCAATCTCCTGGTTAGTCCACACAGGCCAATGAAATTACTGAAGATAAATTGTGGCACCAAATCCCCCGTTTCTGTTGCGTCGAAGTAAGTAGATCCTCTGCTTATGCCTTGTTGGCATCTCTCCCGTTCGTAGACTCTATATAGATTGAGTAGGATTGTGTCAGACCCTGCTAGCTCACAGAAAAAAAAACACACTTGGTTTGTCTGCGAAAACAATGTGGGTTTGCACGTGACACATTATATTTCTCTCCCCTTTTCCCTTACGCTCTCCTCAAACCCTCATGAACTTTGACCCTCTCCCTCCCGTGAGTGATTTGCCTCAAAATGTTCAAGCAAACAGTATGTTATGTTCCACTCGGCTACTGCAACATGACGATTGCCATCAGTACAGACTGAATATCACAATCGCCGACCAGAACTCGAAAACATCATTACTAGACTACTTGAGAAGCCCTATACAATTGATGTGGAACTATGTGCTGCCTGGCCATACGCTCGCAGAAACGGAAACTCGAACTTAGGCGTTGAAGTTTTCGAGTAGGCTCTCTCTCTCTCTCTTTGTTCTTTTTGTGAGCTAAGACGGTAACAGATATTTCGAGGGATTCACGCTAGCGCTAGAGAGATTTGTCAGCTGGTTCGGGGAGGCTGGAAAGCGCTGTTTCAATGGTGTGGTTGTGCAACAAAAAATATGTCTCAAGGTTAGTCCCTACTTCACGTTATCGGCTGAGGACAATGACCTTGGCAGCTCAATCCTCTCCATGGTCGATTCGCGAGCCCGGTATCCCAATCTGTCGACGATGGCATCTATTCCATCCTCTTCCACCCAGACTGGTTTGGCAGAGCGCAATGTGTGCCTCGCGACCACTTCACTGTCGAGGGCATACAGTTAATTATCGACCGCCTACAAGTGCCTCTGAATCTTCTGGGAAATTCTTTCAACCTCTTTGCGCAGCGCTCTATCAATGTGAAGTATGACACAAGGCTTGTAGAGGCTACGCGACGTCATCTCAGTGAGCTTCTGGGAACATCTGTGTTCCTGAACCCCAACTGGGGTGAGGTTTACAGTGTGCTGCAAGCAGCGAAAATGCCTATTACAACCATTGATCTCGGTGCATGCGCTCTTGAACGTTTTACAGAGCTTTACGAACAGCTGAAGGAGCTCCCAGGTGCGATCGTCTACCCACTATATAGAGATGTATCATTTATTCCAACAGAAATGCACCATCCAGCTACAAGACAGCAGCTACAACATCTCACTGGCTCCGCCACCGAAGTTCGTATCCAAATCTTGGATCAGAATATATCTGAATTCAATCCGGTGGTTCTGGAACCTGGAATTATGTGGATTCAGGTAATTCTCAACGTCCGCTTTTGGTGAGCGTTGATCTCGCATTAGTTCACTCCAGACGGATTTTGCGATGGATTTTGTCAGACTGGGAGCAGCCTGCTGGAATGCTTAACTTCTGCTGAAATTAATGTTGAATAACTCTAGTCTAAAGTGTTGGTCTGTTATAAGTACATGTAAAGGTCTGGAATTGTTTCCTTAGTAATCATATCTTTGCGAAGCTGTGAGGATGGCAGTGGAGATGGCAAGATGGGCCAGACGTGGAGGAGTGACACATTGTACAGTGGTATCTTTCAGTGTAACTGAAAATGATGCTTTTTATTATACTTTCAGATAGTCCTGAAATTAGAACTGAAAACAATATTATCAGTTTGTCTAAAAACTGCACTGAAAGCAGTGATTTTGGTAACAGTTTTGCTAGGTACTTAAAACATAGCTTCCACTATATAGCAAAAGTAATGCTGAATGTACTATTTTCAGCTCAATTTTGTGTCTTCTGAAATTAGTCCTTTTGGTAATGCTGATTCTCCTGCTGAAATCACTGATTTCAGCGTAAATTTCAGTTCAAGCTGAAAATAAGGTCTCACGTTCACAACTGAACGTTGTACTAAAGTCTATGTATTAGAACATCAAGTCCCCCACAGGATTTAATCTCGGTCCCAGATTGTTCGAGGGCTGTGGGGACATGCCGGACGTGATGCGGGGATGTACCATTACCCATCACGCCAGAGAAATCAGCCCTCAAAGATCTGGTGCAATTTAGCCGGCCAGGTTGCCCATGCTTAACAGTTGCTTATCAAACTGACCAAAATTCCTTGTTCTCTTGCTGTTGGGGCTTTACTGACCCCATTGAGGGCAGATTTACTTAGTCAATCTATACTTACACCTATTCCACCAAGAAAAAATAGTATCTTCAACATCTTTGACTGATTTTTTCACTACTATGTTATTTGACATCATTGGCCCATGTAAGGCTTATGACATATGAATTGGCTGCTAAAAATTTGCAGGGCTGCTTGAGAGACCCTTGCCTTGAGTATACACCATAAATTATTGGCACTCTGAGGCTTATGGGCCACCACTGAGCTATTCCAAGGTGGCCACTAGTAAATGTACGTCATCTGATATCAGCACACACAATATGACATTCGTGAGCGGCCTTTTCTATCACCTCTTCCATCAAAAACTACCTTGGCAACGTCAAGTGTCTGTTCTGGCAAGCTTTGCTCGCCCGCCGTTCACGAACGTCTGGAATTGAGACTACACAGGATTCTGATATTGGAATTATTGGTATAATTTTCAGTTGCATTATAAAATCCTTTGTTTCAGCTAAAACTAAAATTGGTGCTGAAATCATTCATTTTGGCATGAAAATTAGTGTTCCCAATAAAACAAATTTCAGATAAAATATAAACTGAGCTGAAAGGAGTGCTTTTAGTATCACTTCAAACATATACTGAAAACTGTATTTTCAGCAGTTGCTAAACCCACTGCTGAAACCACTACTTTTGGTACAGATGTCAGATAAACTGATAGTATTGTTTTCAGTGCTAATTCCAGTGCTGTCTGAAAGTACCACAAAAAGCATCATTTTCAGCTGTACTGAAAGATACGGTTTTACAGTGTGTGAGGCAAATGTCCGTATGAGGCATGACATCAGTCTGGATTCTGGAAAACGTGAGGATTTGTGTCGGTAGCATGGTAAAGGTAGTGTCAGTGTCGGGCTTGGGCTGTATCGGGGCATTGGGTGATCCGACTTCGAGAGGGTCTGAGGAGCACGAAAGATGGGTTGTAGCCCGGGAAATAGACGATATTAGCCTATCGACTACAGTCTGTAGGTACGGTTTTTATATGCTAAGATATTAGGTTCCGCTGTCGGGCATAGAAGGCTTGGGCGGGCGTCGCAGGCAAGGTCCCAGGGCGACCATTGGGAGGGCGTTGACGGATCGGTGATTGTGCGGGGCGAGATGGAGGGCCGGACCGGAGTCGGAACCGGAATCGGACCGTAATTGGAGGCGTCTCCGAGGGGCCGAAAGGCAGGTTCCCCTGACATCACCCCCCTCTTTGAATGCAGCGTCCCGATGCATAGACCAGAACAGAATCGAGTCGAAGGTCGCAGAGGCAATGTGCCGTGGTTTGCCAGGGTACTCACGATAGAACTCTGCAATTTTCTCCGGGGCGAAGACGCGGTCAAAGCGGACCCACTGGTTGTGCGACGCGTCGTAGCCTTTCCATCTGACGAAGTAATTCAGCCGTTTATACCTCACCCTTGCGTCCAAGATTTCCTCTACTTCCCACTCCGGGACTCCGTCCTCGAGGTCCGGAGGGGGCTGGTTGTACAGCTCATATAGCTGTATCTATGCAAAAGATGTGGGCCAGTGCCCAGAGGGGTAATGCAAAAGATGAGGGCAATGGCCCAACAAGTATTTTCTTTAATGATATTTCTTTAATTCTAAGCCCTGTAGAGTGGTATCAGTGATGGTATTGATGGCATCTAGCTAAGTTGACTAATGTGGAACTCTTTCTGATGGCCATCAGTGAGTTTGATCACTGTGTACAGCTAGATCAATGTTATGTAAGTGATGATTGATTTCCTTGTTTTTGTGTTATTAGGACCATAATATTACATACCGCATATTCGCCCTGAAGAAAAGGTGATTCCTATTACTTCTTATGTAATTGGCTTAGTCATATACTTCAAATGCAATGAGAAATTCAACAATTATACCAGGTTCAACATCTTTTGCATTATACTCAACATCTTTTGCATTGGCCCCTTGGGTACTTGCCCACATCTTTTGTGTAGAATGAGCTATAGAGGGTGGGTCGTAGCCGGGGCGTCCATCGAAAGGGTCGTCTTGGGCGAGCTCAAGCTTGACGACGGGGAAGACCGGGTGGAGCTTCGAGTAGCGCGGAGGGAGGTCGAGCTTGTAGGCACCTTTGCTGATCTCCACGACTATCTTGAACGGTCCGAGGCGGCGGTGGGAGAACTTCTCCGAGGGGCGAGTCGTCCTGATGTCAGAGGCATCCAGCCAAACACGGTCGCCAACCTTAAACTCCGGAGACGGAGTGCGTCTCCGGTCGTAGTAACGCTTATACTCTTCCTTGGCCTTAGTGAGCGCGGCCTTGGCTTCAGCAACACCAGTGGCAATTCGGTCGCAGAACTCGTTCACAGACTCCATAGCGGAACGGACTCCGGGTTCAAAGCCCATGCGCGGAAGCCGTCCCGTGTCCGTCATGAAGGGGACTTGCTGCGTGGAGGAGTGAACGTGGTTGTTGTAAGCGAACTCCGCGGCTGGAATCAGCTCATCCCAGTCGTCCTGCTGATAGTTGGTGAAGATCTGCAGGTACTGCTCCAACTCCTGGTTGACACGCTCTGTCTGACCGTCGGTCTGCGGGTGGTACGCGGTGGACGTGGCAGGCTTGATGCCGATTAGACGCCAAAGTTCTCGGGTGAAGTCCGCAATGAACTGCGAGCCGCGGTCGGAAACGTACTTCTCCGGAGTCCCGTGGTGCCGCCAGACATTCCTGTAGTAGAGGCGGGCTGCTCCTACTGCATCGACCGTCGTATGGCACTCCGAGAAGTGGGCGCGCTTTCCGAGGGTGTCAACGACGACCATGATCGCGTCGTACCCATGGGCCTCGGGGAGCTCGACAATGAAGTCGACGGAAACGGTATGCCAGCGTTCTGGAGGCGTTTCCGTGGGGTGCAGCTCTCCGTGGGGCAGTCTCTGGAGTGCCTTGGTACGACAGCACAAGTCACAAGTTGCAACGTACCGGCCGATATGGCGAGACATTTGGGGCCACCAGTAGTTCCGGGAGACCAACTCCAAGGTCTTGAAGCGACCTGCGTGTCCGGCGACTCGAGTGTCATGGCAGAGCTCGATGATGCGTCTCCGGAGGTCCTTGTCCTTTGGTACAACAATCTTCCCTCGGAAGTGGAGAAGACCGCCGGAGACGGCCCACTCGTCAGAACGTGAGGAGCGGGGGCCTCGAGCTTGACCTTGGACCTTAAGGAGTTGCCGGGCTGCTAGTGCGACGGGCTCCTCCAAGTCAGGCTCACCAGAGAGGGCATCGCAAATGTTGCGAAGGAGTTCGGAACCGGGACCGGAAACGGAAACAGCCTCGAGTGTGCGGACGTGGAAGAGCTCTGGTCGCAGAAGGACGACATCGGAGTTGTGGGAATCGACTCCGTGATCGGGTCTCCGAGAGAGGGCGTCAGGTCGACCCATATTGCGGCCAGGCTTGTGGTGCAGCGTGAAGTCGAACCGGGAGAGGTAAAGTGACCACCGGGCACCGGGCCTGTCTCCGGTTGAGGTGCTGCGTCTTCCTGAAGTACTCCAAATTCTTATGGTCAGTCCAAATCTCGACGGGATGTGCGGCGCCCTCGAGGAAGTGTCTATACTCCTCGAGTGCGCGGATGATCGCAAGCATCTCCTTGTCATGGATTGCGTAGTTGCGCTGGACATCATTTAAGCTTTTGGAATAGAATGCTACAGGGTGCCACTTCCCGTCTGGGGCGGATTGTGAAAGAACCGCCCCCGTCACGTAATCGGAGCTGTCCGCCTCAAGTCTGAAAGGCCGTGCGTCGTCCGGAATCGCCAGGACCGGTTCCGAGGTGACCGCGTCCTTGATCGCTTGGAACGCAGAGGCCTCCGCATCGCCCCAAGTCCATTGCTGGTCCTTCTTGGTGAGCGCAAAGAGAGGACGCGCGAGGGCCGAGAAGTCCCGAATGAACCTGCGGTAGAAATTAGTGAACCCAAGGAACTGCTGAACATCCTTCTTGTTCTCCGGAGTCGGCCAAGCGGAGACGCCTGCGACCTTGACGGGGTCCATTTCAACGTGGTTGTGGGAGATGATGACTCCGAGGTACTCGATCGACGATTTTTCAAAGTCACACTTCTCCGCTCGGAGGTACAACTTGTGCTCGCAGAGTCGCCGTAAGACCTCCTGAACGATCTGCCGGTGTTTCCGAAGGTCGGAATGGGCGATCAAGATGTCGTCAAGGTAGATCATGACGTCTCCGGAGAGGATGAGGTCCTGAAAAATGTCATTCATCATCGTTTGGAACGTCGCGGGAGAGTTTGTCAGGCCGAAATACATCACCAAGGGCTCGAATAGGCCTCGGTTGGTCCAGAAAG